CTTTTTTATCATTTTTATTTTAAAACAATATTTTCTGATTTTACATATCAATCCCGGTTTTCCACTCTCTTCCTTCCTCCTGCTCTCCTCACCTTCCCCCACCTCAACCTCAATCCACTCCTCAGAGAGGGTAAGTCTTCCCATGGAGAGTCAACCAAGTCTGTCGCATCAGTTTGAGGCAAGACCAAGGCCCTCCACACTGTATCTAGCCCTCCAAAGTTATCCCTCCAAAGATAATGAGTTCCCCAAAACCAGTCCAAGCACTAGGTATAAATCTTAGTCCCACTGCTCAAGCTGCCATACAACTGTCACCCACATTCAGAAGCCCCTGGGTTGTTTATACATTCTAGCTATTATGAATAATGCTGCTATGAACACAGTTGAACAAATGTTCTTGTGGTATGAATGTACATCCTTTGGGTGTCTGCCAATGAGTACTATTGCTGGGTCTTGAGGTAGATTGATTCCCAATTTTTAAAGAAACTGCCATACTGATTTTCAAAGCAGCTGTACAAGTTTGCACTCCCAGCAGCAATGGAGGAGTGTTTCCTTTTCTCCACATCCTCTCCAGCATAAGCTATCATCAGGTTTTTGATCGGAGTCATTCTGACTAGTATAAGATGCTATCTCAGAGTCATTTGATTTCCCTGATGGCTAAGGATGTTGAGCAGTTCCTTAAGTGCCTTTCAGCCATTTGAGATTCTTTTGTTCAGAAGTCTCTGCTTAGAACTATACCCCCTTTTAAATTGGATTATTTGGTATTTTGATGTCTCTTTTCTTAAGTTCTTTGTATATTTTGAAGATCAGTCCTCTGTCCAATGGTGAAGATCTTTCCCCATTCTGTAGGCTGCTGCTTTGTCTTACTGACCATGTCCTTTGCCTTCTAGAAGCTTCTCAGTTTCAGGAGGTCCCATTTATTAATTGCTGCTCTTTGTTTGTGCTACTGGTGTTATGTTTAGGAAGTGGTCTCTTATGCCCCTGCATTCAAGGCTATTTTCTACATTCTCTTCTGTGAGGTTCAGTGGGGCTGGATTTATGTTGAGGTCTTTGATACATTTTGACTTGGGTTTTGTGCATGAGGATAGACATGCATCTATTTACATTCTTCTACATGTTGACCTCCAGCTATGCCAGCACTATCCTTTCTTTTTTCCATTTCATACTTTTAGTTTCTTTTTTTTTTTAAATCAGGTGTCCATAGATGTGTAGAGTAATATTCATGTCTTGAGTTTGATTCCTATGGTCTACCCCTCTGTTTTTATGCCAATACAAAGCTGTTTTCATTACTTTGGCTTTATAGTAGAGCATCAAGTCAGGGATGGTGATGCTTCCGTGACCTTAGCAGCTCCTCAGCTGGACAGCCCATTCTCTCTATGCCCTAGACTTGGGCAAAACCCCATCCACCTCTGGCACCCACCTCATCTGCATTAGCAGGTCAGTGGACAAGCTACGTGCAGGCAGCCTGCTGCAGCACACTCTATTAGTTAAGCTATGTTTTTTAAAATTAACATTTTGATCATCTAAATTTTGCTTTTCATTGATATTCAAACCTATTTTCTTTACTGTATAATAATAAACATTAATCAAATAGTCATATTAGAAACAACAAATTTTGTAAAATGATTTCTTATGTTTATAGTATATATAGGACACTGAAAATATATTTATATCATTTTCTATGTTTTATATTACTATATAGGCCATGCATACCTGTTCAAATAAAGTTAACATCAAATATTGCTTTGTAACATGCCCAACTAATGTGTTTTTTGTTAATCATTGTTTTATTATTTATTTAATTTATTGAAATTTTTTGTTTTATTAAATTAGAAACAATCTTATTTTGCATATCAATCCCAGTTCCCTCTCCCTCCCATCCTCCCATGCCCCCCAGGGACTCCCCATCCCACCCTGTAACACTCTCCAGGGAGGATCATCAAAGTCTGACACAGTATTTGGGGCAGGGCCTAGGCCCTCCACAAACTATGTATGTAGGCTGAGAGAGTCTCCTTCCATGGGGGAATGGGTTCCCAAAGTCCACTCATGTACTACAGACAAATAGTACTGGCTGATGTTTTTAAACCCTGACTGCCATGGTTTAGTTTCATTTTATGTAAAATGTGCAGAATTGATGGATTGATGTGCAATAGTCAAAATTAAATTCATTCCAACAAACACCACTTGTGTTTTATTAAAATGAATAACTCTATAATATCCTTTACTTTACACATTTGAAGTATCTGCATTATAACAAAAATTAAGTTTTACATTTTTTTTGAGAATTGTATACTGTTTTTACCATTTTCCACTTTCCTCTTTCCCTCTGAGCCCTCCAAATCCATGGCTTCTTTTTCTTTAAATTTTTGTTATTTATTTTTGTTACATGTACACATGTATATAAATATATAGCTACAAACTGTTGATTCTATCCATTGATGTGCATGTATGTGTATTTCAGTGCTGACTATAATGCATTGAATAGATAATTAGGGAACTCATCACTCAGGACACTGGTCCTTTTTTCGTCTCCATTGACTGTAACTCAAAAAGGTTTTTTTTTTTCAGTTTTTGTTTTAAATTATATCTACAAATGTCATTTGAATATATATGTATACTTATATCCTTTTAAATATTTAACATATATTAATACATTATATATGTGTATACACACATACATACACACATATATATACATATATGTGTATACATATGTTTTTATATATGTAAGTACATGATAAGTGTGTGTTCATGATATGGAGTGTGCACATGATGGGTGATATTCTTCTGTATGTTGTGAATGTGTGTTTCTCTTATTGGTTGATGAATAAAGCTGTTTCAGCCAATGGACAGGAAGGATATTACATAAAGGTAGGGTGTCTTATTTAGTCTTTGTGCTTTTAGCCCTGGAGGGAAATGAGTAGTTAGGTCATTACAAGGTTCTGTAGGTGTGACTAATTTCTAGGTAGACACCCCAGGTCCAGGTAATCAGGAGACCCAATGTAAAGGACATTCCAAACAAAATGATATCCAAACCAATGCTTCACTGTAGCTTCTCTACATTGTAATAGCATAGACCATGAGAATTTCCTAGTGGCTTCTGGTCTCATTCAGAGAAATGGGCACAGTTCTTACCATGGCCTCCAGAAATCAGTCTGGCCTCCTGTCACCTCTGTGATTTCGTGTCTAATCTCCCTCTCATCCATCCCATTCTTAATTAGCCACCTTTGTGTGGGGCCCTCCCTTTAGGACATACCTCACACTGTACTTTGGATCTGTTGCTGACCTCATTCACACTCACAGCTCATCACCTCATCTTTATCAAGTCTTTGCTGAAATACTATCTTCTCAGCAGAGGACCTGAGTGAAAAATTGCCTATAGGAATAAATGAAGCATGTGACATGATGTTGCAATTGAGCAGGTGTCATAAGAACAGCACTAATTCCACAGACCTGCCCTTCTAATAGATGTCATCACACAGCCAACAATGTGTGGCATGTGTATCCTTTATATGTGAAACAGACAGGTATATTATTGGTGATTCCTAATGCAAAATGCAGAAATTATCTTTCAACTTTAGCAGGTGATCATGTACATCTTTAGTTACAAATTGCAAGAGTTGATCAGCTGAGCCACAGAGAAAGTTGTGTTCATTAACAAACAGGAAATCTATCAGATATCCTGGACTTCCGATCAGAATCAACAGGTAACCACTCAATCCAGGCAGTTAGAACACTTCCTTCTAGACTTAGATCTACACAGGGTGCTGGGTGACTGAGAAAATCACTCCTTTGCCCGTCCCCACTCTTTCGATGCCTTTTATTGCTATCAAGATTGTCTAACCTCACATTCTCAATTCCTGCTGTGATTAGAGGGCAATATAGACTTGATTTAAGTTGTCACAATTATATTTGAAATATAGACATCTCTAAATCACTGGTACTGGAAACATCTTTGGTGTCTGTAGATGTAAGGTTTTTAGTTTTGCCTTTTTCATATGTCTGTCCATTTAACACCTCTTTTATGATTATATTTATCTTAGTTTTTACCTGCTAATTTTTCCACTCCAAACGTTAATACAAAGAAGTGATCAGTCTGAGACACACTCCAGGAAGTTTTTGAGGGAGAAGAAGGAATTGGTTGCCAGAGCAGATGGGGGAGGAAAGACAGTAATACTCAATTTATAAGCACGGCTCAACTCAGTCTAACAAGTTTATTGGGCACAAAATGTCACACTAGTCATTTCAGTAAAGAAATAGAACTGACAAAGGTTTGGTTGTTTCCACAAGCCAGGAGCAGTCACAAATATGAAACAGCTTGTGCTAAAACTGCAGATAAAGTCAGAGAAGAAACCTAGTTGTTTTAAGGCCTTTAATGCTGGGAAGTGAGTGTAGATGGTGTTTGTTCCAAATTTATATCTGGAATGAATTCTAGCTCCTTCAGGAGCAAGGTTCCCAGGAGAAGCGCCCTGGGGAAGAGAGTCTCTGCTTAGCTTCAGGGAACAAAGAGCTGGGAGAAGCCTGGGGCAGCAGGAGTTGTTCTCCTTGTAGGAGAACCTGTGTGGGCAGGAACCACCTGGCACAAGGAGGAAGGACTTGGGGTGGGGAAGGAAGGAGTAGGGTGTCCTCAGGGTTCCCCCTCATCCTGGGCTGATAGACCATAGCCAGGGGGTCCCTCCATAGCCACCTCACTCCCCACTGCAGCGTGGCCTCCCCAGGCAGCCTCTGCTTTTGAGATTGGAAAGGCACTGTGGTGTGGTAGAAGATCAGACTCCAAGGAGGAGTAGGGGTCCACCTCCAGGCCCAGAGCCTCAGGCCGGGGCGAGACCAGGGCGAGCCTGGCGGGGGGAGCACCTGCCGAGTCAGGCTCGCAGCTGCGCGGACCGCTCGCCGTTGCCCGCTCCGCCCTCCCCGTGTGTTTACGTGGGACGAAGATGGCGGCGGTGATGGCGGGCCGGGTGCGGACAGCACGAGCTGTTGGTTAACGCCAAGCGTGTGCGGGGCGGCCTGGAAGCTTCGTCCGCTTGCGTTTAAACAGGTCTTTGGTCTCCACCCCGTCCCCGCCTGGCCTGCAGACGTGATGGAGGACGAGGAGAGGCGGAGGAAGCTGGAAGCCGGCAGGGAGAAGGTAGGAGCGGCGGCCTGGCCGCGTCGGGAGGCGGTGTCCGGGGGCGGGGGTGGGGGAGGCCGGGCCGCGGGGCTTGGGATGGGGCTGTGGCTGGGGAGAGCCGCCCCCTCTGGCTGCAGCAGGAGACCTGATTCCTGCACTGCAAGGCTCCTTTCTGCCTGGTGCCACACAAAACCCTCTCTTAGCCCACCATAAACTGCTATGGAATTGCTCTGCAGCCTCCGCCCTTTCACTTTCTAAAGGGAGTTTTGTGACTGGCTCGGTCTTTGAGCTTTCTGAGTGGGTGTTTAGTGGTTTCTTTATTCTGAAGGACACCCGTGTTCTGATCACCAGCCTGCTGCCTTTAGGTGTCATGCTGGCACTCTTGTATTTGTGTGATTGGCCTGTGACAGCTGGCTCCCCAGTGGCTTGAGTGTGCCACAAGTGCCAGCTGTGAACTTGGCTGTAGGGGCGTTTTTTAGAAGCTTCCTTTTTTTCTTCATTCTTCCCTTCTTCTTCTCTTGTATGTTTGTGTAGAAGGTCTTTGTCATGACATGCGACCTTTTGTAGTGTGTGGAATGGAAATTCTGAGCACAAAAGGTTCTTAAACAACACCTATAGAATTGGTATTAATGTATTTGTTATGTATTTGGTGAGTTGGATTTTCTATGGGCATGCGTGTATGGTAAGACAAGTAAACAATATAGAATTATATGTAGGTGTCCTTCAGTGGGTTTAATGAATATTTGGCACATGAATTGAATGTAATGATTCCTTTCTGATATTACTTATTTGATATTACCTTTTGCCCCCCTTGCTTCCTAAAGTGAAATTACCTTTAAGATATTACATTGTCTTTTTCAATACCTAATTGTTAGCAGTAATACATGGGGACAATTAAGTTATGTATTAAGCTCATTTTTCTATTGAACTGGCTGGCTTTGTGTCAACTTAACACAAGCCACAGTTATCTGAGGAGGGAGCCTCAATTGAGAAAGTGTCACCTTAAGTTCTGGTTGTAGGCAAGCCCATAGGGCATTTTCTTAGTAATTGATGAGGGAGAGTCCAGCCCATTGTGGGTGGTGCCACTCTGGGATGGTGGTCCTGGGTTGTTTAAGAAGGAAGGTTGAGCAAGCTATGTGCAGCACACCAATTAGCAGCACCAAGGCCCCTGTACCAGCTCCAACCTTCAGGTTCCTGCCCTGTTAGAGTTGTGCTGACTGACTTTGATGATGAACTGTGGTATGGGAACAGAAGCCACAGAAATCCTCTCCTAGTTGCTTTGGTCGAGGTGTTTCATCATAGCAATAGTCACTCAAACTGAGATACCTATGTTTCTTCTTCTCTCACATTAACAGAGGAAAGCAGGTCAGTAATGAATGAAGAGATTCGGTGGTGCATGCTCAGGATTAGTTTGTTACAGAATATGTGCAGGAGCTGTCTCTGTATTTCTAGAATATGATTAGCTGATTTTCCCATAAGTGCCCTCTATGTAAGGTCTAGATTTGAATTTGTCTGGGTAGCATTCTATATATAAATGGAGGAACAGGGGAATCAGCATCTTTAGAGGCCCAGCTTTGCCTACCATTGTGCAACCTGAGGAACTGAGCAAGATCTGTGCATGGAAGGAATTGAAGATGGAGTGTTTATCCCTTTCCCGACATGGAGCCTTTATTAGACAGTACTTTTCCTGTCCATCCTCCCCCCCCCCTTTTTTTTTTTTTAGCAATCTTATACCATTTCCAGGGAGGCCTCAATGAGCTCAATGTGTAAGCCAAGCTGGCTTCAGAAAAGGATGATTGTCCTGTACTGGATTTAAGTTTGTATAAATCATTTCATAGCATATACTATAATGTATACATGTCGAGCTATTTCTAAAATGATCATTTTTGTGTTCTATATAAATGAAAATTGTCAGTGGGATATTTTACCAATCAATTTACTAGGAAAGATTTAAGAATTGTGGCTCAAAACTAGGTTATCAAAGACAATAATTAAGCCCACTAAGCAAGTAAGAAATAACAGGAAAAGTAATTAGCAAGGAAAATATCTTGTGGAATGCAGTAAAATCTTGTCTACTCTCTTTTTGGTGCTAAGACATCTCTCCGGCCCTAAAATATTTGTGCTATGACCAGACCAAAAAATGTTCAAATACCATCTTTTAAAAATAATGAAACCTCATCAAATATAGTATGGTACAGTGTGTGCTATCTGACATGAGTATCACAGAATGTGGCAGTGTTAATATGTTTTCTACTTTAATATAATCCTGGACCTGTAATATTTTACTTCACTACAGCTTCACTATAGCTGACATTCCTCATTATTAGGCATTTGTGAATGAATGTTCTTTTTGCTTCCTTAGGCAAAGTGTCATGTAACCCAGGCTAGCCTTGAACTGCTCCTCCTTTCAATGGCTTCTGAATGCTGGGTCCTTAGCTCTGTGCCACCTAACCCAATGGATCTCCTTTTCACTTTTGTCTTTCTTATCCATTGTGCTTGCTGCCAATTCTCATTGCTTTGGATGTAATCATCTGACCTTGTTCCTTTCATTTTTCTTTTCTCCTCATTAGCTGTTTTAGATGTGCAGTATTAAACCTAGAATATAACTGAGATAATTAGACTAGTTCACAAAAACTCCAAAGAGAACAGAGCCCAGGTAATGAGGAGCCATATGAACAAGCTTGGTTTTGAAAACAGTGGGAACTGTTAAAAGATAGGTATGTTGCTACCAGAGTACTAATACATTGCTATGTAAAACATTAAAACCATGTAAAACATTAAAACCTTCATTTTTACACACACACACACACACACAGAGAGAGAGAGAGAGAGAGAGAGAGAGAGAGAGAGAGAGAGAGAGAGAGAGAGAGAGAGAGAGTCTCACTATGTATCCTTGGCTGGCCTCAAGCTCACTACATAGAACAAATTGGTCTCAAACTGAACAGAGATCTGCCTGCCTCTGCTTCATGAGTGCTATGAGTTCTGTGATCAATAGTGTGTACCACCACAGCCAGTCCAACTTTAAGAAATCATGCTCAAACCTTTATCTCATATTAATTTTCACAATTTGATAAAATATTAGTCTGGCTTAGACTAAAAAGTTCTCAATGTTAGGAACACATATTTTGACTCATGAGTTTTGTCAACCCTCTGTGATCACAGCTAAGTGAATCACAAAGTCTTTTTTAAAACATTATAGAAATTAGCACCCTTTTATGTCTCATAGGATGTTTTGAAAATTATTTTTTTGCTGGTACTGATCATATGTGACATCATAATTCTTGAGTTTAGGAAACATGATTGTTTAGTCATTTATTCTTTTTCTGGTTATGGTAAGACAATTGCTTGGGGATCTGAACCAGTTTTGAAAGACAAATGTATACGGACACAGTATCTTTCCAGTAAATCTTGTAACTATTTCTGTGACTACATCTGTTAACATTTTTATAATTGGCTTCTAAATGGCAAACACAGATGGCTGGTGTCTGACTTTCCAGCCTGTTGTAGAATAAATGTTTTCTCAGTGAATTAAAGTGTATGATTTTGGTGTCAGGTGGTTATTTAATTGACTAGCTTTTTACTTACATGTTTGTTAACTTAGGATTTTCAGGTTTAAAATAAAAATAGTCAAACTGGATATATGTGATTTTGATTTTCTTTCATTTTTAATTAAACAGAATTCTAAGATAGCATTTGTATATATTATTTTTCTGAGAATTTGAATTTTTAATTTTTTTAAAGGAAAAAAGTAGGAAGGGTAAATTTCATGTTTTTCATTAATTTAATGAGTAACTGGAATATTTTTATCCAATTCTGAGGCTATAGTACTTGAGTTGGTAGAGTTGGGCATGCTTTGTGTTACATAACCTAAGTTATCAAGAGGTTTAAGTTATTGCTTAGAGGTGTCTTCCCTAAGTGATGGTTTCCCTTTTATTCAGCATGCACTTACTGAGTACTGTTCTAGTTGTTAAGTATAAAAAATTGAACTCAAGTTCTTGCCCTGTGGAGCCTTCTGCTTAGTTACCTCTCTTCCCAAGATCTCAAATAACCAACTAAAACAATGTTTGCAATTTTATATCATTAGAACTGACTCATTCCAAATGCACTTGTAGAATCAATTATTGTACTTGTGTATGTCCATGTACATCATGTCCATTGGATTCAGAAATGTAGATGGTTGCTCTGCTTTTCAGCCAAACTTTCCATAATTTCCTGTTTTTGTTGTGCTTTTATCGATATAATTATATACCTGAATAAACACTAGGATACTTAAAAAAAACAGTTTCTGTAGGAAACTCTTAATCCTCAAGTCTTCTGCTGTTAATGAATTTTAATAAGAGCATGATAGTGTAAACAGCTTCTGGAGTATTCTTGTAAGAATACCATTCTCAATATTTTTTGGCATTGCATTCTCCATGAGAGAATGTTTCCTTATACGTGATGAGCCTGTACTTTTGATCCTATTTACAGATAATATTTTAACAGCAATCCAGTCAGTTTATTTTTAAAAATGAATCTTCTACAAAGTACTTTAAGTGTATTCCAGGGGCTTAATACTTTACAAAGAAGCAGCTGACTTTGCACCTGTCTTCAATCAGACAAGATATAGATGACTGCTGAATTGCTAAATAACTTGGCAAAACCCTGGTGTAATATATTTTTATATTGTATGGCACTAGTAACAGCTATATGTGATTGCCAAATTAATGTCGTTAAAATAGTGCATTCCTGTGTATATTTTTCTGCAGTTAGTAAACTTTAAAAATACTATGTTTTTTCATAGTGTTTGTCACCTCTTTTGATAGTAATATTAACATTATTAGTAATACTGTATTATCAAATTATATAAGTTACCTGCTATCTTTGTAATTAGTCCAATTAATAGTTACAGCAGTTCTAACATATATATATATATATATAATGTTATATGTGTAATATATATATATGTATATATATATATATGGTATATGTAGTTTTTTTTTTTGACGGTCCTAGTTCTTATGTTTGGTGTTATTAAAGAACTCATATTTAAAAAGTGGTGGTAGGTATTTGTTTCATATAAAATACATTTTATAAAAAAGGGACATTTAGTCTGGGGAGATGGCTCAGTATGGGAAGTGTTTGCTTGGGAAAGCAAAGTTCAGGTTCCCAACATCCATACAAGAAGCTAGGCCTGCTGGTGTGAGTCTACAATCTCATAGCAGGGAGCCATAGATGGAGACAGGAAGTTGCCTGGAATTTCTGGCCAGCCTACCTAGCCAACACTATGAGCTACTGCTTCAGTGGTGAGTGATACAGGACGGTGCCTGCAGTCAACCTCTGGTTTCCCCTGCACACACTCAGGCAAGCAAACCTGCACATACATGTACACAAACACACTACTCACCAGCATACTCAGAGAAATTAAATCTAGAGGAAAACACTTGTAGTTTCATTTCAGAAACACACAAAAGTTGTTATCCTTTTTTTCAAGATTTAATTATGGCTGTGAGTTTAGTGTTACTAAAATCCAAGCTAGATATAATTCTTGATGGTCGAAGCCTAAGGTGAAGCCTGCTGTGTCTCTATTAAGAAGAGGTGTGATGGTTTTATTTTCATAATAATTACACTGGGATAATACTTATAGCCTCTACTCTGTCATAAGTATTGTCATTAGTGGTTTGCATCAATATTAATAAGGGTTCACCATAGTTCACCCATCATTGAGATATATATGGGATAATTCTGACGAGATGGTGGTATTCTATGTGCCCTAGTCCAATGGTAGAAACATTGTATATTATTAAAGAAGCCTGTTACCTTTTACATTTTTCTTTCTGCCATGGCAGCTGAAAGTGTTTGCTGCTCTTTTATCCCTAAATGTTTTAATACTCATCCATTTCTCTTACAACTTTCATTGTTTAAGGGTTAGTGATAGCTGGGTCCTTGTTTTAGTTTTTGTTGGCTACATTTTAAAAAATCACAAGTGCAATAGGTGCCCAGGATTAAACATCTTTTAAAAATAAACTTAAATAAGAAAGGTACGTTGCTATGGATGGTAAGTAAATTGTATGAATAGGTGGCACTAGGCTATGGGACTTCTGATGGTGATATGCAAATGATTGAGGGCAAGAAAACATCAGTCTCTGAAATTTAGATTCCATTATTTCCTTTATAGATAAGTCTACAAAGCACAGTTAGATCTAAATCTTTTGGCACAAGCTAATTACCTTTAGTGTAAAGTTAAACTTCAGGAAACACGTGAAGGATGATGTACTTGACCTCCTTGTGTGTGTCATGCTTTGAGACATGTGAAAGACACAGATAACACTCTGAGCACCTGCCTCACTTTCCATCTTCTGATTCTGAGCTGATCTTCTTTCTTTCAGAGATTTTCATTTTTTATTCCTGATTCAGAAACATCCAGTTTCTTTGAAGTGCAATAGTAATTACTCTATTAAGGACAAGACAAGTGTCCTTTGTTTTATCATTCCTTCTTAGTGATAGTTTGAGTTTAATAAAATGACCCAGAGCTTTAATAATGATAATAAAAAAAATCTTAGATGATAATGCCGCTTTCTTTTTCCCCCCTATAGCTTGCTCAGTATCGACAAAGAAAAGCCCGACGTGATGGGCAGACTACTAAGAAGAAGACAAAAAAAATTTCAAGCTGTAAACAAGATGAACACAGCTCGAATATTAATGAACAAACCGATGAGATGTCCATGAATGGTTCTCAAGGTGTAGAATCAGCCGGGAATCCTGATTCTACCAAAATGAGAGCTCTTCCCAGTGGACAAATAGAGAAGCATAATCAGGTCCTAGTTGAAGTGAGTGCTTCCAGATTTTCAGCATAGTTCTGAGTGGAATGTCAGTGCAAGGAGAGTGGCCATCAGCATACTGTGCAGTTTAATGATGACTTTTGTCCCTTCTTGCAAATTTCAGCAGTATGATAGTAGGTAGACTAAAATATTTAATAACCTCTGAGGGAGCCTTGTGGGCTTCGTTCAATAGCTATTTATTGAGTGCTTAGAATGCAAAGATGAGGAAGGCAGATAGAAAGAAACTAGGCTACTACTATCAGACCCACGCCCGAAGAGTGCACCTGCTTCTCAAGAGTACAGGGGATGCCAAAGTCAGCCTTGGGTGTGTTACTTGTGTAGCTTCCGAAGGGTAAAATTGGAGGTATGAGTGGGAATCAGCTAGAGGTAGCAAAAAAAGCAAGGGAAGCAACCTCTTTGGAGAAAGAAAAGCATTTGCAAAGGTAAAAAGCAGTGTGCTGTATAATCTGGAAATAGGAGATTCAATTTTACATGGATTCCAAAGTGAAGGGATAGGGTGGTGCTAATTTTGAAGGTGTGGAAATTGTACTCAGGGCAACTCCCAAAGAAAGTGCACAATGAATCCTAATTTCCTAAACTCCTCCCTCTTGTTTAATGGTTCAACTTCCTGAAATGGTGGAGTTAGAATAGATTAAAATGGTTGGTAGGAGATTGGCTCACTAACCAAGACAAGAAATAAAGGGATGGGTTGCTCAGGAGAGTATTAGGAGGATGGACATTATTTTAATTTCGTGCTACAGCATATTTACATAGAAATTAGATTAGAATAGACTGGGATTGTACTAATTAGGGTTTCTATTGCTGTGACAAAATACCATGACCAAAAAAACCAAGGTGGGGAGGATAGGGCTCATTCAACTTATACTTCCACATTGCTGTTCATCACTAAAGGAGGTTAGGACATTAACTCAAAGAGGACAGGAACTGATGCAGAGGCCATGGAGGGGTGCTTCTTGCTGGTTTACCTCCCATGGCATGCTCAGCCTGTTTTCACATATTAGAAACTTCAGCACACGAGATACTGAAGTGGAATGCTGTAGTTTCATTTCTGTGGTTGTAATAAATACTCCAATAAAAGCAAAATAGGGGAAGAAAGAGTCTGTTTGACTTATGATTCCAGGTTTTAGTCCACCATTGCAGGTAAGTCAAGCTCAAGGTAGTTAATCCCATCACAATCCAGCAGGAATAAATGGTTAATACTTAGAATTCAGCTCCTTTCTCTACTCTTAAAAAGTCGAGGACCCAAGACCAGCGATTAGTGCTACATAGAGTGGGAGCCATCTATCTACATCAGGTAATACAAGAAAAATTACTCACAGGCAAGCCCACAGGCCACCCTCCTGTAGGTGAATCCTCATTGAGCCCCTCCCCAGGTGATTCTACATTTTATCTAGTTGACAGTTAAAGGTAAATGCCATCTGATAAGACTGGGGAGTTAGAGGCATGCCTGGGTTGTAGAGTGAGACTTTGTAGAGGGGGAAGAAGAAAGGGAAGAGGGAGACACACTGAAAATATAACTGTGTGTATTGTGGAACAAGCATTTGTGCTTTCCTTACATGCGTCAGCTGTATTCTGTAAAGTTAAAACAATGATGAATTAGTATAACACGGTACCATTTTCCCTAAGGAAATCAGGGCTAGATTGCTGTAAGTTACTGGTCCCATTTTGTTAAACAGTTGGTACAAGGCTGTCAAGGTTTAGTGGGTAAGGCAATTTCTGCACAAGCATGGTAGTCTGAGTTCAATTCCAAGAACCCATGGCAAGGGGAAAGAAAATTGAATCTCCAAAATTCTCAATTTAATCTCACATTTGACATGGTGTGAATGTCACCCCATATCATACACATACAAATTAATAAATTTAAATATATAACCAAACAGCAGTTGATACATAGTCTTTTTATGTGTATTTATGTTTCAAGACTCCTTATTTAGTATATATTGTCAAATCATTAGAATTGAAGTGTGATTAACATGTATGTATTGAGTAAGAGGACTTGACACATGTACACACACACACTAGAGACCATGCCTGAGCTAAACTTCACCAAGTCACCTGTCCTCTTAGGTCACATCACAGCCTTCTGTGATGTCAGCCTTCTGACAGCACTTTAAATTTATACTAGGGGTCATTTTTAAGCAGTGAAATTACCAATTAAGGAGTGGCAAAATGTGCCACTATGTACTCTGGAAGGACACTGAGTTTGCATTGTGAGAAAGAAGAAAGGAAATGTTGCCCTGTTCTATGTCATCTAGTATTATCTATTTTGGATCACTGTAAATTATCCCCATTCTGCTCATGTCCTCAAATGACTTAGTAGATGTCATGAATATTGACTTGGGGGCTACTAAATAAATTTTATTAAGGAGGTGAGTTAATGAAGGCAAGAGTCTGAATAACAACAATCAACTATATTCTAGATATGTAGTCTGTACGTATTATCTTTTTTTTTTTCCCTGATAGTATTCTTTGATGTACTAAATTTTTTTTTTTTTTTTTAACTTTTGAAAAAATATGGTGAGGGTCCAGTTAGGTGGTTCAGTGTTTAAAGTCACTTGCTGGCTGAACATAATGGCAGTCTTCTAGTCCCAGCACTAGAGAGGCAGAGGCAGGAAGGTCTCTGTGGGTTCCAGGATAACGTGGCCTATAAAGTAGGTTCCAGGACAGTCAGAGGCCGGAAAGACATGACTGATGTGACTTGAGTTTGCTAGCTCTTCCTTGTTCTGAGATTGCATCCCCTCAGTGATGTTTTACTCAGGGTTTTTGTTGCTGTTAAATTACTTTAGTATTATTTCCTTTGTTTATTTGACACATAGCATTTAATATAACCAATTTTAAGTTTGTGGCTGTTATATCCACAATCTGTGTGTCTTCAAGAGCCGTTTGTCTCTATTGGCCAATAATTTTCCTGTGAACAGGCCATACTCTTCCATTCCTTTGTGTGCTTTGCAATTTACTAAACATTTTTAATTCTATGTCAACTCTGGCATAGGATTTGGTTTCAAGATGGACATTTTTTTAACATTATAGTATATTGATATTTGGATTCTTTGCTGTACTTATTTTGAATGCAATAACTTTTGTTAATCCCTTTTCTTTTTCTTTCTTTCTTTCTTCTTTCTTTCTTTTTTTTTTTTTTTTTTTGAGACAAGAATCTCTCTACATAGTCCTAGACATTCTCACAGAGATCCACCTGCCTCTGCTCTGCCTCCCAAGTGCTGGGATTAAAGGGGATTAAAGGTTTATACCACCATGCCTGGCTAATCATTCTGTTTTTCTTTTTTGGGTGGAGTGATTTTTTTTTTTTTTTTTTTTTTTAGACAGGGTTTCTCTGTGTGTCCTTGGCTGTACTAGACCTCACTTTGTATTCCATGCTAGCCTTGAACTCACTGAGATCCACCTGCTTCTACCTCCCTAGTGTTGGAATTAAAGCCATGCATCACAACCCAGCTAGTAAGCATTATGTCATAAATCTTTAGATTTAGAAGAGAACATCATGGGCTGGGGACCGGAGTTCAGTTCCTAGAATTTCCATTAAAATGTTGAGAATGGTGGCTGATATTCATAATCCCATGGGTAGGGAGACAGAAGGATTCCTGGGGCTCAGTGGTCACCTAGTCTCACCTACTTAGTGAGATCAGGTCAGTGAGAGACCTTGTTTCAAGGTAGATCTGCAGCCAATGTGAGGATGATACCAAAAGTAGTTCTCTGGCCTTTATGTGTGTGCATATGTGCACCTAATGATGTACGCCTAATGAAATAACTAAATGAGTAAGCAGAGCCTCATGAGTTAGGAACTATAGATACAGGAGTTTAGACTCGAGACAAGTGTATTTCTAACCCTGCTTCTTGGGAAGGTCATTGCAGAACTTGATCTTGAATGTTAAATAATGTTTGTGTAGGAATATATGAGAATTACAGTGGTAGATTTGTAAACTCTCTGTTTCATGTTAGTGGTGTGTGTGTGTGTGTGTTGGTCAGTAAAAACAGAAATTAGAAAAATTAGGATTTGTTTCTTTATCCTATTTCCTACTTCAAACTTGAGAGGAGCTTTGAAAGCCACTGATCTCATGCCTAAAATCTGGGAGAAAGTAAAACTGTTTAACTTTTACATTATTATTTGATATGTGTGGATATTTGGGCTATAGGGATTTATGCTTGTTTCCCATGCACTCAGTGCCCATGGAAGACAAGAGGGCATGGGCTTCGTTGGAATTGGAGTTACAGGTGCTTGTGGGTGTTCATATGGATGCAGAACCCTTCCTTGGCAAGAGCAGCAAGTGCTCTTAACTGCTGAGCCTTTTCTGTAGCCTCCTTCAAATGTTTTCAATCGAGTGCCTTTTAAGCTGTAAAGCATTGTAATGAAAAATGGCGTCATTTCTTTTCAAGTAATTGCTTTTAGCATCAAGATCTGAGAATACTTTTGAAGAAATGACACTTTTGGTAGTCGCATTAAGTTTAGAGAAATCATACTTTGGTGTTTATGACTTACAAAGGGTAGGTACTGTATATAAGGACTTGTACTCTTGATATTTTTTTATATGGAGAAAAATTTACTGCTTAGACCAATTTCATAGGTGAAATTTTAAAGATTTGAATAATTTGTCCTAGGTTTTGGTAGTATATTACCTGCTTTTAGTAGTATTTTTTGTAGTTGCTTTCTTATGCTATGAACAGTAGTTGCTTTGTGGAAGTAAAATTTGGGGAAAAGGCGTAATTGTAAAATATTTTACTTTTCTTTTAGCCTGAAAGCTCATTTTCTGCGATAGCAAACCACTATAGTTCACTAGAGGTAAGATTAACATGTCATAATTTCAAATTGTATAGGTAAAAATAGCCATTTTATAACACTAAAAGTATTGATTGTTGTTGCTTTATTTCTTGTACATTTTACAGACTTCTGTTGTATTTCTATAAATACAACAAAATAGCAACAGCACAAATGATTTGCAAACCATAGATAAGTCCTACTGCTGCTATTTTTCACAATGCTAGCTGACACATTAACCATTTCATAGATTTATCTTCAAAAACAGAGATTCTGGTTAGTTTCTGGGAAAGGCTTTAATACTGGGTGTCTAGTTAGAAGACCATGGTGAACTGGTCTAATTTAGCACAGCAATTTCTGTTGATAATTTGTTTTGAGTAAAGCTTTTCACAAATGTGTGGATTTGCATTAACCATGGGGACTTTTTAGTTGTCTGTAAGGCTGTGGAGGTGACTTTAGGTGAGGAACTGTTAAGTGGAAGAGATCCTTTTATAACGTGCCCTCTTCATATGATGGTGATAGCTTTGTGTCATTTGTTTTAATTTTTTAATTATAATCACTATTACTTTGGTTCAGAGTTAGAGAACATGAAACCCTAAAATGTATCAGCAATTAGCTTATTTCATAAATTTAGGTGTGTTGTAGGTTTCATGTAGAAAAGAGAACTATTTATGCTTAAATTAACACAATTTTATATTAGTAATGTGGGTAGAACCTTTGGTATATAATAAATTTAATGTACATTGGAGCTAATTATATACTTATTAGTAGACTGACCAGGAAAATAAGCAACAATGGATAAATAAATGGATATCTGATTCACACTGTGTAAAATTTCCTCTGTGTTCAGTGTGGATTAAAACACAACCTCTAAAAACTATCATTCAAATGCCATAAAAGGATGGGAGAATATGAGACTTTTAAAGATGAGTACACATTAAAGCCATTTATTGTCAAGCAAACCTGCAGTGTAAAAGATACCTCTGACAAGAGTCACACACACAGGACAGGAGAGACAGCCTTAGTCACAAAAGCACGGGGAAGAGTAAGTAAGTAATCATAGAAAGTAGATGAACAGAGGAAAGATAGGTAAAAACCATTTTTGTCTTACTTTGCAAATCAACAAACACTTAACATGGAATTGTGGGGTAGGGGTGGGAGTGCAATAAACCAAACCAAACCAAGAACAGTTGAAACCAGAAAACAATCAGTAGAGTTATAGAAAACAGCAGTGTTGCCATTAATAACACTAATTTAAAATAGTGTCTACTTTCCAATTAAAAGACAAAATTGGCTGACTGAAAAAAATAAACAAGAGACAATCATTTGTTGTTTGTGAGAAATACATCTCACTGGCAATGACACACTATACTCAATGTGAATATATCAGAGTCCATATCTCAGGTAAGAGGAAGCTTAAAAAACAATACAGGAGTAGGTGTACTCATCTGATGAAGTGCACTTTATACCACAGTCAATCAGAAAGGATAAAGAAGGTTGTTGCATGTTAATAAAGTGGCATACTCCTTTCTAGTTCTTGCAGCCCTTTCAGTATGCCTGAGCCAGTGAGTGCTGCAATGCATGAGTTGGAGACCTCGAGTATTGCCCATTTTACATGTTTGATCGTTATTACTGTCTTATCCCAACTGGGAACTTTCCTTCACTCATTGAGCTCTAATGCTTCTGATGCCTTAGTCAGGGTTTTTATCAATCAGATCCTGGCAGGTTTTTCCAGTTTGAACTGTGGTAAAGTACTGACTCATTCCCTGCCTTCTGTCCTCTGAACTTGAAGGAGATGGGCATTGCTGTGACCAAGGTAAACATCCTAAAGAGTTTGGGAACCATTGTCAATTGTGGCTCTAAAGCATTTATGAAAGCTGTTTAGGTTGGTGCAAACATTTCTATGATTACACAATTGGGTTTCAGCTTTTCCCATGCTTTCTGGCAGCAGAGAAGTCAATTGTGAGCACAAAACACAATGATGAACAGTGTACTGAAGAGCCTTCCACTGGGCCTGTCAACTGTGGTAGCCTGTTGGCTGGGCTATCAAAGTGATCTTTCTTTTATCTTAGAGAATAGCAGACAGATATAGAGGGAAGCCAAAGAGGTAATGAAAAAGCCTTTTCAGGGGCTGAGGAGATGGTGTAGCTCTAAAGTGCTTGCTGTTCAAGCCTGAGGTCCTGGATTTGGTTCCTCATGTTAAATTCAGGTGTTTCTGTAATCACAGCACTGGGGAGGTCAAGACAGGAAGATCCCTGGGGCTTTGATTCAGCCAGTCTTGTTGAACAAGTGGGTTCTAGGTTCTAGCTTCAACTCTCTATCTCAAAATATTAAGATGGAGAGTGGTTGAGAACGATACCTGACATTGAACTCTGACCTCCTATACATACACTGAAAGGCATTGCAGTCCATAGTCTATCCAGTTACCCTTTATATGGAGAAGCAGCATGAGGGAAATTAGTGGTGATTGCAAGAGAAGAAGGTGCATTGTAAGCTCTCAGGTGTTTGAGGAATGATTAATATTTTCACTCATTATATGTCTTTTTGATGAGTAAAGTGCCACATAAGCATGAGCTTGGATCCCTAGCACCTACATACAAAGTATGAAAATGTGTGTGTGTGTATGTGTGTGTGTGTTTGTTTGTGTATGTGTGTGTGTGTGTGTGTGTTTGTTTGTGTATGTGTGTGTGTGTGTGTGTGTGTGTATGTGTGTATATGTGTAGTTCCTGCACTGGGGAGACAGTGAGTATAGCAGAATTCGTGGTTCCCATGCTCAGTGAAATACTGTTGTTAGGTAAATTATAAGCAGTTTAAGATCATAATAAATAAAGCAAGAAATTGTTTTTATACAGATAAATGGCTGCTGTTTTGTGACAAAATCAGTGAAACCTACACATTTATTAAAGATATATAATATTTAAACTACATATGATACTAATGTTTTATACTATGTAAAAATACCCAGCTTATTACAAAGCTTACCTGCATGTACTTCTATTTATTTTTTGATAATTAACAAAACCAGTTACCTCCTTTTGTAGTGAGAAATCCAATTTATGCTGTTACGGTATATATCTCATTACTAACAAAGCAGATTTGTGTACTAATGAACTTACAGGAGGTGGGAATGTTTTTAAATTAACTTTGCTGTGTAATTTGAAGTTTCATTCTTCTCGTGAGAAGTGTTGCTAGTACTTATATATCAAAAACTGTGGATCTGTTTAGGAAGAAGAATTTGGTCTTGATAATTCTTATTATGAACAAGGAGCTCAGTGCAGTCACACCTGTGTCGAGATGACGGAAAATGAATTGGCTGGAAAACAGCATGAGATTGAAGAACTAACTCAACAACTGGAAGGAATGAGGGCCACATGTGGGACTGAAGTCTTGCAGAGGGTACATTCACCTCCTGTGGCTTTGCTTTTTTACACATGTGAATGGTAGTGTGTGTGTGTGTGTGCTCTTTACACATGGGGCTTGCAATGGCAACCTCATTCATTTTATAATTGTTGTTCTTGTACATAGATAGTATCAACAATAACTGTTTAAAATAAGGGTTATAGAAACACAGCTACAGTATTCAGAGTTTCAAAATTTAGCTGTGCCTAGTAGCTAGAGTGAAATCACTCCTGTAATATAGATGTCTATTTTGTCGTCAGTCTGGGAGAAAATTGGTGAAAACCACAAAATAGTATGACTTAAATCCATTAAGAATGTCAGCATGTCCTTGTATGTCATTTTACTGATTACAGTGATATCTCATATGCAGGGAGGTCATGACGAAGTGGGACACTGATACAAATGACAGCACACTTCCATTCCATCCTCTTCAGAAACAAGCTGGGGTTAAATGTTGATGTTGCCTGGAGTCACATCTGTGTACTCCAGAGTGTAAAGACGATTCTTCTATAAGAACACACGGAAAAGACAACCTAAATATATTCTTGTCCTTCATAGAGATACATGATTTCAAAGTCAGTTTTGAAATAAAACTAATTTGGACAGGACAGTAGTTTTCATGGAAGATTACTTAACTATGCAAAACAAAACACCTCAGAAAACCCTAAAAGCTAATATTTACAATTTTCCATGGTTTCTCTTAGTTATATGAATTTGAAGCTGCCATTAAACAACGAGACAACATCATTACTCAGCTAATTGCTAATTTGCAGCAAGCAAGAAAAGAGAAGGATGAGGCAATGAAAGAATTTTTCCAGTTGACAGAACAAAGTCAGAAATTACAAATTCAATTCCAGCATGTAAGTATTATGAGTACAACAGAATTTATTGTTTTTTTTTTGTTTTGTTTTTTAAACAATGAATTATATACTTTTTCACATTCCAGGACAAATCAAAATTTACTGTGAAGCCATTTACTGCTTTTAGTGTTCTAATAAAAGAAATACTTTAGCGTGCTGCTAACATATGTAAATTTGTGTTGTTATAATAACCAATAATTGTTTGTTTGAGACAGAGTTTCTCTGTATAGCTTTCCAGCCTTTTCCAAAAATTCATTATGTATACTAGACTGTCCTCCTCACAGAGATCTGTTTGCCTCTGCCTTCCAAGTCCTGGGATTAAAGATTATGCTGCCACCACTGCACAACATAACCAAGAATTGTAATTCCTATCTTGTGAATGGTTTCCTGCTATCATTTATATTAAACTCCCTATTTCTATTTTGAAATTCTACAAAATCTTACCAAGGTGGACTGAATGGATTTTTGCAGACACCACTCTGTAGTTGCATTTTATCTTTGCAGTCCCGGCATGGTTTTAGTTAGTTTCTAGATGATAACTGGATCTACACTTTCATTTACTTTAAGTTTACCTTGGGATTCCTCCATGGCTAGTTAAGTTAGAGTTATCTGAAAGAAGGGACGCTCAATTGAGAAAATGCCTGCCTAAGATTGGCCTATGAGTCATTTTCTTAATTAGTGATTGGTGGGAGAGGGTAATACTATTATGAGTGGTGCCACCCTGGAGGGATCCTGTCTTCTCTTAGAAGGCAGGCTGAGCAAGCCCTGAGGAATAAGTCACCAAGTAGCAATCTTCCATGGCCTCTGTATCAGCTCCTGCTTGAAGGTTCCTGCCCTGTTTGAGTTCCTGGCTTGACTTCCCTTGAAGATGAACTATGACATGGAAACATAAGGCAAATAAACCCTTTCCTCCACAACTTGCTCTTGGTCATGGTGTTTTCTCATTCAGCAGTAGGAACCCTGGCTAACAAAGTATCTGATCTCATTGATCAGAGTTTGATAGCAAGTCTCAGAAATATCTCAAGCCAGAGAGTTCAGTGAAAATACTCAGGTGGTGTCCTACAGAATTTAGGGGTAGAAATACAATCAAGACTTTGATAGAGATTGGGAGTCTGAAAAGTCACCAGGATGCAACAGTATTTTCCGACTTCTCATGGGGTTGTGGATGGCCTCAGTCCTATTTCCCTCATGAGATCTGCTTTCTCTGAACTATCATTTGGAAAATAATTTATGGCTCACACAGTCCAGTCATAGCACCAGCAGATCCCAAACTGCTGAATAAAGAGAGGTCACAGAGAGCCAGTGTCTGCAGAACAAGCCTCTAGAATTCTATTCACAAACAGTCACTTCAGGGTTCAGTATGTTGAAGGTTCTTTTTCTGTTTTCAAGTTACAGGCCAGTGAGACATTGCGGAGCAGCACCCACAGTAGCTGTGCTGCGGAGCTGGTTCAAGTAAAGCAGCAAGTCCTCGCTCAGCAACAGCAGCTAGAAAAACAAAACCACCTGTTAAAACATTATCAGGAAAAGGAGGAGGAATTCAAAACTCAAATCACCTTTTTACAAGAGAAAATTCAAGTATATGAAATGGTAAGGATGTTAGCTAGCTTAGCTAGCTTGTCACAACTGTAATTTTCTTATTATGCATGTGAATTAGAAACTTTTATAATTAAGTCAAAGTCTTTGAACATGGAAAATAATTTATTTTAAAGCAGTTTAAAATCTCAACTAACTATATATCTCATACTAATATAGTTGTTGAGATAATACTGCTCAATATTGTATTCCTTAAATTGGTTTGTGTATGTTTGGTGAAGTCTCAATAAAACCTAAATTTATAACTCAAATATCTATCTTGTCCCATCTGAAGGATTCCCATCTATTTTAGCTATGATAGTGAAATTGTGGAAATATTTCTCTCACAAGGTAAAATTCTGTAGATTTATTACAAAATAAATGCAGTTGATTCTTTATGCAAATTATTCTATTCCTTGGAAACATATAGGGCTCTTTCAGGCAGGGGATGGCAATGTATCACATTGATTTTAATCTTAAATTCTAAGTCAACTCATCCTGAAAGGTTTGCTTTCACTGATTTTCTAATGAGAAATGAGAATTCAAAAGTAATTTGTTGCTGGCTGCTTTAGTCCCTTACCAGAAATGGAATTCAGATGGCTTGGAGCAGGGCAGAGCTCTTGTACCACACTGCCTTTTCATATGAAAAACTGCGTTATAATCCATATCAAATCAAAAGCACAATCTGATTCGAGTTGTAGACTCATAAAATTCATTTTAGGTATTTTGTGAGTCCCGAGCCAGAGCAGAGGTGAATCAGGTTTTCCAAGTTAAAAGGCAGTTTAACCTTCAAATATAAGATTATTAATTTGCAACTATTAACAATGCGGGAAGTGCATATTTCAGGTCCTTATGATTTTATTTTCTTTCCACGGACAAATGATCTTAAAAAGACAAATATTAGTTAGGATGTTCTTTAGTGATCAGATGGGAGGATGTTAGCAGTCAGATGTTGTGGCATTAGACTAGATGAACATATTGATGCATCTTATTGCAGTGCAGTTTATGCCTGTGGGCTGGAATTCTTTAGTCCTGTTTCCCGCAATTTTCAACATTTTTTTTTTCTTAAATTGAGTATTTATATTGTGTATGGTTGGATGATCCTGCTAACTCTTGAATGCTGTGATTATGTATATACATGCCTGGCTCAGGGTATGATTTTTCTAGAGGGATCATAATTGTCAAAGGCTGAATACACTTTTGTGTTTCTCCATGAACTGAACTTAGATGGGTACACTCAGCACTTCCCTTCAGACGGCTTCCTTCTGTCTGAGCTGTGACATTTTTTCTTTCGTTGTGTTATATACATTTGTTCAGAATTCCTTTGAATTCTTCTTGCCAAGGACCTTTATAATATAACTCACCTGCCTATGGCCAGTTCTGTAGTTTTTATTTCATGCTTAGTATTTGGGTCTGAAGCCTTTGCCCACAGTGAAAACTAAAGAACAGATCGAAGCCTCTGCCTAGGCCTCTGCTCTACCTGGTGTTTTGATGAGACTGTGATATGCCTGTGCTGGGTGTGTTTCTCTGGGGTGAGTTGTTACTTACTGTTGCCTAATTGATGTCAAATGGGAACTGCAGGAAAGTTTCTTTTTTGTTTTCGAGTTTCTGTTTGAGCTGAAATGTTAGTTCCAACCCCATATGCCATATATACTAAGTTGTAGATGTTCCTTAAGTTTCCAGCAGTGAGATGAAGACAGACCCAAGGAAATGTCTCTTAATATTGGATCACTAGAGTTCATGGGAGTAACCTGAACTTACACACTTTCAAATCTTTTTCTGGGAGTAGTCTGAGTGATTAATATTATAATTAGCTATCAAGAGATTACATATAATGGGATATTAATTAGTTAACTTTAAAAGATACAATGGGGCTAGCAAAGATTTGTGGGTTCTTTAATTATTACAATTATTTATTTGGAGAGTGAACTCAGATCATCAGAACCATCTCATCAGCATAAGTGTCTTTTCTTTCGTTTTATTTTTTCATTCTTTTTTTTGGCAGTGCTGGGAGTAGAACCCAGAATCTCATACATGCTAAGCAAATCAGGGTGGATATTTTAAATTTAAAAATGTGTTACATTTTTTAATATTTTAAAATTGTTCATACAGTGGTTTATTATTATATTCTTTCCTGTTCTCCCAGATTGTCCCCACTTACCTAAATTAAAAATTTTAAACATAGCAAATGTAATTAAGTATTTCTTCATAAGAAGTTTTAAGTTTCTGTAGAACTCTTGCTTTCTCCTAAATGTCTAGGTACACAAGTCTTATCATTCAGACAATTAAGGAATGGCCACAACAGCTACTTTTTATAGAATGATATACAGCTGTGACCTTTATCTGTTTTTTGTTAATAAACTTAAGTAGCAAAGTTTCCAGAAATTGTTAATACTTTCTTTTTTTTTCTCCTGAAGGAAGAAGATGAAAAATTAGAAAATGCTAATAAAATACAAGAAAAGCAGGCAATCATTGACGTGTTGCAGGAAAGAAAGGTTGAAGAAGAGAAGAGGAGAGATGCACTGCAGAGGCAGTTAGAAACTACTGAGAAATTAGTGGGAGACTTAAAAGAACAGCTTACAGAAAAGGACCAAGAGACCCAAAGCTTAAAACGGGAGCTAGCCATTTCTAAAGAAAAAGAAAAGCAATATTCTTCAGAAATTAAACAGTTCATGGGGACAGTTGAAGAACTCCAGAAGAGATGTTACAAAGATAACTCTTCAGACACTGAGATAGTGCTAAGAATGGAAAAAGAAGCACAGCGGAAATTAGATGTCCTCCAAGCTGAGCTAGATGAGATGTACGGCAAACAGATAGTGCACATGAAGCAAGAATTAATAAAGCAACACAAATCTCAGATAGAGGATCTTAAATCCCAGCATAGAGGAGAAATGGAGAATACTTTAAAGTCATATGCACAAACTACAGTCAGTACGTGCAATATGTGTAAAGAGCATAAAGAACAACTAGAGTTATTGCATGTAGCTATAAGTGAACAGAATATAAAACTGCAAGATACTCTTTCTGAAAAGGAGAACCTCAGCGAAGAGCTCTGTGTAGTTACAGGAGAAAAATGTGTGCTTCAGAGTCAGTTTACTGATCTTTTAGAAGAATTAAACTTTTTAAGAGACCAGATTCATAGAGCAAGGCAGACAATATCTGAACAAGAAAATAAGCTAAATGATGCTCGCAAATCCCTCAGCACAGTTGAAGACTTGAAAGCTGAGATTTCTGCAGCGTCTGAGTTCCGGAAGGAGCTGGAGTTTAAACATGAATCAGAAATTACAAACTACAAAATAAAACTTGAAATGCTAGAAAAAGAAAAGAACGAGGTACTAAACAGGATGGCGGAATCCCAAGAAGCAGAGCTGGAGCGATTGAGAACACAGCTCTTATTCAGTCATGAAGAAGAACTTTCCAAGTTAAAACAAGATCTAGAAGTTGAACATCGAGTAAATATTGAAAAACTTAAAGATAATTGGGCCATTCACCACAAGCATCAGATAGATGAGTTAGAAAATGAAATGAGCAAGAAGATGGAAAGGATACAGTGTGAAAACGACAACTTGATAAGTAAGCAAAATCAACTAACTTTAGAAATTTCTGAGCTAAGAGATTTACAGCAGTCAAGTATTTATTTGAAATCAGAACAAATGACTCTTCAGATTAATGAGCTTAAAAAAGAAATTGATATCCTCAGACTTGAAGAAAAGGAAAAGGGTACACTTGAACAGGAAATTCAGGAGTTACAACTTAAAACTGAAATACTAGAAAAACAACTGGAGCAAAAAGAGAAGGATTTTAAAGAAAAATGTGTAGAACTTGAAGTAGAGAATAGCATTCTTAAAGATGAGAAGAAAGTCCTTGAAGACCAGTTAAAATTGTACACTCCTAGTGACCAAAAAGAAAAATTAATATCCTTAGATTCTAATGCATTCCTGTCAAAAGACTGTAACTGCCAAAAAGAAATTGATACCCTTACAAAGGAAAAGGATGACCTGAAACAGCAATGCATTCACCTCAGTGAGGAGATTGAAAAGCAAAGGAATACATTTTCCTTTGCTGAAAAGAACTTTGAAGTTAATTATCAAGAGTTACAGGAGGAGTATGCTTGCCTTCTCAGGGCAAGAGATGATTTAGAAGACATTCAAACTAAGCAGGCTTTGGAGTATGAAAATAAGCTTAAAGCACTGACCGACGAGCTCCGTTTGCAAAGAGGAAGCCCGGTAATGCACAGAGAGAAGCCTTTTGACTTTATTGATGCCAAAGCTTTTCTATTGGAACCATTGGAAGTCAGGGGGGTAGTTGAAAAAGGTATTACAGACGTTAACAAAGGTGGGGAAAAAGAGTTGATATTGCCAACAAGAACAACTGAACCAGGTGATTGTACAGTTGAACCATGTGAAAAACTCCAGCAAGAGCTTTGTGCCCTCCAAGCTCAGCAGGTATGTCCATCATTGTGTTCATGGAGAGTCACAGTGAAAGCACACATTCCATACTACAGTAGTTCCCACTCTCAGGAAACAGCGACCCATAGCCTTGCCAGGCAGGGAAGGTGAACCCCTTCATGGTAGTCTCTTTTTTGCAAATAAGTTGTCATTTTTACTTGAATATTGTTGTCTTTCTTTCAGTTAATCTCTTATTTTTGCTGCTCAGAAAATAAGCTAAGCTAATCATATGTACATGTTTTTTTCTTTGTAAAAAGAACAGTTAAGAGACTTTGTTTCATTTCTACATTATAATCATTTCATTTTATTATCAAAGATTATTTTTTACAGTTTTTCATACAGATGTTTTCTAGCATGAAATTTCAAGTTTTCAGTTAGAATTCCACTACTGTTTAAAAGAAAAAAAGGAAAAGAAAAAGAAAAAAAACAAAAAAAAATTCAGTTTTCTTCTACTTTATAAGTTATCCAGTGGTTATGCAATTATATTTCTGGGAAGTGGAGCTTGAGGCTTAGAGTTTTCTGAGTCTTATACCTGAATGAGAAAAGTATACTATTAACACTCAATATAAGTCAAGAATTTTTAAAAATTCATAAATGTTTTAGTTTTGTTCTGTTGCTACATTATATCTGAACAAAAGCAACTGAGTTGCTGAAAGTCTCATTTGGCTTGTAAGTATTATTTGGCTACAGCTCATCATTAAGGAAGTGAGGGCAGAAACTCAATTAGGACAAAAGTATAAAACCAAGGAGGAATGTCACTTGCTACCTTACTCACTGGCTAATGCTTAGCTAGCTTTCTTCTATAGCTTGGGACTACCTGCTCATATAATGGTGCTATTCACAGGGAGCTCTTACATCAATGTACAGGCAGGATGATCATCCACAGATATGCCCACAGGCCAGTCTGAGCTGAGCAATACTTGAGTTGGGATCTTCTCATCTCTTGTCTGTTGACTCTAGACTGTTGTCAAGTCGAAAAGTGATGCTAACTAAGACAATACCCAATAATGAATCATTCCTAATAACTTATGTTTGTTAAATGCTGATAATAGAAAAAACAGGAAAGTTCTGGCATGATATCTACAGAATAAAAATGCTCACTAAAGTTTTGTGTGTTTCTGTGTTAGTGGAGCAGGCATTTATTGAATCTATTCCAGATATGCATATAGTGGTGAACAAGAGATAAGAGTCCTAGTCTCAGGAAGCATATGTTCTAGAAGGGGATGTAAGTGATAATGGAAAATGTGTAGGGTAGTTAGCAATCACGTTGAGTCTGTGAAGAAAGAGAATGTTAGGCAGGGAAGCACAGTGATCAGGAAAGGTGTCTTGGAGGAGTTAGCCTTTGAACTGAGCTCTGTGTGACAGGGAGAGGCCCGCCATGTGGAAATTTTAGCTGGGTAAGCTTGAGGGCTAGGATATAGGCTTGTGTAGTTGGCTTTGAAAAGAGGCGAAAGGGAACAGCAGACTTTGAAAAACAAGGAAAGAATGTGTAAAGCTAGGATTTTATTTTAAGTAGGAAGCCCTGGGAAGTTTTGTGTTTATTCCTGATGACTTCCAGTCACATTTATGATCGTACATAAAATACAGAGATAATTTACTTTTATAATAATCTGAACAGAAGCAAGAAATCCAGTTACTAGTTAATATTTAATCATGTGGAATTGTTTTGAAAAATACAATATGTGTTAATTACTCCAAGGGTGTTAAATACCATTTTAATTTTTTAAATAGGAGAGGACCTGATTTCCATCTTTAGCTGCCCTGATCGTGATACTATCTCATTAAATTTAAAGTAAGCATGGCCTTTCTTTTAAACTGAAAAAAAAAAAAAAAAAAAAAAAAAAAAAGCCCACACATTTGAAGTATACTTTTTGTTTAGTTTTTTTAAATGAACTTAGCTAGTTTGGCTAGAAGGAGAAAAAACATCATAGACATCTCTCCACTGTTGGCATGTGAGTCAGCCCGAGGAGTGGCCAGTATTAATCATTTCTTATGCTGAGAGACCATAAAAGTGAATGTGTTTGGATTTGAAAAGGTACTGAAGCACAGTAACCACAGGAGGATCTGTGGGTCTGTAGGTCCTTTGTGGCCCTGTGTGCTGGACCTGCAGTACTGATAGAAGGAAGTAAATTTCTAAAAAGGAAAATAAACCCATTTTTCAGATGTCAGTAGGAAACAAAAGAGAACTTAACAAGAGGAAGAAGATGAGGCTACTTTTGTCATTTGCTGCATAGCATTTCTACCAGCCCTAACCATTGCAAAGACAAAAAGATACATGGCATCAATGGAAAGAAAGACAGCTGTCACAATTCACAGGTGTAACTCAATAAATTAAGGAAATTAGTTAAAATCCTTAAAGTCAAATAGCGTGGAATAAAAAAACCTTAATGCAGACATGTCTAATGTTTGGGTGTGTTGTCATATGCTATAATTCAGCACTCAGGAGCAGAGGGAAGGGATGGTGAATTCAGAGCCAGACTGAACCACCTAGCAAGACCTTTTCTCAACACAGAAACAACAAATAGCCCTGCTGAACATGAATAAAGAAGGATGAGACCTGAATAAATAAAAATGTTCACTTCTCAATGGGAAATGTTTAATATGAAGCATTAGTTTGCTTTATGTATTCTTAAGCCAGTTCATGGTGCAAATTTGTTGAAATTTAATTGGTTTATAGTTGTTCTGTAAGGACAGATGTATAAGAAGCAAGACTATTTTTAAGTAGACTACAGGATAACACAATTTTAGACTTAAGTGCACCACTTTTTGTTCAAATGTGTGCCCCAGTGAGTATAACCTCAGAAGCCAGAAGAGGGCATCGGAAATCCCCTGAAAATGGAGTTACTGTTGGTTGTGAGGTACCCAAGGTGGGCATTGGGAACTGAACTTGGGTTTCCTGGAAGACATCCTGTGCTCTAAACCACTGAGCTATCTCCCTAGACTCTAAACGTGCAATGTGATAGATACTGAGAATGAGTTAAACTATTCAGAAAGATAAAATAGCATCCAGATGTCCACCTTTAAAGGAAGTAGGTAGAAAAAAAAATAGCAAATTTAGAGCAGAAGTAAATTAATTCAAATAACCCAAAGGGAAAGTTTTGAAGAAGTTTGATGCTTTATCATTTGGAAAGATCAGTAGGTTGCAATTATTACATCTCTAAGGATATCATCAAGGGAGAAACCACAAACAAAATGAGGAATGAAAATAAAAATCCAAGTACAGATGCCATAAGCATTTTAAAAATAAGAAATGTGTACTATAAAGAAACTCTACTGATGAAATAAAAATTACCCAGACTAGCTTAAGTAGAAATAAAAAGCCCTAGTAAGCCAATAAACCATTGCAGAATCTGGAGCTGTAATCAGTTTTTCTTTTCACCTCTCCAGCCAAAACTGCTGCCCCATGGCCATTGTACAAGTAGACGTCACCAACTCAGTGGCAAATATAGGTACTTACTAAAATAGGATTCGTATGAGAATCCGAAAAGCAAGAAAGGAAAGTAAGAGCCCATGTGAGCTAGTTAATATTGAGATATAGATCAGGCAAGAATGGCTCAAGAAAAGAAAATTATATACTAGCCTGGCTTATGAATAAGGCTGAATTCTTAGTAAAATGTTACTGGGTTATCCCAAGAATGTAAGAATGGTTCAGCATCTGAAAATTTTGTTTATTAAAATGCAGCATCCATATATAGCAGAAGACAATCTGAATATTTTAAATTCCATTAGGAAAGAATCTGCAAAAGTTACCCCATAGTTTACAGTTTTAAATTAAAAACAAAGGGGTGGGGGAGAGAACTATTGGAAATCAGGAATAGAGAGAACAATTGCTAAGGGTAGTGATGGTTTCTAAGGTGATGTTTAGAAGCATGCCTAGTAAAGGCAAGTTGTCAGCTTTGCTCTCCAGCAGTGTTGTTATAGTTCCTAGCCAGTAATTATAATATGAATAAGAAATGAGAACATGAATAAGAAATGAGACTATGAACAAGTGAGACAAAACATTACATCATAGATCAGATATTTGAAACTTACACAAGACATTAAAGACCTGGTATACATTGCCATAATCTGGTCAAGGGATAACCCAAAGGTGTGAAGTACTTTCTTTTTTTTCCCCTTTCTTTCTTTTTTTCTTTTCTTTCTTCTTTCTTTCTTCCTTCCTTCCTTCCTTCCTTCCTTCCTTCCTTCCTTCCTTCCTTCCTTCCTTGCTTTTTTGCTTTCTTTTTTCCTTTTTTTGGGGGGGGGGGGTGTAAAAAGTACTGGGGAGGCTGTTCTGGTGAGGTATTATTTGAAAAAAAGACTTGTACCAACAAGCCAAGACAGCAAGGTAATCAGAATATTCAAATTGATTTTTGTATTACAGGTGAGAAGTTGGGGAAATTAGATTCTTATCTGTTAGCAAAAATTAACTCTAGATTAGTTAAAGGCATACATGTAGGAAAGTAGGATTATGATCTTAAGACCAAAGAAACCTTTAAGTAAAAGAACAGACTGAAAGGAAAGCAGTAAGAAACTTGATCATGTGTCTTTTATGAACAGCACTTAAAACAGGGTATGTTATCAGGACGAAACATTTCCCACGGTACAAACAAAGGACTATAAAGATGGTGTAAATACATGAAGAAATAAAAAGAATTTAATGATCCAAAGATGAATATGTGTCTTAGATAAGAAACCAAAATGACAACATAAGAAGTATTTTAGCCTTACAAATTAATATGAGTAAACTAGCATTTTATCCCTATTGAAACAAATAGGCTGAATAGATGTTTATTCAGGGAGAAATAACTTAAAACATAGACAGATAAACACCAGCAGGTTCCTGGTCCCAAAGATGCCTCTGGATGTACTCCTGTCCCCATGCTGCAAGCAAGAGGCTCTCTGAGCCCCCAATTTCCCCCCCAGGTAACGTCTGCCCCTTTCTCCACCTCCAATGGGCATGGTGTGTGCCACAGGTGTGGACAAAGTAAATATCTCACTACATATCCCCATCACTTTGGCAAAGTAACTCTGACATACTGATATGGACTCAAGTATGTGAGCATTAAATTTTTTTATTATAATTAAAATTAGTTCAATTATATTCTTAAAATAAATCAATTAGCAAGATCTACTAAAGTTAAACCTGTGTATATCTATGAGCAGCAGTTACATTCCTGGTTAGATGAGTGTGGTCATTGGACAGCAGCAGGACTTAGAAACAGGCTAGAACTAGTATTTCTTAGACTTCTAAATCAGAAGTCAGAGGACAGATAACCATGAACTTGTGTCAACAGGCATTCCAGGTGAGTCTGATACATGCTCAACAGCTCTCTGAAACATTTACTCCTTTGTCTTAGGTGTATATATGTCATAATTTACTACCTTTTGATTGAAAGTACCCCAAATTTACCAATAATCCAGTTGATCTTCAGAAAGGAAAATGGCCCAGTGGTTCATCTACATGGCAATTAAAATAAATTAACCTGTCATCTATATGGGTTGATTTCAGAAGAAATTTGCAAGATAAATGCCATTTGTATAAATACACAGAAATAGACAATATAATATACTGTTTCATATATACTGGGAAATGACATATTCCAAATTTTTGGTCACAGTTACTATGGGCAAGAAATAGTCAAACATCATGAATTAATTTTGCCTCTAATGTTTTATTTCTAAATCTAAAGATGTAGAGGAAATTTATTAGAGTTTTGAGTATATTGTTTTTTATTACATTATTTTCATTTTTAGCATGTAAACTATTATTTAGAAAATAAAAATCTTGGTAGTTATACTACCTATCCAAGTTTACTATTACACTGAGTTAATGAATAAATATGTGGGACTGCCTTTCTCGAGAAACAGGTAGATCAGCCCATGTCGATGAAAAGTAAAGTAGACCAGTTCCTTTATGTGAATTTTAAAACTCTGAAGTCTTTTCTCCTTTGAAGTTCTGTACATGAGAAGAAATCTAAGTGAAATTGTTATTTTTATTTTTCCTAATGTCTATTCACTTTAAGGATGATTTGAAGCTGCAGATGGAAGCCCAAAGGATATGCCTTTCCCTAGTTTATTCAACTCATGCAGATCAGGTTCGTGAATATATGGAAAAGGAAAGAGATGAAGCTCTTTGTAGCCTTAAAGATGAGCTTGTTTCTGCTCAAGAAAGAAAACTGGTTGAGCTTCATAAAATGCACCAATGCCAACTTCAGGCTCTTCAGAGACAGAAGACAGGTAAACAGTTTCTGACTTTCTCCATGAAACAAGTGAGCAGTCCTTACAATGAATCAGTCTGTAATTTTGTACTTGTCTTGGCCCCCATGGCTCTCCATCTATTCCTGGAGTTGTTTTTTCCTTTATCATTGAGGTAGCCAAGAAAGTGACAATCACTGTATCATTTTCGAAAGGAAGTATAATCCATCCAGAAAGTGCCTGGAAATTGGACTGACAACTTGTAAACCCTGCTGAACCATACATGCTGATCACCATTAGAGAAACATTAACACAGCTGTCTAGGGCATATTATGATTTGCTATATTATAGCTTGAAGTATACCAGACTAAAAATAACCCAGTTGACCTCTAGGATGAACAGGAAAAATGGCAGAGAAAGGAGAGGAGTTCAGTGCTTCCTGTGACAGTGAGGCAGGAGCAATTGGAGTGTAAGTTTAGGGATCCAGGCCAGGTGTAGGTGACACACACCTTTTATCTCAGCACTTTGGAGGCAGTAGCCAGCCTGGACAGGCTCCAAAGCAGTACAGAGAAACCCTGTCTGGGGTGTGGGGGAGGGGAGAAGTTTAGGGATCCATTTTGAGGAAATGAAAGTTCAGGTTGTGTAAGAGAGTAGAGGGGGACATGCTGAAGAGTGGCAAGTACCTGATTAGAAGATTTAGAGACAAAGCAACAGTGATATTTTTATTTAAGATAACACCAGTTTGATTAACTGGGGAAAAAATGAAATAATTCATGGGACGATCAGTTAACCTTAGCCATAATCCCAGTAAGATGTTGAGCTAACTATCCTTGAGACTGGAAAGGAAATGACAGTGAAGTTGAGTACTTAAAGCTGAATGTCAATATTGGCAGTCAGTAGCTGCAGTAAGGGTGAGAGGAGCTGAGAATGATCCTGAAGTTTCTAACCTATGTAACCGGTTTCAGTTAAAAGGGGGAGCAGACCATAGACAGACAATAGAGTCAGTTTAGAGCATACTAAGTTAAGTATGTGTGTTAACTTGGAAAAGAAATAGTTGCTGATGAGCTGAAAGGGGAAGTGTCAACCCACGTCAGACTTTTAGGCTGAAAATAAGAAATAGAATCACCATGGCTGTGGAAGACAGGCCCTGAGGCCAAGGACAGAGTGACACCTGGAGGCAGAGCCTGAGCCCTGAATGGGCTTCAGTGGAAGGAGGAACCTGTCTTGCAGGCTGCAGTTAAGGATTTGGTAATTTTGTCACTCTGGCTTCCTGTCATTTAGTTTCCTTTGGATCCCATATTTACCATTAGGAATGGGTCTCCAATAGAATTTCTGTGCTGAAAAAAAGTCAGATTTCAAGAGTCACTTAAAGAAGGATGCCAGATTTTCACTTCAAGACTTCTTCGGTTTCTTAATTTGATAAGATTTTACTTGTATTTGTCTGCATTGCTTGTGTTGATAGCCTTCAGATAGCCTGTCCGGTGTTTTCTATTGACAGTTCATTGTTCTGTTAGTAGGTAGTAAAGTGGGTTAGTGAGTAATGACCACTGTTTCTGAAAAGAGGAGAAGGGAAGACATTTAAAATACTTTATTTTAGTAATTGATGAATTTTTGTGGCACTAGGGCTGAAACCCAGGGCCTGGACAAACTAGCCAAGGTACCCTACCACTGAACTATGTCCCTGTGCAAAGAAAGTAAAGACTCATTTGTAGAAGTTTTACTTGAGGTTTGCAGTGATATATTTAATGGATAAGTGTTTAGTGGATTTATTTCTTGTGTTGGAGTGTAGATAACTGCTGTATACCCTTTTATAGAATAGAATTTACCAATCTTAGAAATTAATGTGAGATAGTTACATTGCACAATGGAAAATAAATTTGGAAGAAATTAAAATATGTTTTGTTTTAGGGAAGCTTGTAGTTGGAACACTTACCTCTGACAGTATTACTTACACATGTACAATGTTGTTTCACATGTGCTATATCTTCTGCTAGGTGACTACAAGGAGCCTTTGCAGGTGCTCATTGGAAGACTTCAAAGGGCAGTATCTGAAGAGTGCTGCTCTATTTCAGAGGTAAAATGTTACTCCCTGAGCTGAACTCCTGGAATCCGGTTGCAGAATGGGAGGAGTGATGGGCAAAGGGGTCAAGACCAGGCTACAGAAACCCACAGAGACAGCTGACCTGAACAAGGGGGAGCTCACGGACCCCCAGACTGATAGCTGTGAAACCAGTATAGGACTGACTCAGAGCATCTGAACATGGGTGTCAGTTAGAAGTCCTGGGCAGTCTATGGGATCTATGACAGTGGAACCAGTATGTATCCCTGGTGCACGAAAGGATTTCAGGAGAACATTCCCCATGGAGGGATACTCCCTTAACCTAGAGACATGAGGGAGGGTCTAGGCCCTACCACAAATGACTTGAAAAATTTTGATGATCTCTCCTGGAAGGCCTCACTCTCCCCAGGTAGTGGGTGGGGAATAGGATGGGGGAGAGGGAGTCCTGGGAGGATGGGAGGGAGAGGGAACTGTGATTGATATGTAAAATAAGAAAAAAAAAAAAGTGGTTTTGACAAGAGGTGCCAAAGTTTACAGTGCTAATGGTTTACTGAGCAGAACCAGCCATGCATGTGTTCCTGAATCTCTTATGTATAGAGCTGTACTTAAAAGTTGTTCCTGAGCTTTAAATGAACAGTTGGCTTTTTCTCTTAGCCATTTGGGAACAAAAGGAATTAGTGCTAGGGATGGGACTCCATGACTCATTGCTTGCCTGTTATGATTAAGGTTTTCTTGGATTCAATCTCTGTGAGCACAGAAAAAGAACAAAGAATCTCAAATCTGTTGCATCCCCATCAGAGTAGAAGGCACAGGTATTGCTTTTGTCAGAGAGGAGCTAGTTAACTTTTCTACGATGCAGTCTGTTCATTAAGGGTCCCTTGGAATAAAATGCTACCTACCTTTTTGGCTGTGCTGAGGAATAAACATGTTCAATCACTAACCCACAGTGTGGTTTAACTTTAAAGAATGTAATAAATAATAGCAATAAACAATTTGCTTTTAAGTCTTTTAAATCATTGATCGTTATTTCCAGTTGTGTGGGAGACAAAAGTAAAACTAATAACTTGGATGTCTTATCAAGTCACGGAACATGAAATGGCATTTTAAATGATAGTGGAGTTATGAGTTGCTTTGCAGAACACTGTGCTGGGTACTTTTAGCAGTGTGTATGGACAGGCCACAGAAAACATGCTTGAATATTATAGAAAGGACACTAGTATAATCTCTCCCTTGATATCATTTTGCAGAGAGGTGTGGCAGACCTCTCTACATGTCAGTTTTGAACTTCTCCCCTTGTGATGTTTGTTTCAGGAGAGTTGATATAGTTATGAGATATTTTCAAGGTAGAGAGTAGGAGCCACGGTAGTGTGTAAACACTTATACTTCATTATATATTTCAATATTAAAAGGAAGCAGAAAAAAAGACATCTCTTGGTGTAATTAAGATAATCAAACTCTTCCTGATAAAAGAATAATTTCGTGTCAAAGAGAAACATGGAATTTCAGCAGATGGATTTCATATGTGGAGGAAGAGGGAATTAAGATTCCATTTATACTATTTTGATCCTTTTCCTTTAGGTTAATAATGTTTTATATTATTGAGAAGACATCAAAATTTTAATTTTAAATGTTCAATTTTGTTAACAGACTCTAAATACTTTTCTTGATGAACACTATTCTCCTTTAAAATGTGAAATGAATATAGAAGAGAAAGAAAATTCTGGTGTATACAATGAAAATCCAAGTCTAAAATTCCAAGAATATAGATACCAAGTTCAAGGTAAAATGCTTATCATACTTTTAAACAGTATTCACTTTGCTTAAGTCAATTGCTTATAAATTTAGCTTTAAGCACAACTTAATTATAGATAAGTTTTCTATCTTAGTATCTTCTCTTTAGGCATGAAATTTATATTATGTACACTTTTACTTTTTATAGTGTAACAATCATACTATGCAGATAACTGAAACATTGTACCCTTTCTTGCTTCTTTGTCCTTTTCTCTATTCCCACCTATTTCTTCATTTTACTTCATTCTATTAATGGTTCCGACTGTAGATCCTTTTCAGATCTTTAAAAAAAATTACCGAGTTTATTGAATTTAAATTAATTGTTTATAATTTTAAAAGTGAATACTGAAAACATTGAGGAGTGAGCTACATTAAGAAATGTCCATGCTCAGTGGCAGAGGCACTCTGTCATCGACTCTGTATCGCAATTCCAGGCCACCCATGGCTAAACAAAGAAAGAAAGAAATACCTATTTTCATATGTGGTGTTAGTTTCTTTTTATTCTTAACAAATTGCAACTTGAATTTCTTGGTGTTCCTTCACAGATGTATGTTCCCAGTATATTTGTAAAGGAAATGAGCAATCCACCAATAAGTAGCTACAGAAACTAATATATCTTGGCATACAGTTTTCAAGTTAATATTATACCACTTATTTCACAGTAATGATTTTTAAAATTTTTTCATTTCTAGATATATGGCCTATGTTAATGCCAGATGTTTTTCTAAAGTTGTAATTAAATAAATCATATTTTTTAAAAAGGGAAACTTGTACTGTGATGCGAAATTATTATAATTGTTTTTCATCCAGATTTTCAAGATAATATGGAAAATCTTCTGAGTAAAGTAACCGATCAACACAGCAAGCTTGTGACACTGCAGATGCAGTTAAGCAAGGTGTGTGGTGTAGAAAATACCGTATTTGCATTTATTTTATTATCTGCTGTTCTGTCAGTCATGAAGTTTTAAATTGAGTGAACATAGAAAAAGCTGTAGAAACATAACAGTAGCCATTTTTATGTTTCTCTTAGAGCATTTATATCAGTAAGTGAAGAAATTTCCAGAAATTGAACAATATGTGACTCTCTGAGATGGTTTATTAATGTCAAATATTAAGCAAATGAAACAATTGTATTTAGTTGTATAGATACCTTTCCTCTTTTTCTTTACTGGAGTGTGAACAAAGGAACTCTGTAGGACAGAGTCTATTATTGAACTATACCCTCGGCCTGTTACATGTAATATTCTTAAGCCAATGGTTCTGTCTTTATATTTTAAAGAAGATTATTAGTTGTCTGCACATAACTTATTATCACAAAGTATCATCTGTGTCAGTTTTCTTCTGCTATAGTTATTGTATAAAGTGTTCTTAAAAATCAGGTAGGATGACATGTACAACATAATATAACTTAATAGCCATTCTCAGAAATAAAGCACATATAGTCGTATTTCTGGCATTCAGTTTTGTTAAACTGCTTAGGTAAATTTTCAAGATGTGTTGTTGCATATAGAAGTAGTACCCATCAGAGCAAGAGCACACACAGTAAAGTCAGCCTTGGGAGGACTTGAAAGGGTGCATGGCCACAGTCTCAAGGGAAGCAGGTGACCATGTCCTCTTCCAGTAGAGTCACCTGACACACTTTAGTTCTTCCAGTGTGAGGGTAATAAAATGTACACATTGTGTACCAACAGCATTCACTTGCACCTAGGAGTTCAAAGTTTTCTGTTAAGTGGCAGATAGGCAACCTCCATAAGAGTTCACAGGGACTAGACCATAATGCTTTTCTATGTAGCAATGGTGAAACACAGTTAGCATTTGGGAAGGTCTATATTATAGCACAGAGAGCTCTTTGTTGGGTTTCCGAATTACTGCCAAGAGAAAGGCTTATAAGCAGGCTCTTTTAAAGGCAGACATCTCAACACTGCTCTCTAAACTGTCCTCTGCATATTGGGTAATGAGTACTTTTAATATAGCCATTTATCTGTGCATCCTATGATGTTTTGCTTGTTTACTATTCTACCTTTTGCTTGTCCCGACATCCTGCTCCCAAATAAATCACAGACTCAGACTTATTCTTAGTTCTGTGGGCCTGCTCTTACCTTGGCTTGTTTCTAACCCTTATACCTTTTCCCTCTGTGCTTTTATCTTTCTTACTTCTGCATATCTCTCTTTCTTTCCTCTGTAGGGGGCTGGGGGGCTGGGGGTATGGATGGCTGGGGAAATGGGTGGCTGGGCCATTGGGCAGATGGGCCCTGATTTCCTCCTCTCCTTGTCCTCTTGCGGCTCCTTCCTTAGTTCTCCTTCTATTTATACTCTGCATGCCATGCCCTTCTTTCATTCCTTCTGCTTCCCTATTGACCATTCAGCTCTTTATTAGGACCACCAAGTGTGTTATACAGGCACTATAATACAGCTTCTCAGAGTTAAACAAATGCAGCACAAACAAAAGTAACACATCTTGAAATAATACCACAGCCATGAATGTAGACCATGCCAAATCTGGACTATCAGGTCAGGACTACAAATGCATCAGAGTCTCAGCCAGATGAACTGAAACTCTCACTCCTGGTCTTTGTTCAATGATATTCTGTTTTCCTAGTGATACCCATCCTCCTCCAGTCTTTCTTACTTGTCTGTTTCTTTTTCCTGTTGGTTTAAATGTTACTTTCTTGTGTAATCTTCTCTTGCCTTCCTAGGCTTGGACATTTTCCCTTCTGTTGTTCTGAGCTTCTATTTGCCCAGATGCCTGGTTAACCTTCTTTCTGTCATGTTTTATAGCTCTCTGTTAAGCATGTATTTGTATCACCTGACTTTTCATTTTGTTCTAATTGCTTATTGATATACCTGTTCCACAAGACTCCAAACTTTCTAATCAGCGAAGTCTGTGTTTTTTCCTTCCTCTCAGCATAGCACCTGGATTGCACATGGTAAAGGATCAGTAGGTATTTTTGACTGAATTGAATAAAGAAATAAAAATATTAGGCTGTAAATTATGATATTATCTGGTGGTTTTTGATATTTCCCCTGGGAAATAATAGGTAAGTGTCCTCAGGGGGCTGGAGAATGGCTTGGTAAAGTGCTTGCTATGCAAAAAGAGGACCTGAGATTAATCCCTCTAAAGTCATGGCATAGGAGGCAGAGACAGGAAGATCCCTGGGACTTGCTAACCAACCAGCCTAGTCTAATTGAAAAGTCCCACATGTGTTGAGAGACTGAAAGATGAAAACATCTTCTATTGACTTCTGACTTCCATGCCCATGCATCCCATATAAAGTTTATATTCACAAACATGCATGTACACACACAAGCAAGGAAATAAGAAACATTCTGAAGGTAGGCATGTGGTAGAGGACACCAAATAAAGAAAGTAGTGACCAATTAAACTAGCCTATTAGAACATTGTTTTTATCCTGTTGCTCACTGGTTTTCATAGCATCCTATACACCTCTTGTCCAGCTAGTCAAAACTCTTTCCCCTTGTAATGTAGGTGTGCTTTACTTAAGTAGCTTTATTTTCCATTTTTATCCAATGTAGGCCCCTGCCAACAAATGGTCATTGTTTTTACTCCTTAGAGCATAGGTCTTGTCACAAAGCCTTTCCAGAAGGTCACCGCTATAAACTATTAATCATCGGCCAGGTCAAATCTGGGTTCCCCCCAGTTGCTCAGATGGCCTTCTGAGTCACTGTCATTGTACTCAAACTTCACAGGTATTGCTTCTGGAATAGTCTTATTTCCTCAGCTCGCCAATGAACTCTCTGAGAACATAGATGCTCTCTCTCTCTTTCTGTCTCTGTGTGGTGGTGTGTCGGGGTGTGTGTATGAATATTTTTCAATGTTTAGACTCTGTTTATTTAATGAGCAGTATACTACTTGTCAGTTACCTGCTTAAACCCATCATGCAGAGGTAAAGAAAAATTAGGTTGTTAGATACTGATAATACATTTGTTGCTTGCACTTAAGTTTCAAAGGGCTTTCAGGTGAAATTTCTGTGAAATTTTTGTTTCTGGAAAGTGTATGTTCCTCTGGATATACACGAGCATTGCTAATACAATTTTATTCCCTTGAGTATGAATGAGAGTGAGTCACTTGGCAAAAGAAAACAGTGTTTGATTCAGAACAGCACAATTGTTGTGGTTTAAGAAGCAAACTTAATGCAAAGTTCTTTAATGGTTTTAACACATCTTTCAAAGTACTAGATTGAATATTTATGTCATCTTCTGTTTTCAATAGGATCACAGACAGCAAGAAGATGCTGAGAAACTTGAGTTTGCAGAAGAAAATGGTGCAGGAGAGGAAACAGGGTTGTTATCAGTTCGCTCTCAGGCTGCTTTACAGAACAATGGTAAATTATAAGTGTGGAACACATTACAGTATTGTATACCAAAAGTTTACAAATGTGCTTTTCTGAAAATTCTGTTGCAGTTTGATAACCTTGGGAATTTCATGTTCATCTTGTTCAGTTTTCTCCTTGTAAAGTGAAAGTCCAGACTCCTTATCTGTTTTGTCCTTTATCATTTCTCATTATCTGTATTTCTAAATTGTTTTCAATTGCTTTAAACAAAATGATATAAAATTGGTTAGATTTAGGGATTCTACAACCACAAGGATAGAAAAAGTGATCTTGAATCACTTTTTTTTTTTGAATGAGAATAAAAAGTTATCTTGAAAGCATATTTGTAAAGAATAACAATTACTTTCTGTACACAAAAGTAATTCTGCTTTGTCACCAAGAAACTTAGACCAAAGTGTGCCTTTGATTCTGTTCCTTTCACACAGACATCAGTCATGAGAGCGAGGTGTCTTCTCTGCCAGAGAGTGAAGAAAGTAAAGAACATGAAAATCCAGTTCAGGGCTTAGAGAGCCCCGGGAACTCCTTACAGCAACAGCTGAAAGAATCGGAAGGGCATAGAATAGAGATCCCCTGTCATCAGGGAAGCATTCAGAGCATCCATGGACTGTCAGCCCATCCAAGGTATCCATCTGTGTGCTGTCTGTCATGTATCAGTTTATCCAGAGAGGTTATTTTAAGATATATAACTTATTATAAGAAATATAACTTGATCAGAGGCATAAGAAGCAGTAAACAGGAGATCATTCTGTGACTTTTAGATATGTGAAATAAATGTGACTCAAAGACATTTACCATAGGCATTTTGCTTACATTTTCAGAAGGATGTTATTCTGCAGGATTAAATTAATGCATGTCTGTTGTGTATTCTTTGCCTAGTCTTCACTACTTTGATATGGCAGTACAAATAGCAGTGTAAGGTAGAATATTCCACTGGATTTCTTTCAGTTTGTGATGGAATACAGACATTCAGCAATGTCTAAAGTAAACCAGTCTCTTTTCAATGTGAGCCTTTCTTGGCTTTCTCCAGCTGCCTTGACTCCAATTTTCCTCTTAACTGTCTTCTAATCTATGACAAATTCCTGTTCTCTCTGTCTTCCGAGAACATGGGAATCACATCATTCTTTACCACTCACTGTCCCTGCTTTTTCATGTGGACTAATCTCTCTATTTCTTCCTTAGAGTCTTTTCTTTGCACAGTCATCTCAAGGCCAGGATCATACCCCAGTGTTATTCTGTCCTGCACAGTAGCTCCCTGTGACCTCCTTGACTATTCTCACATACTGAATGTCGCTGTTCTGAGACTAAGCTCCTCCTTGGCGTCCTTAAATATATCAATCTGCTTCTGCTTAAGATTGTGCCTGTTAGTTTCTTCCACCTGAAATGGATTCAGCACTTCCTGAAATGTCCAACACCCTCACCCCCTTTGAATCCTCTCTTGTAGACATTGTCATGAGGGATTTTTGGTCACACTAAATGAGTTAATATTGACTCTGATGAACAAACATAAACCTGCAAGAGGAAGGGGGAGTCTAAGGTTATTAAGAAGTTGATTTATTCTAAGGATTTGTAATTCCTTACACATAGTAGGATTTTAGTCTATCCTTGATGAATGTTTTGTAATTTACTTTGGAAGTATGCTTGAGCTTGTAACTAGTCTTATGAAAATGACAGGTTTATTCTGACCTTGACTACTCTGTTGCTCTAGGACTTGTGTATTTATAGGCATTTGTCAATGCAACCCAGCACAGGTTTTCAATAGTGGTGGAAAACACTGAGTCATTGAAGCAGTCTTATTCTTCTTTCATTCAAGATCTATATGTGGGCTTTGGAGCTGCTTCCTCATTTTAGCAATCCTGTAAAGCCCCAGGTTCTTTCAGACCAGTACCTCTCAGTGCCATATATCATAAACATGGGAGATTTTTCAGAGTTTAGTTTATACTTTTAAAATATGTGTGGTAAGAAATTATTTGAGTATATCTTTGGAATCAGACTCAAAGCGAAAGCTTACGATTTTGTGTATTTAACAAGCTAATATATGCAGCCCATGGGTTAACATGTAGAAACCACTACTGTAGTCTTTTTGAGCAAGTTTTCTCTGTTAAGCAGTCAGTGTATTTCAAACAGTATTTCATTAGTGATTGATTGGTGATTACTCTCGAATTGGAGATACTTTGTCCAATGTGTGAGGAGAGGTGGCAGTGGTGGGTTGGTGTCCTAAGACTGGAAAAAAGGCTAGTTTCTCTTTCTGCTTTTGGGTTCATATCACCTTACTGGCCTCTCTTACATTTGTAATTAAGAGCTTACTATCCTCTGCACTATTAGACTTGCAATAGTTTGATGAAAACAGAATCTTCATTTAAGAAATATTTAGTGACATCACACCAGAGCATTCTTAGACAAATATTTGTGATTAAAAAGTCCATGAATTTTAGAGCCACCGACCTCTGCAATAACTTTTGTCTGTCTCTGTGATCATGAATAGATTATAGCACTTCTAAAAGCAACAGAGACAAGAAAAATCTCCCTCAGGATTGTGAGGATTAAATGAAGCAGTAGTTGTGAAGAGTATTGAGTAGATGCTACGGAAGGATGATTAGTTTTACAATGAAATTTAAAAGTTTCTGTACAGCAAAAGAAACTATCAGCAGAGCAAGCATGTAGCCATCAGAGCGGGAGGTCTGCCATTGGGGGGCTATTATCCAGCATTGTGAAATAATTACAAAAATTTAATACCCAATTAACTGGCAATTAACGAGTGGGTTAGTGAAATTTGCAAAAAGTTCTCCAAAGAAGAAACAGAAATGGCCAAAATAAGTGTTTGTAAAGAGAGCACCATATCTTTATCCTAGTCATAATGGCTGCAATCAGAAAATCGAATGACAGCAAATGCTCTCAAGGAGGTGGGAAAGGAGGAACCTGTATTCACTGATGGTGGGAGTGCAAACAGTATGAAACTCAATACAGAGATCTCTTAGAAATTAAAAATAGAGCTAATATATGGCCCAGTAATACCAATCCTGTGCATACACTCAAAGGATCCCATGTCCTATCTCACATCCATGTTTATTATTTCCCTAACCACAGTAGCAAGCAGTGCAATCAACCTTGATGTCTATCAACACACGAATGGATAGTCAAAATGTGCAGCATATTTAACAATGAAATTTTGCTAAGTTTAGAAAAAAGTAAAATTGTAAAATTTGTAAGAAAAAATCTATGATCTGGAAAATATTAAGCAAGTTGTTCAAACTCATAAAAACTGATTGTTCTCCTTTGTGTGCAGAGCTAAGATTGTAATGCCTGTGTGTGAGAGAGAAAGAGCAAGACAGAGAGAGAGAGAGTGGGAGAAAGAGAGAGAGGCAAGGAGAGAGAGGAGAGAGAGACTGTACACAAAAGGTGTAAATGATGTAAGGCTTAAGAAATAGAGTCCGCCTAGGCAATGGTGGCATACTTCTTTTATCCCAGGACTTGGGAGGCAGAGGCAGGAGGATCTCAGTGAGTTCAAGACCAGCCTGTTCTACAAAGAGAGTTCCAGGACAGGCAGGACTGTTACACAGAAAAATCCTGTCTCTAGCCTCCCCCGAAAAACAAACAAACAAACAAACAAACTAGGCTCTGAGAGTAAAATGGGTTGCTGTTGAAGATAGTGGTTAGGGTTAGGGTTAGGTGCAAATGAATGCTTTGTGACTTGAAAGCAAAAAGGAAACAGGGAGGGGAAAGGGCTTACGTGGAAAATGAGGAGAATCTGCTAAAATACTTTTTTCTAGGAAGCTCCATAATGATACTAAATGCCTTACATATACTAAGTTAAAAATTAATTTTTTAAAAATGAATGAGATGTGTATAAAGTGGCTTTTTCAGGCATTTCAATATAATTATGAAGTGAACATCATAAGTAATTATTAAAAGATAATAATGGTTAAGTCTATAAACTAGTGACATAAGGAAAGTTCTAGAATGTAAGACTATGTCTATATAACACTTTAATTGCACATTGCTTTAATGTTGCTACTAGAATACAAGGAAAATTGAATAAAGGATGGTTACAGATGTATGTGGTAGACATGTTATTGAAGTAAGAGGACAAACTATGATCTCATGTATTTTGGTAGAGAAAATGGAACTTGACTGCATTTATATAAAGGATGAAATCAGATAGGACAAACCAATGTACACATCAGGTCTAAACTGTAGCTACGAATTCATTCGTTTTCAATTTGGGATAAATACCAACCAAGCTTATAGAATGAAGTCATTGTTCATGAAGTGTCAGGATTTCTGATTTCCTCTCCGGATGTGCAAATTTACATGAAGACAAAGCATCCATATGTACATAAAGTAAATAAACAAATGAATTTTAAAAAATTCTAGGCAATGACATCATTTGTATATGGTCAGTTTTAGACATTACAAAATGTGAGAGAGGATAGGAGAAAGAAAAATAGAGTAGAAAAAAGAAGAAATTGGGAAAGAAAAATGGAGACTGTTAGAACAAAAAGGCAGTATGGGTACACATGAATGATGAGTATTAATTATATTTCCTAAAGATAAAAATTAAAGTTTTCTCCCATTTTCTTCTCCTGTGTTCCTAAATATTCATGTTGCTTTATTTTTATTATGCATACAAAGCATTTTAGAAAAACATAATGATTGCTTTTAGAATAATGTAAAAGAGACACATGCTAAAGACTGCTTGAAGAATGGTTTAAAAACAGCAAGTCCGAAAGTCACTGTGTAACAGGGAACCTTATCTTCCTGTCCCTGTACCTCATTCCCACTGATGGTGATCATTCTGACTGTTGTTTTGTGTATGTGTGTGAGTGTGTGTGTGTGCGTGTGTTAAATATGTTTTAATAAAATTGAAATTATGGTGTCTTTTTCCTAAATAATGCATCTGTAATAACTTCATAAAACTAATAATGCCTTATGCATATCTTAATATACTTTATAAAATGGTGTAAAGTTTATCTGTTGGTGTGCAATGTTACATTACTTTTAAATATAAGAGTTAGACAAAAATGTGACTTAAGTTACAATATCTATAAGCCTTGATGTATTTTTTGTTTCCCGCCTTCCCACTACATATATGTATGCTGTAATATTTGTAAAATGAGTCAAAACCCTTAGTAACATCAACACCATCTTTTGTTTATACTTAGTGTTGATCCATATGTATTAAAAGAATGTGATGCAGAGGGAAGAGTTTACTATGGAAATTGTGTACATGAGCACATCACCAGCATCACAGAGGTATTATATTTCTTCTCTGTCTTTTTAACATTTAATAAATACCCTGATTTTTTTCCTGTCATTTTTACAAATGTGTTTTGGTAACTATCTACTAAAGACAAAAGATGTATTGAAAGAAACTTGAATTTTTTTTTTCATAGCACAGGAAATATACTAAGAAAGAAAAAAGTAAATGAGGGCTTTTTGGTTTTTTTTTTTTTTGTTTCCTATCCAAGTATGTTACCAATTTAAATTAGTCCTGATTGTTTTTCATTTTGATTAAAGTATAGGTACATCATCTCCCCCCCTTCTTTTTCCATTCTCAGGTCTCCTGGATGTGCCCCCTCTTACTTCTCAAATTCATGTTCTCTTTATTATAACATTCACATATATCACTGACTTATGCATAGGAAATCAGTTTCAGTTTCCTAATCTTCCTACTGTGGGGAAGCAAGAACAGGCCATCTTTTGAACAGTGTTCAGGAATCCCCAAGATCCTAGGTCCTGGAGTTGCCCTATGGTTCTTCATGTAGCAGGGATCATATCTTTTATAAAAGCTCTTGGGACAGTGCATACCACATAGGGAAACATCCTGGAACTCTACTCTTCAAGTGTCTAGCAGCAGAACTGTGATGTTCATCCACATTCAGAGAAGATCCAGGTCATTGCTTTCTCTAATAGGTGCATCAAGGAGAGATATAGCCACATCCTGTTTGCTCCTGCATTCCTGTGAATCCTTTGTTTTGATGAAATTCCCATATTTCGGTGTAGATTGTTCTGTGGGTGAGATGGAGGCAGCCACCAGGCCTAGCAGGACTATGTCTTGCAAGAAAGACAGATGGTCAAGGAGCACTGACAGTTCCAAAGATGCTAAAGCAAACCTGTGTGGGATCTAGAACCCATTTCCAGCCCCACCCCACCCCTGTGTAAATATTCTAGAAGCGCTGTCATAGAGAGATATCTAAAAAGCCCCCATGATTGAAGTCTAAAACTCAAAAGAAAATGTGAGGTGCCTGAGGCTCAGGGAGGAAAGGTTTGTGTTGGTCTGTGCTACCAATTGCTGAGGAGCTGTGGAAGGAGAAGATGGGGAAGATAAAAAGATGCTGTAGACTGATGTCCTGGGAGCTGTGGCCACTGCAAATGCTGACAAGCACCTCTGCTTGAGAGTCCTTACTGAACACTTTCAGAACTGATATATACTTGGCTGTAGGAGAATATCTGGATCATGTGGCTGTCCTGGATTGAGTGACAAAGTAGCTCATCAGCATCATGGAAACACTGTACACTGTGGCCCAACACCACTGGCTTTCTATCTGTGGCAGACCACTATGTAGCAACATTTAAATTCCTCCACTTCCTGCGGGCTCTAGCTTTGCAGATCTGGTTTGTGACTGATGTGAATGAGTCAGTAGAGAATATGATGACAGCTCTAACTTCTTGGTCTGGACAGCTCAGTCATGTCTCAGAACTTTACAGTGTTGTCATCTGTCTTGAACACCTTAATAATACTGTCTGTGTAGAGTTGAAATGACTAATTTTCAACATATAGGTAGGCCTATCTCACCCATCTGCCCTCAGGCCATGTGCATGGACTAGAGCTCAGTCCTTTCTTTAATGTGCTAGAGATGGGGCAGAGTGAGAGACATCACTAACATGCTGGTCTGTGGGGCAACTGAGCCCAACTTTGACAGCCTGGAGAGTAAGAGGACAACATTTGGAAGCAGCACTAGGATTCATAGGTGAAGGCACTGTGGGAGAATAGACATGTAGAGCTCATTTGTCTTAACCTGTGAAAATTTGGATTTTATAAGTAACTATCAAGAAGAAAAATAAATTCACCAAGAAATGCACAGCTTGACATTTAATTGAAAGAAAACATGATCTCATAATAAGTACCCTTAACCTGTCTTAGAATTAATTATAAGTGTAATTAGAATTAATTATAAGTGTAATTATCTTTTTCTTTTCACAGTAGAATTATTAGATTTGATGTTTTAATTATAAATATCTAAAATTTTCTTTTTTGTTAAAATATACAGAAGTTTGTTATTTTAGAAAACCATTTGAGATTAAGAGATTAAAAATAGGTGGTAATACCATTTGTATAAGCAAATTGTCATATTTTGCTTTTTTATTTAGTTTTCAGATGGAGTTGAAAGTAGTCAAGAAACAAATATGGTTAAATTATTGGAAAAGCAGTACAAAGAACGATTAGAAGAAGAAATAGCTAAGGTAGGTGTATAGTTGATGTGGAAGGTAGTCTTTAAACCTTTAAGAGGCAGATTTTATTGATGGTATGCATTAAATTTTGTGTAATGTTTCCTATATGGTTTACCTATAAGTTGTCAGGTAGTAGTATCAACTATAAATGTTTTCAACTTTTTTGTTCTCTGTCTGTTTGTCTGTCTGTCAGCCTGCCTGCCTGTCTGTCTCTGTGTGTGTGTGTTGCTGTTTAGTGAAGCCAGCTTCAAACTCTTTCTCTTCCTGCCTCTGCTTTCCAACTTATTATAGGTGTGCACTACCACACCTGATACAAAAACTGGGTTTAAGTGGACTATTGTATGGAAATTCCTGGTCTTAACCTTCCTTTTGAAGGAGTTTGCCCAACTTTAAAAATGGGTAACATGGGTCAGGAAAGTAACTCAAGACAGTTGCTTTGGTGTTAGATGGCAACTTGAGGTACTGAGAGAGAATTGCCAGTAATCTTGGCTCCTGACTGGGTAAAGGAGTTTTAGCAATGTGGTGTTTGCTTGTTCATTTGTTGTACTCAGGGTTCAAGGAACTCATCCCTTTTTCAGTTTGTATCTGTCAGGTATAATAGTTACAACATTGGAAAAGCTGTTGAATAGGCATGGGAAAAGCTGTTGAATACACCTATGTAACTTTTTTCTGAAGTATTTTGTATTTTGTTTGCTTTTTAATTTGCTGTGTATGTTTAATGTGGTAGGGATGAACCAGCTGGGCAAGTACTGAGCCACATCCCCCAGCTCTGTAAATTATTTTTAGTTACCTAACCTTTGCTTGCATTTTCAACTTTCCTTTTAGGATTATTTCCTGCATTTTCAAAAGATGTCCTTTTGGAGTTACTTTTCTGATGACCTATTGGGAATAAGTTTAAACTTTAGAATTTTATTTTTCTCTTGCAATGAAAGATATCTCATAGCTATTAGAGTGGACAGTTGTTATTATGTGAAAACTTTCAAATTAGCATTCTGATCTTTTTTTGACCTTCTTGGTTCTTTTAAGAAGGTCCTTGTCATGTGTTTTGAAGGCATATAATGGTAATGTCTTTGGAAACCTTTCGACCACTGAAATCTTGAAGTCTTTGGAATGTTGATATCTTCTGCAAATGTTCCCTGCCCTTTTAAATGAAACATTTCCATCATTCTCTATTTAACCATACTAGAACTAAACACAATGTGATGGATATTCAACATTTTACTCTGTTTTCCATATCTCATTATTTCTTTGTTAATTGTTTTGTGGTTCATTTTGTGTTGTATGGTTGGTAGAGTCTTGTGTAAATGAGAACTCAGATTCTCTATAAAGCAGCGATGACTGCATTTCTTATCCTCTTGTGTTTACTTCCTGAGTGCTGAAATTAGTCATGTGACTTCATGCTCAGTTGTTTATGTGGTGTTACGAAATGACAGGCGGGTGACAGTGGACATCATGCTCAGTTCTTTATGTGATGTTATGAAGTGAACCTAGGTCTTCATGCCCATTGGATTAGCACTTCCCAGCCCATTTCATTGCTTCTTTTAAAATCTATCTTTAAATTAGTAACTACTAATTAATTAATTAATTAATATGGTTTTGTGACACAGGGTTTGTCTGTGCAGCTCTGGTTGTCCTGGAGCTCACTATGTAGACTAGGCTGTCCTGTAACTCACAGAGATCTGCCTGCCTCTGCTCCTGAATGCTGAGATTAGGCCTTTTTGCTTCTTCTTGTCATTTATAAATTCTTTTTCTATTTCTTTTCTGTAGATTCAGTTCAGGAAATTACAGCAAAAGCCACTTTGAAGGTCTTGACCATTAGTTAGAAAATATTGGCTATATGTTTTGTTAAGTCGCATTATTTATTTATTTATAATAAAGCCCTATGGGATCACAATTTCCCCTCTCTCCTCTGCTCCCAGTCTTCTCCAACCTCTTCTGGCCCCATTCCACTCTTTCTCCTCCTTCATTTCTCTTCAAAAAAGGACAGCTCTCCCAACTCCTCCATGGATATCTACCAGTCATGTTACAGTGAGACTAGGTGCCTCTTTCTGATTGAGGCTGGATGAGTCAACCCAGTATAAGGAATAGAGTCCACAAAAGCAGGTTACAGAGTCAGGGATAGCCCCTGCTTCCACTGTTAGAAGTCCCACAAGAAGACCAAACTAGGTAACTGTAACAATATACAAAGGGCCAAGTCACTCCCAGGCAGTTTCCCTGGTTCTCAGTTCAGTCTCTGAAAGTCCATATGACCCGAGGTTAGTTGATTCTCTGAGTTTTTTGTGGGATCCTTGACCCCTCTGGTTCCTACAATCCTTCCTCCCTCTCTTCCACAGGATTCCCAGAACTTTGACTAATGTTTGACTGTGAGTCTCTGCATCTGTTTTCATCCATTGCTGGGTGAAACCTTAGTGATGACCAGTGGGCTAGGCACCATTCTATGAATATTAGGTGGGACCAAACACTGACTTGTCCAGCTTGAGACCCAGACCATTAGGGGAAGCTCACTCCTGATGCTGCCTGGAGGTCCAGCACACAGAAGCAGGATAGCCCAGGGACCTAGAATAGATCCAATAATTTAATTCTTTTCTCTTTTTACGACTTGCTATAATGGCATATATTCCAGATGTTGTCTAGAACATTACCAGATCCTTTCATTCTGGGGTAGTCTAGCCACTTATGAAGTCTAATTTAGTATAATCATGAGGTTGTTGTGATAGAAGCAGTGTACCATGCTTTTAAACATCGTCAGTTCTATCTATAGTAGGGCATAAATCACTGATACAACATTGATTAGATATAGCCTCAATTTGTTTCTGATCTTGTACACAAATTTTCTCTGTGTGTGGTTTGATACTACAATATGTTAAGTTAATCATAGAGTTTTACTTTTAGACAGCTATTCAGATATGAAAATCATAGTGAGCTGTAATATTACCTCTTAGAAGGGGAGCTGAAGAATGCGAAGCTCAAACCCACCTTCTGTCATCTCCTTGCTTTGTACTGTAGGGTCACATCATGTCCTCTCATTTATTGTTTTGGAATATTAACAGTGTCTACCTTATAGCTTATAATGAATAGTGACAGAAACAATACAATTTTTAAGAACAGTTTGAAGATGTTTTTGTTGTTCTTGGTGAAGCTATTATCAGCATTATTTCTATTAAAACAGGACCCCCACTTCCAGAGAACATTGCATCATCTGGAAAGCAGTAGGCTGATTATAACCAGGTTCAAGACTGGAGATTAAATTAAAGTTTAGTTGTATGGGCTAGATCACAGTTTTTGAAATCTAGAAGTCAGGCACAAAGGATTCAGACTCTAGGCATAATCTCATCCTGAGTTCATGATAGCCAGCTGTCCTAACCTCAGATGGTCTGTGGTCATAGAACCTGATATAAAGCTTTTGAAGCACTTGTTTCTCAAAAGGTTAAGGCCTACTCAGAATTTTGAAGTACATGTGCTAGGGGGAAATACAGTGATCCATGGTTATAATTGTAGTGGAAATTCAGAACCATGTGATCCTCCTTGCCAGTTCATAGAACCAGTTATCCTGCTGCAGGAAGTTTTTTGCAGGGATGTAAGAAAGGATGTATATGATAATATAATTACACAGACTCCCATCATGGAGCTGCTTAAAATAACATAATGAAACCATGCCAGGTGCAGTGCTGTTCTTCTGTAACTCCAGCCACAGAAGACTGAGGCAGAAGTGTTACAGGTTAATGGGCAGTTAGGGCTATAAAGTAAGTCTGAGGTCTGCCTGTGCTACATAGCATTATTACACAAGAAAAAAATACAGCAAGAAAGTAAAAACCAATCTTAGGTATTTACCAATAGAGAATTGAAAAAGAATATATATAATAAATCTCCTTTTTTGACTCAGATATATATTACTATTAATAATCTTTGACCAAGTTATAGTTTAGAATATAATTATATTTTTGTAGGCTTTTTAAAAACCTATATCTGCCCATATCTATATGCAAAGACAAAGAAAAGCTTAGAAAAAAATATTTACTAAAATTTTATAGCAGATTGGTTTGGAAGAAAGAAATATTAAAACTTCAATATCTTTTTTTTTTTAACTGAACACTTCTTGCTCTTGTTTAAAAGCTTTTTATTTTTTGTTATTTTAGGAGTACAGAATAATTATGGGGACATCCAGTTTACTGTAGAGAGTTTATCCATGATGTTTTTGTAGGATTTCTTTTTATTTAAGTCCACAAGGTCAGGCTTTTTCTTTTTCCTACAAATAGAGTTTTTTCTTACATAATGTATTTTATCTCCTTCCAGTCCCTTCTCACCTCTCCTCCCATCCACATTCCCTTTCTGTGTCTCATTAGCAAAGAACAGGCTTCTAAGGTAACAAGCAAACATAATAAGATAAAATAAAAACTAACACATTGAAATTGAACAAAACAAACAAGAAAAAGAGCCCAGAGAGGCATAATGATCAGAGAGATCCACTCATTCACACACTCAGGATCCGCATACAAACACTAACTACATTTTACATGCCAAGGACCTACTTGGTCTCTGAGTGCATGTGAGCTTCATTCTAGTTGACTTAGAAGGACTTGTCTCCTGGTGCCCTCAGTCCCCTCTGGCTCTTACACCCTGTCTGCCTCCTCATTAGCAAAAGTTCCCTGAGCACTGAGGGAAGGGATTTGATGGAGACATCCCATTTAGAACTGAGTGTCCCAAAGCGTTTCATTTTCTGCATAATGTTTGGCTGTGGGTGTCTATATTTCTTCCCATCTGCTGCAGGAGGAATCTTCTCTGATGATGCTGAGCAAGGCACTGATACATGAGTATAGCAAAATGTCTAGCAGTCATTTTGTAGCTGTAGTTTTTGTTGCTGTTGTTGTTAGAACAGTAGTATTTGGTTTTTACTCTAGGTCCCTGAGCTCAGGCTCAGCCCCAGCATTATTGGGTATGGTTTGACACCATACCTTTTAAAATATATACACTCTTAAGTAATAATTTCCTTTTTCATTTCCATTTGCTGTTTAAGAACTGAATTGACCTTTTTGATTATTTCTTTTATTCATTTAGGTCATCGTGTCAATGAGTGTAGCATTTGCTCAACAAATGGAACTGTCTAGAATATCTGAGGGGAAAGAGAACTCTATACAATCAGAACAAGCACATGCTCTATGTTGGCAAGAACACCCTTTTGATAACATCACATCACAGGGTCAAGAATATCCAGAGACTCTTACCAGAATTGACAAGAATTTTAACGAACAGTTTAAACCACTTAGCAATGAATTAGAAGAACATAGAAAAGTACCTTTGTCTAACCATGATGATCTTAATGATGATATATTAAAGTCAAAGGACTATGCGCTGAGTATTTCACAAGAAATATTTTCCAAAGATGAAACACTTACAGTTAAACCATGTGTAAGTATGACTTCTAGGATTTTTTTTTTTAATAAAGCAAGCAATTCTTAAAAGTAAAAATGGTTTCTTTACTATTAATACATTATCAATAGTGTTGCTTAAGGAAGAAAAAAAAGTATCAAGTCCAGCCTGAGTAGGACTCACATTGTTGTAGTTTATTAGTGATGAAGCATATAGTAAAATGACATTAATCTTATTGAATATTATACGTAACAGTGAGGTGGCTCAGACCCCAAGCCTGATACACTGAGTTCAGTCCCTGAGACTCACATCATAAATGGAGAGAACTGACTTCCCCAAGTTGTCCTCTGATATGTGTGTATACACACACACACACACACACACACACACACACACACACACACGGCTCACATGCTCATAGAGAGGTAAAATAAATGCCATGTACTAAAAGCACTCTATTTACTTTTTAAACAATAAAATCCCATAAGTTACAACTATTTTAACTTTGTTTTAGTTAAAGATTATTCTATAATCTTTATATTCTATATTATGGTATATTCTATATATTCTATAATATGGTAATATCTATGACTGAAAGATTTTCTCAGTTAAATATAAGAACATATAAGGAAATAGTCACTATTTAAGAGAATAATTTAAAACATTTTACTATCTAAGTCGTATTTTTCCTTTTCTTTACATACTCACAAATAGACTTGTTTCTCCAACAGTTTGCTATCTTTAATGGGCTGAAATAAGTCCTATTTCTCCTAAATATTTGAATTCAAATTTATTATTATATTGTCCAAGACAATTTATATCTTATTGAGAAGGAGATTCAAAGAAAGTTGCCTTGTCTTTAGTAACTGTCTGTTCAAGGATGCTCGTAGAAGCCATTAGTAATTTGATGTGTTCTGAGTTAGAGGTACTGATACATGACAGTCTCTTATGAAGAAGTTCTCTGGTATGCTGTGTAACCGCTTTATAATATAGATTTAATAAATAAAACTTCCTGCTTCATAGGTACAGTTTTAAGATTAAAAGAAAATCTTTATATCCTCATACAAAATGTCAAGAAGAATAATGGTGTCATGGTTTTATTAAAAGAAGAGGGAATATTGAATATCTTTATTATTTTTCCTTGAGAAGTATAGTTTAGCTAAACTGACTGGTACTTTCCTCCTATAAAGTAACACATTGTGGTAAGTAAGACTGTCTTAGAATTGTGATTAAAAGAAATCCGTTTTGTAATTTAGACTTTATTTACTACTAAGATTAAAAATTCAGGTGCCCTGTGGGTTTAGTAGAATTGCTTTCATGTTCATTGAAAATATCAATAATGGTTAATTTTCTCGATTCATGTGTGGCTGAACTTTTTGTTTCTACTGATAAAGATCCACGATGAGGTATCATACACAGAGACTTGTAAACAGTTGGAAGATATGCGGCAAGAACTTGTACGCCAACATGAAGAACACCAGCAGGCAGCAGAACTGTTGAGGCTGGCACACATGAGGCAGATGGAGAGGCAGCGAGAAGACCAAGAACAGCTAGAAGAGGAGATTAAGAGTCTCAGGGAGCAGTTAGCCCAGGTTGGCACTGAGAATCCCTTTTGTCTCCAACTAAAATAACATTCTTTATGTAATCCTTTTTAAAACTTCAAAATTATGTGGCAGATCTGAAAATAATTAGGAGTATTTAACATTAGAATCACCCCATCAGCCAACAGTTTTAGAGCTCAAGGCACATCTAACTCAGGTTTGTAGTATTCATCATCATGCCTTCATGCATAGCAAAGGATGTGCAAGGGGCACCTTGTCAGCTTGGGCAGTCTGCACTGAGGTGCTTGCTTGTGCAGCTGCCTCCCTCCCATAGTCAGGTTACTTCTGTCCCCCAGTTAGCAGTCACAGGTGCACCTCTGCCTGTCTATAATCCACCTTGCTAATCAGTGGGATCTGGGGTACCATGTTGCTGGAACTTTGTCTTGGGAAACATTTCTGGTTGATTTGAAAAATGAAACATTCTTAACCCTTTCTTGACTATATTTAAAAATTTGTTGGTATTTGGGAGCTATAATCCTTCTGGTTGCTATATAAAATATACTTGCGAAATCATTGCAGAAAAGCTTGTATGAAAACGCTAAATTTTGAAAACTAAAAGAAAAAATGGAGACACACTGACATGGATTCCTTCAGATATAAAATAATGAGAAATTTGGGGTTGGAGCATAAAATATGGACCATTTGAAAAAAAAATCAGTTTTGCTTTTCTTCAATGTATTTTGTGAATTCAGATTTCTGAATTTCTCAATGCAAATTTGACATATAAGTATTAATTGAGGCATGTAAATCCCTGAATTGTATAATTTTAATTAACCTTTTCCAAAAGTGTCAAATCTTGCATTGAATTTTGCCTTTTAACCTCTTATAATGGAATCTAAATCATACATAGTTTGAAAAAAGGACTTGGTCCTAAGGGGTTAAAAGAATTCTGCTAATTGTTTCTGTGCTCTTCTATCATCAATATTTGCTTACAATCATTTCTCTTATTTAGAGATCTTCAATAAATACTGAAAACGAGGTTTCTGAGAGAGAGAGGGTGCTTTTAGAGGAGCTGGAAGCATTAAAGCAGCTGTCTTTAGCTGGAAGAGAGGAGCTGTGTTGTGAGCTGCGCAACAGCAGTACTCAAACACAGGTAGTATGGACTTTGGCTCATCTAGGAGCAGTGGGTCAACAATGCAGTAAGATTTGTTTGTCTTTCTTGTTGATGTGAGATAACATCTTTTTTTTTTTTTTTTATGGGCATTGAGCTTAATGTGTCTGATTGCATAGAAGAAAGGTCACCTTGCATTGTACTGGTAATTTGATTCTGGTATTGCAGTAACAGCAACTGTTGCTCCACCCTGGAACAGCCTAACAAATTTTACTCACAGTATACAGCATGCATTCCTTTGAACCCATTTCATTTTTTCATCAGTGCATTAGAATGTTTTATCTTTTCTTGATAATGCTAATCTTTCCATAACATAGAGTTAAACATTATTTCAAGCAGTGTCTACATCACACACAGTTTCTGTTTTGTCTTGTACCAGTATAGAAGTATGACTTGCTGTTTCTAAGATGACAGGTTTTCTCTTTGTCTTGTCCTCTCTGCCTTTACACCAACTTACACAGGATGGAAATGATACTCAGAAAGTTGAGGAACATACATTAAAAGAAGAGACACAGGAAAGAAAACCTGAAGATTCATCTCTTGATGTCAGCTTGTCCAATGAAAGGTACAGAGTATGTACTTGATCAGTACAGCATTAAATGCTGTTTTCTCTTCAGTAAACACTGTCGTACTTTTATCTTGTACCTTTGTGTTTTGTCTTAAAAGTTGTTCTATGTGTGAAATTTGTGGTTATAGGAAGGGTTGACATTTTTATTGTTATAGTCTAATTTTAAAAAATCTTTTGCATACAATACAATTTTTATTAAATATTGATATTGATTCTATGTAGGTATTATTTGAATATTGGGCTTTTCTTGATTAATTTTATTTTCATAATGCTATTTTGAATACTAACAATTTCTAGTTGTGGGTTTTATGTCTTGTGGTTTTTATTCACTGGAAGGATGTTCATTTAGTATTAGGTACTTCCTTGAGAAAACAATGCAATAAATATTTCACATTTAGGTTATTTTTGCATTTACTGTATAACACATAAGAACTTTTAATCTGTATTCAAGTTTTATAGTGGAGTAAATCACCTGATGGTAAGAAAAACTGTTCCTTACTTTGATATCACAGAGATTAATATAAAAATGTGTTACACTATACTCTGTGAGACTAGATAGCCCATATTAAGCTAAAGGCCTTTTTAAAAGTCATAGTGATTTAAATTTATTTATTTAAATGGAAACAATTTCTTTAAAATTAGATCTAATATCTTCTCACAAGTTCTGTAACTCCTCACCTCTTTCCTCAGCTTGCATGGAGGTTAGGTCATCAGTATTAAATTTAAACAAGAAAAACAGTGTTTGAAAATTAGAATTGCCATGACAATGTAAAATGTATTATTTTGCTTTTCATTATAGTTTTTCTTTTATAAATTTTTATTTAAATTAAAAATAAATACCAATCCCAGTTCCCCCTCCCTCATGTCCTTCCATCCCCCCCATCCCACCTCCCATCTACTCCTTAGGGAGGGTGAGGCATTCCACAGGGGATCTTCAAAGTCTGTCAAGTCATTTGGGGCCCTCACCTTTGTGTCCAGGCTGAGAGAGTATCCCTCCATGGGGAATGGTCTCCCAAAGCTCATTCATGCACTAGAGATAAACCACTGGTTCTGCTACCAGAGGTAGCTATGCTACCCATAGACTGCCCAAGCCACCCAGCTGACACCCCATTCAGGAGGCCTTATGCTGGTTTCCAAGCTGTCAGACTGGGGTTCTTTGAGCTCCCACTTGCTCATTCTTCAAAGACACATTTTGTTTCAGGAATCTCTTTAGTATTATAAACTACCAGATAACAGAAGGAAGCAAAATGCTGTTCACATAACAGATTCTAAGAAACTGGTAACTTGCTGACATGTATAAAGGGAATGGACTGGAGTTTGGTGGGGGTGATAGGGGAGGAGGGGAGGATGAGTAACTGGGATTGACATGTAAAACAACCTTGTTTCAAATTTAAATTTAAAAAAAGGAAAGAAAAAGAGTTAAGAGCAGTTCAGCCTATACTCAAATTCTACCTCCTATATTTATTTAATCATAGGAATAGAGTTAACCCTACAGGGTTATTGAGAACATTAAACTAAATGTTAGTGAAATATTTATATGTCTTCATACAAGCTTTTCACTATTTTATACATCATGTAATATTTGCATTTTTGGTTATTTTATGTAACTTCTTAAAATGAGTATTAATCCTTATTTGTTTTAAACTGTTATATTAGTTTAACCCATTTTAAATAAAAATAGTTTAATCATGGGATTTGACACTTGAATAAAACTTAAGAAAAAGTTCAGGAAATAAGACCTTTTACTTTCTGTTATTTGGTCTTATTATTTTTAGTACTTTATTTTATAAGTAGATAACTTGATCTGGATATAAATACAGAAGCTTGTTTTTCACGTGACACCTAAAGGAAACAACTCCATTTATTACCTTGCCCTTAAATAGGTGGTTCATGTGCCTGGGAAACAGACAGCCATTAACATGGTTGTTGGTAATCTGCATTATAAAGTGGGAAGATAAAACTCTTAAACCAGAGCACCTTTCACTTCAGAAGCCTGTCATTTGTCCTTAGGTATTAAGTATAAAGTTTGCTATTATCACTACTTCTGGAGAATTAAGCTATTGAGATTAACCAGATAATCTTTTCCATCACCATTTATGGAAATACATTTTTTTTTTTTTTTGGAAACATTTTAAAGGGTTCATGTTACTCTAAAAAGAAACTTCATGAAAACACTTGGTCCAGGAAAATCCTCATTTATTGTTTAAAAAAAAAAATGTGTCTATTTATGAGTAAGATAGAGGGAAGGAGGAAGTCTAGGCAATACAGTTTTAATGATTGGGACATAAAGATGGCTCTTTGGTTTATAGCACTTAATGCTGTTGCAAAGGACCGGGGTTCAGTTCCCAGAATCCACACTTAGAAGATCACAGCAGCCTGTAACTCTAGGTCCAAGGTATCCAATGCTGACTTCTGGCTTCTAAGAGCTCCTTCTTACATGTGATGCACACAAAGTCCCACAAGCACTTACATATTACATAAATAAAAATAAATATGACATTCTTATTTTAATTCTAATGATATGTCTGAATGCCAAGACATTTCAGGGAAGAGTTAACCAGTAGCATCTTAAACAAAACAAAACAAAAAAACTTTAAAATCTTTTTAAAAAGAAAGACATAATTAATTTCTGTTTAGTTGAAAACTTTTCTTCCTCCAATTGTCTGAAATACCTAGTGATGTGTGAAACTAGGTATAGTTTTGTCTCTAAAAATAAACACAATTGCTTTGGTGTTACCAGGCTTAAATTTCATTGTTAACCTTTACAATCAGGACTGTGCCTGTGCCTCTTAGGTCTGTTTAAATTTAGGCATCTCATTCGTCATCATCAAGTTGTAAAAACAGTGCCACATTTTTATGTGGGTTTTTAAAATTATATTTAAAACATGTTGTTTGTCACATGAAAGGATGAAATACCTAATGTTGGTATGAGTAACCATGAAAAGTATTACCAACTCAGTATCTCACATACACTTCACTTTTACCGCATTTTAATTGTTCTTAAAAATGGAATCATTAATTTAAAATCTTAGTTACTTGATTTTTTTTGGGGGGGTTAATAAAACGCACACTGTTGTAATCCACATAGAACTCCTAGAAGAACACAAATAATTTTATAATATGGTTTTAAAGTAAGTTAAAAACCAGAAGAACTTCACTGTGGTGCAGTTACAGATTATTGTTAAATATTTTCCAGTTATTCTTTTTTTTTTTCCCAAGACAAGGTTTCTCTGTGCCTGCCTCTGCCCTGAGTGCTGAAGCTAAAGGCGTGCACCACCACCACTCAGCTCTGTAAAGCATTCTTGTGCCATAATAGCAGAATGTTTTGTTTAGTTTTTCATTAAGCATTTTATCAAATGATTCTTTTTCTGTATAGACATGCTCTCCTGAAAGCCAATAATAGACTACTAAAGATTCTGTTAGAAGTCGCCAGGACAACTGCAGCTGCTGAAGAAACAATTGGATGCCATGTTCTTGGCATTTTGGATAGATCTAGTAAAGTTCAGCCAGCTACCAACCTGCTTTGGAGATCAGAAGCAGACGTATCTGCAAAGCCTTCTGTTCAAGAAGAAAGTGGAAGAGGTAATGGTTCCATATACTGTTGAAACAGTCTACATCTTCAACATAGGCTCAACTCAAGGAATGCTCAATGTACAGAAAAATACAGAAGGGAAAATATGCAAAGTTTTTGCAACTAATGTACTGTCCCACACAGAGACCTTAAAACTACTATTCTCAAACACCCTTACTATATAGCTTTTGCAAATGGGTGCCTCAGGGCTGTCACTATCCACACTTGGGGTTACTCCTCTTCTTTCCTACTGATAAAGGATAATTATGCTCACTGCCCAGGGCTTTTACATCCACCTGTAAACTAGGAAAGGTTAAAGAGATTATTAGGAATCAAGCACTACTTGAGAGGATTCAAAGAAGTCTTTATAAAACCTGACTTTATCTTGTTTGGACTGTCCTCTGCTATGTCCTCTCTGCCTTCTGGAAAGTGTGTCATGTCTACATTTGGGGACTAAGGTTTGACTTTCTTTCACCATCTTCTTACTTGTCTGGCTGTTTACGGTGGGCTCTTCCTTTGGCTTCTATGCCATCACCTTGGTGACCTCTAGTCTCTCTTATTTTTTCAGTTCCTTATTCCTAGCTGAAGAAGAATCAGGAAATCAAAAGACCAGAAAGCTTTGTCAGGTGTAGAGAGGTAGTGTCTGAAAACTTGGATTCAAAGATCCCAGCCCTCCTCCCTCCCAGTCCTCACCTGAGCCCTCTCCCCAGCCAGAGTCAGCTCTTCCAAATGCTGCTTTGGGAATTTTAGAGAGCATTTGGCCTGCTATGCTCTCTGGAGTAATGGAAAGAAAACATCCAATTATAGATGGTTTGCTTAATTTCACGTTGGTCATCAGTGCACTTTTCAGCTCAAAGAAAAAATTTGACTTAAAACTTTTAAATAAAATTAACTTAAGTATACTTCAGTTGAGTTCACAGATAAATTTTTAGATGCTGTTACTAAAGTAAGAACTGAAAATAACAGTTTTTAAACTTTCTTTTTAAGTTCACTTTTGACAGTTGGTAGATTTACTTTTGAGATTAACCTTTTTATTTCCTGTGTAATCTCCAGAGCAAAGGGTATATTTTTAATGTGTGTGGATTTAATGTATGTGTAAAGAAAAAGTTAACATTTAAACATGTAAAAGTCTTTAATGCAATTAAACTTAAAAGAAACCAAAACAAACAAATAAAAAGCAAAAAAAAAAAAAAAAAAAAAAAAAAACCCAAACAATGAACTGGTCTTACTTAGCCAGCTAGGGAAGAATTTTACTGTTCAACCACGTAACCTGAGACAGTGATGATGTCTGAAGTCAGAAATACCCTGAGGAATGGATTGCAGATACTTCTGTGTCAACAGTTGTCAGAGATACTAAAACATTCAGCAAAGTCATTGGGCTCACCTGTCAAGAAGTTTGCTGGGCATTATAAAAGCGATAATTTGACAATTTAAATTCAGCACAGAAGATTGTCTTGATGTTTATTTACTTTGAGAATGTAGATCTCAAAGGACATCTGCTCCATTAGGCTTCTTAGAAGTTAATTTTCCAGTGTAGGTGAAATGTTTTTTATGTCCATTAAAAACAAAAAAGGCCTAGTAGTTATTTATCAATGATAAATACCTCAGCTGAATCCTATTAGACATGTCTTGAACTTCCAGCAACTGTTATTGGCATTTTCTCCATGATAGCTGCTCCGTAATAATTCAGATTACTAAGAGCAGGAAGAACTGGCATTCTCACCAGAGGCAAGATCAAAGTAGAACTGATATTTTGCTTAAAAACATTCTATATATGTCTTAGTCAAGTAAGTCCTTAAAATATTATTCAACTGGGAGCCAGTTATAAAAGAGTAATACTGCAATACAAGAGGAAAATTTAAATACACAGAAGTACAGTGTGTAGAATGTTTTTTCAAAGATTATTTTGCTAACATTAGTATCAATGTGTGCTCTCCAGTTGACATTTTATGTTTTTATGTTTAGCTATTGCTGTTGACTTGCTAATTTACAAAGGGGCACTCACAGATCCAGTTTTCACTTTCTTGTAAATTTTGAATTAAAATAACTTACGGTTTTAAAATGTTGAGGTTTTCATAAACCCCAATAAAGTACTGGCTTTAAAATATTATTAATGTGCTTTGTGTGTTAGAATTCATCCTGTCATTTCTTCATATTTTTGAATGGAAGCATTATAAAAGCTAAAACCTTTAAAAGTTTCTTTAATGTCTCATTTGTCATAACAAAAATTAAGTCTTAATCTGATTATAGAGTGGCTTTTACTCTTCAGTTTTATGTATGGCTTTTTTTCTTGTAACACATGTGGCCTGAACTTGTTGAGATTTTTAACAGGTATGGACTTACTAACCCTTGAAAACATAAGTAAGAGATTTGTTAATATTTTCTTGCTTATGGGAATAAGCTAGTTTATGAAGTTGAAAGGTAAGGTTAAGCTAGTGTAGCTTCACTTCAGTCTGCAGGAATGGCAGATCACCTGACAAAATGAGTTCCTTTAACTCTGAAATGTCTTAGAGGATAGATGTTTCTCTCTCTACTGTGAAGGCAGGAATGGCAGGTTGTTTCCCATGACTTCTTTTTTGCATAGTGCTATGCTGTAGAATAGTAATAGTGTCCTAATGATGAGAAGGTGTTGACTCTTTTCAGGTTCATCATGACCTTGGGCAATTTAATCACTATCAGATCTGTCTCTCTCTTTCCTTCCTTGTTCTTTTGTTTTGAAATGATTTTTTTTTTTTTGTGGACCAGGCTAGCCTTGAACTCACCATGTGGCCCAGACAAGAGCATCTAGGCAGGATCACCCCTATGCCTGGACTACTACCTAGGAGAGACCCTACCTGAAGACTAAAACCAAACTATGAAACAAAAACTACTGAATGTGTTTCATCTTTATCTCTGGGGGGTACTTTAGTACCTGCTTTTTAAATTACCCAGTCCAGAAACACTGATATCCCATGACTTTTACATTGTGCTTTGTGCCTGAGATTTACTACTATGTATGTATAGTATCTTTAGTCTTTTGCTAATCGATTGCTCCTCTGACCACAAGTCATGCTGCACTGTTCTGTTAATCCTGAGTGTGTACCACCACCTCCTGGCTTCTGGCTTCTGGGATTAAAGGTGTGTTCATGACTTCTATGGCCTGTGGCTAACTTTGCTTCTGAATCCTCAGTCAAGCTTTAATAAATCATAAATAATGTATCATTACAAACATCTTGCAGTTTTCTTCTTGCCTTGCCTTTTTCATTCACTAGTGTCCAACTTGTATCCTCTCCTCTATTGTACTTCCCTACTTGTGTCTTTTTACGCCATCGTTTTTATCACCTCCCATTGTGTACTTGAAATAGCCTTTTAACAAATCTATTCTTTTCTATGGATGCTATTATATTCCTGTTTAAAAATATGACTAACCCTTCCTAATCTTTAGAAAACCCCACAAAGTTCCAACAAAATCTAAGATAGTTCACAACTTGGATCCAGCCTATTTTCTAGTTATCTTCTTTTAAAATTCTCTCACATTTCACCCCCATTTCTTCATATATATTTTTTAAAGATTAATATTTTCATAATTTCAGACTGTTTTCATTGCCTTAGATTTATCATAGTCTCCAACCCCATGAATATCAAATGTCACTAGAATGTACTCAGTCTCACAGATGAAGATAGTGTATGTCATATATGGTTTTGTTTCTTCAGTAGCATGTAAAATTTCTTGCTCCCATAGCTTCCGCAAAAATATATATTTTCTAGACAGCTTCATTTGACTTAGTAAATGTTACAGTATGTATTGTTGTACTGTACTATTTGCATATTTTGCATACCATTTTGAATCCCAAGATCGTGAACTGTAACAGTTTTGACTTATACATGTATAATATAAGGAAATACTAGTATAGTGGTTGTGCTTTCTTTTAAATTGGAAAATAAGATGCAAGGTAAAAATTATATTAGTTCCTATGCCAGTGATGAGAATTACATAAAGTTATGTGTAATAGTACATTTGAGGGTTCTATAGAGATGATTAGGCTGTTAGAGCACTTGCTGTTCTTCTGAGAATTCAGGTTTGGTGCCTAGCACTTACATGGTGGCTCAAAATTTTGTATACATACACACAACACACACAAGGTATACATCCATACATGCAGGCAAACATATACATACATACATACATACATACATACATACATACATACATACATAATCTTTTTTTAAGGCATATGTTTAAAATTGTGCCCTAGAATATATACTTTATAGTTGCCTGTTCTAGTTTCATAATCTGTCACCAATGATCTCTTCAGTAGAGGTCACTAGTAGATGTGGTTATAAAAGCTGCATCTGATTTCATGGCTCTAGCATGTTATCCTGGGTGATTGTGGCGAGCTCTAGGGTGCTATCCTGGTGAGTGTGGTGAGCTCTAGCTCTGTTAAGTCTAGATAAACATAAGCTCTTGCTCTTGTACTCAGTGCACCTTGACTCTTCCACTGCATAAAGAGATGACGTGGGCTGATGGTCGTAGATGTTTTGTGTGCAGTCACATGTGTTCATGTGGGAGCTAGAGGTCAACATCAGGGATTTTCCTCCGTTACTCTCCACCTTGTTCTTTGATACGAGTTCTCTCATTGAACCTGGAGCAAGCACCAAATACTCCTGTCTGTGCACCTGTCTCCTCTCCCTAGGACTAGGGTTACAGGTGTGGTCTACCTGGGTACTCATGCTCATTTGGCAAGCACTTGATCCACAGAGCCACTTCCCTAGCCCCCTTTCATCTTTGTCATCTTGATGTGTTTACCTTCTCGTTATGAGATTATGAGTTCTCATCACTTCTCAAACAATACTTGATACTTAAACATCTATTTTAAGTCCTCTCAAAGGTGTTTTTTTGTTTTGTTTTTGTTTTTTTTTTAATAAGACTGTGAATATGGCTCAGTACATATAATCAAAGCTCCAGAGTTGATCCCCTGCACCAAAAAATAATTTTTCCATCAAAGAAAAGAATCTGACTAACCCAAGTATTAATTTCTATGCTCTTATTAATATAGCACTATCTTTTCCTAGTCTTTCTTACTTTCTAATCAATGCTCCTACTTTGCATATTCATTTTGTCAGTTTGAAGACCTTAAAATTGTAATGATTCAAGTTTAATTCATTTGATATCTTTAGTTAATTAAATGTTGTAACTTAATATTCTGATTAATTTATGCCTTTTATTTGCTATTATTTTAGTTACGCATGAGTCTGTACCCTCTTATCCTGGATGTGCCATAGCGAGAAATGACAGCGAGTGGTCAAAAGTAACTGAAGAAGGAGCAGACCTCTCACAGCAATTTTGGACTAGTGTCTTTGCTGGACCAGAAATAGATCCTGAAAATGTAGAGCTAATGTTGAATGTCAGCTCTCGACTACAAGCAGCGGTAGAAAAACTACTGGAGGTCATAAGTGAAACCAGTAGTCAGGTAACGTGCTATCTTAAAGTCTCTACTGAGTTTGATGCCGACTTAATAATTCTCTCTACTATTCCACAAAGCCTTGGTCAGACTTCCTTTTAATGATTGCATGTGTTCAAGCTGGGTCTAGTAGAGGAAACCTGTAATTCCATCTTTTGGTAGGCCTTGGCAGCTTAATGAGACCCTTTGTTTAAAAAAGAAAATGTGTGAAAACAGATCCAGGACTGTAACTCAAGTGTGAGCTACCTATCCTTTTATTTTTATGCACTTAACTTAGAATTACGGACTTGGGGCTGCTTTGTTCTTTGGGTTATAATTTTAGACCCTAGTTTTTTGTTTTATTCTAGCTTTAGCATTGAGAAATCTTATAGGTCAGCCTTTGTACCTTTTGAGAATCCTTTCTCTTTTGAATATTTTTCCTGTAAGATGCACGTGTTTTGTATTTTCTCTGCCTCAGTTTTAGGAGCAACCAGTTCTATAAAAAGTAACTTTTTATTAGAAAATGCTACTTAAACCAAGAGCAGGATGCTGAATATACTCATAGTTACTTAGATATCATACCTTCTTTTAGTGAGCAGTTTGAAATTATGTGTGTGTGTGTGTGTGTGTGTGTGTGTGTGTGCGCGTGCGCGCTCTTAGGTATGTATGTACATTTATATAAAACAAATGCCCATCATTTTGGAAGCAGAGTCAGGTGGATTTGAGTTCAAGGCTAGCCTGGCCTACATAGTAAGCTCCAGGATCACTAAAACAGCAATAAAATGTATACTGATATTTCCGATTCCTATCAATAACTCCAAGAGTAAGAAAGATTTTTCTGGTTCTGTTGTATTTTTATTTATGCCTTTAACATTGCTTGATCCCTATGTAATTTCAGAATTTCAGAATTGCTAATCTATACTGATAGGAGAATCAAGTGTGCTAACTATAGTTTGTAACAAAGTATCTATAAATAATGCTTTTTGTAGTATACATTACAATCAAAGTTCTGTATGTTTACTCTTTTCATCCTTACCATGTCAGTATGATTTTTCTTATATAGACTCAGTTTGTAAACTTTTTTTATTTTGGCTTCTTCCTATAGTGATTGTTTTTAATTGAATAAAATTATCTCTATGTGGACAGTTCTTCCAGTTGAGAGTTACATGTACCTACACTGACGTCACAATGCAATGTAATCCCATCACCCCAATAGTGTGTCCTGCCTGGCTCTGTTCTTTATAGTCAGTCATTTCCCATTCTCTGCCTTTTAAGAGTGTCACAAATGAAATCATATTCATGTTCTCTTTCAAGTCTGCCTCAAGTGCCTTAACAAACTGTCCTTATGTTATGATTCTCTTATGGTGTGTTTATGGTAGGAGTTTCTTTTTGTTCTTTTTTGTAAATGAGGAATATTTCATTGTATAGATGTACCAATTTATGTATTCATTGCTTAAAGGATAATAGAGATTGTTTGCATATTGAGATTCTTAATTTTCAAAACCAGCACTTTGGCACTTTGCTAAAGATAGACTGGAGTACTTGGGAGTGGTGGGTGCACTTACAGGACCTAAACTCAGAAAGAAGCTCCAGAGGTCACTTGCCCAGCTTAGCAGTCAGATAGGTGGTAGAGTTATAATTTGAACCCAGGCTGTTTAACTACAGTCTGTGTCCTTAGTCAGCACTTCTGACGTCTGAACATGAATGAATGATGACTGCCTATCATAAAACACTGATAGGTAATAGAAGTTCAAAGTGAAAAAAGTGGCTTCACTGGATACCTTCCAAGAACAATTTCAGTGAGATAGCAGAAATGAAACCCTGGTTCAGGAGACAGTGAATTGAAATGAAGAGTTGAGGATAAGGAAAATAGGTGTGCAATCAAGAAGAAAATTTGTGACAGTTGGCTTAGGATGTTGTAAGGCAGCCCTGTGTTGAAGAGCAAGCAGTAGCTAGTTCTTTATGAGAGTTTATAAATGGGTGAAGATCACAGGACAGAGTCCATTGTGAAATAAATTATTGTAGCTCTTCACTAAAAAAGAGATATAGGAAGTAATTAAGATATTTTAGCAGGAAAAAACGACACCAAATGTATGTTTTTGAGAGTAAGGTTCCTGATGGGCAGGAAAGTGGTGAGGAAAGGTGTACCAAGTGTGGAAAAGTGGGAGACTCTGATTATCCCGGGTGAGAGGTAGCAGAGATCACTTTTGGATTGGTGGGAATTGATTTGGTGTGTATTTAGGAATGGGATTGAGATTGACGTAATTCATTGAGGAAGGTGCAGTGAAAATGAAGGGAGTGCCTCAGGCCTGAACACTTTGAGGCCTGAGAGAAGTGAATCACGGGTTCCATTTCACAAAAGTTGCATTTTAATGCAGGGGTTAAGAAATGTGGAAATTGTGGGTGTTCTCAGACCTCTCAGATTCTGAAAATAGTCTGAAGTTTGGAGAGAACTTAGAAATGTCATCATTTCCGGGAGTTTGAAACTATGCTTTGCCTTCTTTTTCTGTTTTCTTACCCTCAGGGATAAGTCTTATAAAACACAATATTTGTGCCAAGTGTGTTATTAAATTCATTACAAGCTTTATAATCTTAGAGGAGCTACAAAATGGTGGGGGGTTTTGTACTCATAGAATACTGGTATATAAGAGAGGATTTAAAAAAATAAAAGACATAAATGTAGAGTATGTAAATCTACAAAAGATTCTGAGAATCAGAGGTGAGATGAGAGCCATAGGAGTAGTTTCATAAAAGATCAATGAAGAGTTTCCAAAAGGGTTAGAGACCTAGGAGAAGTTAGGGATGCTATGATTGTCGTCAGTGACTTTGGTGAAAACACTTTAATAGAGTGATACAGGAGAATTAACAGTTCAGACTTCAATAGTTGGAGAAATAAATCAATCTCATGGCATCCAGTTGTAATGAAAGTAGAGGTGGCATGAGAAAGTCCGAGTGAAATTTTTCTTTTTCTTTCTTTCTTTTTTTCTTTTTTTCATATTGAAATCAGATTGATTAGCAGTGACAGATGCAGGACAGGGCATCAGTTTATATCCAGCTCCTTGAGGGTAGGAAGACATGGAGCTCTGAGCACAAGGGGAAAGTGTAGGTTCTGCTGTGCCAGGCCTTCTGCTAAGGACTTACAGGTGATTGTGAGGTGCTAAATTGCATTGTAAAGGTCCAAAAGTTTAAGTAAACATTGAATATTCAAAGTTCATTTGTCCCTCCTTTCCTTACTTCATTCCCTTCCTTCTTCCCTCCTTTTCCTCTTTTCTTCATTTTCTTTCTTAGTGGTCCTGTATGTTGTATAGTTTTAGTACAAGAAAGTACATGATGAAACTTTGTACTTAGTTTTAAGGTTTGCCATGCCACTCCTTTAGGGTAGGTACATCTTGATTTAATAAAAGAACTGGGGAACATTCCACTAAGTTTCAGGGAAGCAGAAAGTATCTACCTGCATTGTAACCCATTTCCATAAAGTAGATTAATGTTTGGCTTTATATATTCAATTTGAAAGGTAATTTACCTACTGGCAGGTCTAAGTCTCTCACTCGCTCTCCTGAATCAGCATAATGTATGCCTATATTCCATCCACATGTTTACTGGGAAAGCCTGCTTTACAGTGTGATGGAGATGCTTGGAGACAGTCTGTGGGCTCCAGTGGAAGGAGCTCTGAGAGTATGGTTCACAGGTGCTTCTCTTTTCAATCTGGTAGAAACTCAGTTGTCTATCTTAGGTGATTACATTTCTCAAGGCTCAGAAATATGTTACAGTTTTCCTCATGCTAAGTTATCTTAATCTATTATACATTCTTTTTGTCTCTTGCCTGTGTGCTTAATTCCTATTTTAAATGTTACTATGTATGAAGAATATGTTTTTACCTACATGGTTTTATTCTTTCTTCACAAAGTAGAAACAGAATGCCAGATTATCAAAATTAGCTAGTTGCAGAGAAAATAAGGAAAGGCTATTTTAAGGAAGAATGTTTAGAAATGCTGAGAAAATGTTCAATGAATAAGAGTGTTCTCAGGCCCAACCTGAATTTGCATCTCTAGTGACTGTGTAAACAGCTGGACATAGCCCCATTCTCCTACAATCCCATTGCTGAGGAGAGACTGGAGACAGGAGGATTGAGGGTTTGCTTAACTGACCTAGCCAAGTTCAGTAAAGACCATCTCATGTTGTAAGGCAGAGAACAGTGGAGGGACATATCCAAAGTCATCCTCTGGTTTCAAAAATTTTTTTTTAATGTAAACTAAATGTACCGAGGAGATTCTTAGTCATTAAAGCACCTGCCACACAAGTGTAAAGGTCAGAGTTGAGAACTCACAGACATTCAGGGAGAGGGGAAGAGGGGGCCATGGTCTGGTGGCTTATCTGTAACTTCAGTCCCAGAAGACAGAGATAGGGGATCTCTAGAGCACACTGGCTAGCAAGACAAGGCACATTGGCAAGCTGTGGGTTTAATAGAGAGACCCTGCCTCAACAAATAGGATGGAAGAGTAATTCAGGATGGTTCCTGATTTCTACTTAGGGCTTTCACATATACATATGCCCCTCACCCCCACCACACACACACATGAAAGAAAAGTATAAGTACATTTATCTGCAGTACTAGTGGGATTATTTTTCCATATTGTATAAATAATAAGATATCTCCAACAACTTGAGTATGTAAGCATCTATAACAAGAGTGCCCAGCATGTGGACATCGTTCTGCTTCAGGCTCTGCAACCACAGCCATCACCCCAGGGTTCTGGGAAATCAATCAATCAATCAATCTCTCTCTCTCTCTCTCTCTCTCTCTCTCTCTTTCTCTCTCTCTCTCTCTCTCTCTTACTCTCTCTCTCTCTCCTCCTCCCTCTCTCTCCCTCTCTCTCCTTACATCCCCCTTCTTCCCTCCCTCCCTTCCAGATTGATAGATAGATAGACAGTCATGTGTGTGGGGCGGGGGGAGTAGTGATGGTATTCTGTTTTTGTTTTTCTTGCCCTGTTTTCTAGTTGCTAGGAAGAATTTGAATGCCAGCACAAACTGTAATAAAAATGACTATAAAACCAATTTTCATGGTATTATTACCTGCTTGCTTTAGAGTAGGTTTTTCCACTTAGATAAAGATTTTTGTGGGTTTAGTAAGTTTACAAAATAGAAAACAAAACTATCAAAATGAATGACTGTTATTCAAAGCAATCGTCATAGAGAATCTTTAATTATCAGGAATATTTTTTACGTAAGTTATTTATCTTTTGTGTTTGGAGTGGCTGTCTCACTCACCATTACTTTAGTTTTTGGAGCTACCAGAGACTGGCTGTTGATCACAACTTGGGCTTTAATGTCGGCCTACAGTCTGCTATGAGTTATGTAATTGCCAAGTATTATATATTATTCAGCTTCTCAAAGGAAAATTTCCTTATCTTGCACTCTAGACATTGAAAATGGGTTGTAACCAAAACATGTATAAGTCAGTGGCTTCTTAAATGTCTTGTTTATAAGAAAATACCAACCAGGTTCTAATTCAGTTTATTTTTCTTCTGATATACTTGAAATAATAATGTGAACACAATCATACTTTCTATTTTATATTCTTCAAGCAACATTTTAGTAGGATGGAAAAACACTAGCTTATCTCGAAAGCATTATAAACTTGTTTAAATACACTTTTCAAAGTTCTGACATGGAACTTGTATCCTGTTAGGCAGGCTTTTGTGTGGGCGTGGGTACTTACATTCCACCTGTCCATGTACCTATAGGTACAGGCTTTAACCACACCCTCTGGCCTCTTACTTAGGTGACACTCACTGAGACTTTTGGCTCAGCATGGTGTTTATTTGAATAGCTTAGCTCAGAGGAGAGTTTCCTTGTGAATTGTGAGGCTTGAACAGCAAGAGGAAATTCAGCACAGTTTCTCAGAAGTGCTACCATGGAGATTTACAAGCCGTCCTTGCCTGCCAAGGTCTACTTGGAAGGTCTACTTATTACTGTAGACACATTGAATACTGAGCACAGTCCTATTGCTTGACTAATTAGATCTTTATAATTTTATTCTTACATTTGTCAATGATTTAATTATTTTAGTTGGAACCATTTTTTGTTGCATTTATTCTTGATTTTTTGTGTTTTTTCTTTTTTTCTTTTGTTTTGCTTCTGTTTTGGTTTTTGACTTGATGGACTTTAGTGGGGATTGTGTTTTGTTACATTTAAGTTGAACTTTTGTATAAGCTTTTTTTTGTTCATTTTATGTGAATTAAGTTTACTTTTATACTAGTATAGAATGTCTTAATAAATTAAAAGGAACTTTGTAATGTAGTAAAAATGAAATAAAATAAATTGGAATAGAAGAAGCTAGGCAGCCTTATCTAAAATGGATTCTTATAGGACCTACTTGGCCACTGTCCAGCTCAGTGGCTCTTGGTTGGAAGAACAGGAGGAAGACATTTATGAAGTTGAATCTCGTGTGCCTTTGCCGTATCCTTATCCTTCATCTGAACATTTGGATGAAAATAACTCAGTAATTGTCAACATTTCTATTTTTCATTTTGTTCACAAAAGAGATGGACACATATTAAAGCTAATTTCTAAAATTTCACTACCTACCCCTCCTTATTCAGTAAGTATAAAATAGTACTTTAGAAATGTAGTAAACTGTAATGAATGGAAAATCTCACTGTCTTTGTGGGGGTTGAATGGACCAGATTCTTGCGTTACTATAGTGACTTACTACTAACATACCTGAGGTGGGCAGAAATGCTAAATGTTTGTTCAGTAAACCCCAGCCTTTTCACTTCAGATAGTACAGTGATCTAAATATTAAATTTCTTCAGTACCAGTCAAGCTATTTAAAAAGATTCTGTCTGTCTGTAATGCTGAGCCAAACTTTAAAAAATAAAAATGGAATAAATGTATTTGAGAGAATGGGTATTATGCTGCCTAAGACTGCCCAGTGAATTGCTGTGCCAGTTGGGGCTTGTTTGTAATCATATGCCTTATTGGCTACAGCTTGTATTCTAAATGTTTTTAAGAGCCCATTAGACTTGTTTCTGTTTCAGTAAGCTTATTAATTATATAGAGAAAATACCAAAATGTACTATATTTTGTAAGTACTGCTAAGGTTAAATGCTCATTGTAAAAATGCCTACTTGTTCAGGATTTCTGGTTGATAGCATCTTTAAATGTCTTACGAATATTCTTTTATGACTTGCATGACTTTAGCTATAAATCTTAGCTAATATTTAACATGCCAGATGATTTTCAGAATAGTTTTGCTACCTCACCAACAATTTTAATGTGACAGAATATTTATTAATGCTTTACCCACAGTGTTATGTGTTTGCTGAGAAGCAAAAGCTATGAATTATATTTTATTTTTTTTTATAGATTGAATGTTGTTGCACATAGTAGAAATCATGCATGCTTGGGTGAGAGGAATTCAAATATAAATTATTTAGGTAAAAATTTGAAGAAGCTTTTATCCCAGTGAAGTGTGAACCCAATGTGCTATCCCAATTTGTTTTTTAGCTTTATTCAGTTTTATTGCATCAACTATTTTATTTTGCCTTTTCTGGTTCTTATTGTAAATTTTTTAGTGTACTGTCACTCTAACTAGCTTAAACATAGTAAAATGACAGATAAAAGCAAGTGTTTGGCAATTTACTCAAAGCAGTATTTTACCTTGTTTTAAATCCTTTGTTGAATTTCTGTTGTAAATTTTAAATATGAAAGAAATGCACTGTGTTGGTTACAGCTCTGAACTCTTAGAGAGTTCTCATATTTAGTAGGTAGCAATGAAGTAATTTACTGGAGGGGTTTACATGTGCATATGCAGAAGTGATTGGTACTTTTTGGAAATAGTGTTGCAACTAAACTGAAAAAAAAAAGGTATATGTGTACATATCATACTTTCTGACCATGTTTTTTGCAGTCTACATGAATGTTTATTTGACATTTAAAAAGAATAAATCCTTTTCCCAATTAAAGGTGTTTATATAAAAGCTTTATTCTTTTGTGTTGAATTCTCATTGGAATAACGTTTTAAGTTATATTTTAAACATCTTATTAAAGCAAGAATGGTCGAATTTGGATATTTTGAACATTTATTTGGATCAATGGTTTAGTAACATGAGGGTAGAAAGGTAGAAGCATTAGAAAGATGGAGAACCACTGATTTAGAGTGACCATAATGTTTAGTGACTCTACAGTCTATGTTATACTGTGAATAGTACTCAGACATGAAGGAGAGAAGTAATATTAAGTAGTACACATATTAATCATTATATCAATGCATAATTATATTAATATGTTGGTAGTTTATAATTATATTTTTGTTATAGTTATAATTATATATAGTTACATTTTAATATTAATGTGTTTTAAGAGATATTACTTATATCTAAGGTGGAAACCATTATATTTGTATTTTAAATTTAAAACTTGGTAGTTATATCTTGGAGATGCACAAAGGACATATAAACTTACAGATTCTGGAGATGTGCTGCTGTGACCCTGTTGCAGATACACACAGTCACTTGTTTTTGGAAGCTTCCGATTCATACTGATTGAGACAGGTCACGGGGAAGGCCCTTTAGGGGCCCAGATGAAGCAAGCAGAGACAATGCCTTTCTTTGATTTCACATAGCTGAAACAGCAGCACTGACCCATTTACCTCCTGCTTCAAATTTGTGCCTTCTGTCTGTTTTGCCATCTTTGCCATCCTCGAATGTGTACACGGACAACATTTGAAGGGTAATGTTCCTATAGCCTAAGGTTTTTCAGTAAATGAAATATCTTCAGAAGCTGTAAAGTTTTTACAAATACTTTCAGAAGTACAAAGCTTTTATTTAATAAGCAAGCCTTACAGTTTCATTTATCGTACCCCCCCCCTGTGAGTTTCTTCTTTTATTAGTCTACAACAAAATACAGTCAGTACTAAAGGAGTTAACAGTCATAATGTTGAAGATTTGTCCTGGAACATAGTTTTCTCGAAGTCTACAGCAAATACAGAGAGCTTTGCACCCACAATTGTGTGATAGAATCTATGTCCATTGACTTAAAGTAAGAAACAAATTCTGTAGCTTAACAAAAGTAGCCTATATCTCTTACAGAAAGTGGTATGCAGCAAATGTGTGTATTTGGTGTGACATTTCCTGCCTGATGTTGACATGTGCTTCAAGGGTGTGGGTATAATTTAATAAGATGTCTTTATTTCAGATCTTTTCTTAGTTTTTTTGCTTGTTTATGAAAAATGACACTGATTGCCCAACACTTACTTTCCTGTGTGTTCTCTTGCCCTCCTGTTTTAGCTTGAACGTGCAAAAGTTACACAGACAGAATTGATGCATGAGTCATTTAGACAAAAACAAGAGGCAACAGAGTCACTTAGGTGCCTAGAAGAACTGAATGAGCGTCTCCAAGAAGAGTCCAGGACAAGAGAGCAGCTGGCCGCTGAACTCAATAAAGCTGAAAGTAAGTGTCTTGCCTTTGGTCGCTGATAGGAGATAGGAGATGTTTCAGTCTTAAAATAGATTTGACCTTGGTCCACAGCCAGGTTTGTAAACCCCCCAGTCTAACTTAAAGTGACCATTGTAAAATAGTTATAGTTTGTCTTCTGAGTTTCCCTAAGCAGTTAAAAAATTTAAGAGTGCACATTATAAAAAAAATGTAGAATTAAAGTTAATATTTAAAACTTTAGATGATTCAAACGTAGATGGTGGTGAGTCTGAGTTTCTTCAAAATGAGAAAACTAAGGCTACAGCTGTTGTTTGTATGGAATAAGGTCATAATTAAATGGTATTGCAGACTTTAACTGCTCAAACTCTTCTTCTATTATCTCATGCTGGTGAGGGTGCTGGCAGTCTACGATTGCTTACAATATCAAACTTCTTTAGTATATTTAAAATGTGACTCAGTTCACAAGCATTTGATGTATTTTAGGCTCCCAGGAGCCTGTCTATTTCCATGTGTTTAATAAACTGAATTACATATTTGTGTTGGGTACTTTAGTATAGCAAAGTACTAGGCAATTTAGGGAGCTTTCACATTTACATACAATAAATAAGAAAAATTACTGCAAAATGTCAGTAAAGCTTGGCAGCAGGCTTTTAATAGGACAAAGTGATTGAAAGTTTTGCTAATAGGATGGTAAGCTTGGCCTAGATGTTCACATCTGCTGTCTCAATATTTAGAAGCTGAAGCAGAAGCATCATAGTGTTTAAGGCTAGCTTAGGCTATGCCAGTGAGACTCTGTGCTCCCAAAAAACAAATCCTCAAGGTGAATTTAAATTAGAAACAATTCTATTCCCCTACATTGTGTCTTATAGGTATCATTGATGTGTATTCGGACGAAAAACTTGCTTTTGAAAGAGAACTTCAGGAGAAAACCTGCACAATAGACCATCTAGAGCAGGAGTTGTCGCGCGTGAGCAGTAGACTTCAGGAGCTGGAAGAAGAGCAGCAGCAAGTGCAGGAGGAGCGGGAGCTACTGTCCAGGCAGAAGGCAGCCATGCAAGCAGTGGCTAGCCCCGTGCAGCAGCGTATGTATTGAGGCTGTCATCCAGTTCCTCCTTTGTTTTCATTCTTCAGATGCTCATGTGACATACTATCCTGTTCAGTGCCATTATTTGTATGTTTTATAGACGAACTTGAAAAATCCTAAGAAAATCACTTAAAAGGCAAATGAGTTTATTGGCCATTTTTTATGGAATCTTATTTTCTGTTTTGCCTTTTAAGGGTATTAGCTGTTAACAGGAAAAGAGAATTATTTATTTATGCTCAAACATCTGTATCAAAAAGAAAAAGCTAAAAGTAGTGAAGCTGCATATTTTGGAAATGGGTAAAACAGAATTCTTTTAGTGGGAGAGAGGTATGAGAATGTTGGGAACATTGCTTTGGTTCTGGGCTTGCAAGCCTGAGAGACCCAGAAGACAGATGACATTTCATTTAGAAGGATTCAAAGAACACTTACCTTCATAATGGCTAATTTTTATCTTGATTTTAAAGCTTGTTGAGTCATAAATATCTTTGTGACTATGGACTTTAAATCCTGCTTATCAAATCCTCTTTGATTTTAAATGCACAGCAGGGATCTATAAATTTGGTGTTTCTCTAGTTTGATCAACTTAGAAATAAAACATCTATTTTCTTCCCTAAGTGGGGTAGGGGGGGTGCTCAGATTATTTTGGTGCAGCGTTAGAGTTGGAATTTTTAAGGTTAAAGTGTCTCACGTCATACATACAAAATATGCAGGAGACATGAAACTGTGACATCAGCTTTCTAATGTGCGCAGCTATGCATTATCACATTTCAGGGAGCAGGGGACATAACTATAGTTGTGTTTGACTCTCCTAGGCCCAGTCGATGCTGCAGTCGATGCAGCTCTTGGAGCAGGTGTGTGCACAGTTGCATGCACTGTTGTTGGGTGGTAGACTCACACCTCAACATTTGGGTGACCCTTGATTTTCAACTAACATTTCTCATCTTGCAGTTCTCTGTTGTGTTCCTTTTGTTTTCTTTTAACAGAACGAAGCTTCATTGACAATGAAAATGTATTCATAGTTGCCATTATCTTATTTCATCTGTTTTTGCACAGAGCCCAAAACTGTTTTGATTTTTCAAGAAAAATGAAAAAAAAAAAAAAAAAAAAAAAGAATTTTGAGTATCTTTAGGACAGAAAGCATTTTTTTTCTTTTCTAAAAATTTATTATCTTTTTTTCATTTATTTCTTTTTAAAACTGTTTTATTTTACTTACTAATCCCAGTTCCTTCTCCTATCAGTCCTCCAACTCCCACCAGCATCTGGCCACCCCACCCTATCCACTCTATAGAGAGGGAGAGGCCTCCCATGGTGAATCATCAAAGTCTGTCATATCATTTGGGGGCAGGACCAAGGCCCTCTCCCCTTTATCTAGGCTGAGCAAGACATCTGTCCACAGGGAATGGGTTCTAAATCCTCTGCCAGCCACCCCATAGACTGCCCAAGACTCCCCAACTGTTACCCACATTCAGTGAGCCTGGTTCAGTATTAAGCAGGTTCCCCAGCTATCAGTCTGGAGTCAGCTCCTACTAGCTTGGATCAGCTCTTTCTGTGGGTTCCACAATGTGGTCTTGACCCCTTTGCTCATATTATTCATCCTCCCTTTCCAACTGTATTCCAAAATTTCAGCCCAGTGCTTAGCTGTTAATCTCTGTATCTGCTTCCATTAATTACTTGATGAAGGTCTTATTATGCCAATTAAAGTAGTCATCAGTATGATTACAGGGGAAAAGATAGTTAACGTAGCCTCTCCCCTATTGCTTAGATTCTTCATTGGGGTCCTCTTTGAGGACTCCTGGCAATGTCCCTAGTGTTAGGTTTCTCGTTACCTCATAATGGCTCTGTCCTACCGCTGGAGGGAAGGCTTAGCTGTTAAAGGCTAGACTTACAACAAAAAGAAAAAACTATTTTTTTTTTAATACATTAAGCACCTGGTCTCTGATTTTTCCAGAGTATTTCTTGCAAAACAGAGAAGTTGATAAGCTAATGGTTACAGATGGATCAATTTATTTATTACTAAGAGGCTTTGGGACTGATTTGCTTTGATATTAACATATAATAATGGCATTGTTTTAGAAAAGATGTTTTCTATAGATCCCAATTCTGAATACAGTGTTGGCATATCAGTTAGTGTAAATATTCTGCCTGGTTATTTTCTCTTATCTTTTTGCTGTCTATACTTTATCACCTACAGGAACAACAGCTAATCCTCACAAGGTCCTGTCTATAAGCCAGACACGTGTTATTAGTTCATTTCACCCCCCCCAATAGCTCACATAAACCTGAAGAGCATCTTATCAAGTGTCACATAGGAAAAAGTAGTTGAAGTAGGAAATGAGTCTGTTCTGCATGCACTAACCATATCCATCCCTATATGTTCCCTGGTTGCACAAGCATGTGAACATGAAAAGGTCATTCAGAGATATGGATCTACCTTAATAAGCATCAGAGTAGTCAGAAATTCTGTCATCTCCTTCCTCTTTTTGTTCCCCTTTTCTTGGTTAAAGTTTTACAGCATTTGCTTACTGTATGTATTGTGTATGCACATACAGGTGTCTTCTGGCTTTGGAATGTACTTAGTTTTGCCTATGGTCAAAAATGTGGTCAGTGTTTTGTGTTTTAATTCTATTGAATATTGTTCTTTTCCTAATCATAGAAATGTTTTTTTTCTGTATTTACTACATTGTTTTCACAAAATATCTTTTTGTAATGGAATTCTTATTTATATTCATTCTATATAATAGTAGTTTACTATCTTTTATAGGAGTGAAATAGTTTGATATTTGCAGAAGTATGTACTTTTTAATGTATTTAAAGTTATTTTCTGCCTTTATTTCATGAAGATAAAGTTTTAAAATAAGTAGTTCATAACGTCATTTTCATAACATTCTGAATCATAATTTAACCAAGTGCACTGTCACATTTGTAAACAGAATTTCTTCAGGAGACAGAAAAACTAATGAAGGAAAAGCTGGAAATTCAGTCCCAGGCTGAAAAAGTACATAACAAACTTCAGAAGCAACTGAAAATTTTAGAAGTAGATGTTGAAGTAAAAACCAGTAAGTTAATAGAAATGGAGCAAGAGAGAAATGCCGACCTAGTAGATCTAAGGCAGCAAAACCAAGTACTGGAGAAACAAATGGAAAAACTTAAAAGATTTATTGATGTAAGTATCTTTAGGTTAAGCTCCATTTTTAAACCACATCTTGGTGTGTTGGTTGAACACATGTGAATAGGTGAGGTGGTTGGGAGGGCAAACAGACACATGGATGCTTGGACAGACAGACAGATGGGACAGGCAGATAGGAGGGTAGTTGTTTGGATAGGGTGGGTGGCTGGATGTCCACTAAGGCTGAGTTTATCAGTGATATCATCCATGTTTGCTTAGTATTCAGGAGTCTTTGAGTGGAATTCTTAGTAACAGAACAACTAAATATTGAATGCGTAAGTATTTTTAAAGACAAATTAAAAGTATACATTGTTTGTGAATAACCATGAGCAGCTCAGTTTTTCAAATTCAAAGTTAAGCCTTTTATGTTCTTGCTCTTTACTAGTCGTCAAAGCAGATAAAGAGTTAGAACTGCTTCCTACACAGCAGATAAGCACAGCTCCCAGTTAGCACATAGCACTGGGACTAGCACAGCTGCCATTTGTCACCGTTGTTACCCATAATGTCATTTGTTTGACCTTTTCACACAGAACAATTTAGGATTTATAAGCTCAGTATAGGTCGATATTTCTGTCCTGCCAACCAGGTCCCAAATAACCACACACAGACTTACTATTTATTATAAATACTCAGCCCTACCTAGGTTTGTTACTAACTAGTTCTTGAAACTTAAATTGATTCAAATGTCTTGCCTGTTTTTGCCACATTGCTTGGTACCTTTCCTCACTATGGCATGCTCATTTTGCTTCTCTCCATATCTTTGGGTGATTCTGTTCTACTTTGTCCCAAAGAGCTCGCTCCCTGGCCTCTAGTCCTTCTCCACCTCTTCCTGCCTAGCCACTGTCCATTTAGGTCTTTGTTAAACCAATGAGAGCAACACATCTTTACTGTGTACAAAAAGATTCTTCCACATCAGCCAATGATCTTCACTTGTCAGAGCATCAGTAGAATTGTTTTGTATTTTTAGGTGTAAGCCTAGAATAATAGCATTAAAGAAACTAATTTGTATTTCTTATCTCTTCTAACACTGAATTAGCAGTAGATTCCTCCTTTGTACCATTTCATCTTTTTCTAATTCTGCATTTGATATTATTTAAATAAAAAATAGTACTTTTTAATGATTTAAAATACTCGTTTATGTTGTAGAGCCCAAATAGGAAATGTACTATAACCAGTCAAAATGTGTTTTCTTCTTAAACCCTTGTGATTTTATGTATCGGCCCATAATCTTTAAACCTCTAGTTAAAGGGATTTAAGAAATAATGGGGACAATAAATATAAATAAGTAATAGTGTCATAAGTTCTATAAATATTTGATATTAATTCTTTTTTAGACAGAGTGTTACCATGAAGTCCTGCTTAGTGTAGAACTTGCTATGTAGACCAGACTGATCTCAAACTCAATAAATTTGCCTGCCTCTGCCTCTCGAGCACTGAAATTAATGATGTGCACCAGCTCAATATCAACATCATCATCATTGTCATTACTATTATCATTGTTCAGGAACAGGCAATTGATAGGGAGCATGAGAGAGATGCTTTCCAACTGGAAATACAGAAGCTTGAGCAGCAACTTAAGGTTGTGCCTCGCCTCCAACCTGTCAGTGCGCAGCAAACCAGAGAGGTAAGAACTCACTGATAGTATGCCCTCCCTTGTATTTATTTGCATCTTGAGCTTAAAACAGGGAATATTGAAAAACTGAAAAGTGGGTTCTTTATATTGTGTATCATTGTCGAAATATTTTGAAAAGGTGTTACATAAATTTAGGTACTTGTTAACTATAAAAATGCACTGTATTGGGCTGAGAGTATGTCTCAGAGTTTTTATCTACCATATTTGAAGCCCTTTGTTGAAACCCCAGTACTGGCATGGGGTAGAGGAAGCAGTTTGAAATTTGAAATTACTCCCCTCTGTGTATTACTCAATTTAATAAACTATTTTGTTCATTTCTGTATTCTCACTACCAGTAAAAGTTATTTGTGGTTATTTTCTGGAATGCAAGAATATTCATTGGGTGTATTGACTAATTTTATGTCAACTTGACACCAGCTAGAGTTATATAAAAGGAGGGACCTTTAGTTGAGAAAATGTCTCCATAAGGTCTTTTAATTGATTGAGGAAGGCATAGCCCATTGTGGGTGGTGCCATCCCTGGGCCGTGGTCCTGGGTTTTATAAGAAAGGCTTAATAAACCATGGGGAGGAAGCCAATAGCAGTACCCATCCATGGCTAATACATCAGCTCCTGCCTCCAGGTTCCTGCCCTGTTTGAGTTCCTGTCCTGACTTCCTTCAGTGATGGACTATGATGTGGAATTGTGAGCCACTACTCCCACCCCCAATTTGTTTTGGTCATGGTGTTTCATCACAGCAACCAACACCTGCAACTGTTTCTTTGATTTCAGGATGTGTGCTATGACACATGGTCTCACACACACACATGCACGCATGCAGGCACACACACACACACACACACACACACACACACACACACACAAAGGAATGACTGAGTACAATAAATGATCATTTACATTCACTCTTTGCTACTTAATGTCCCATTCTCTTTTGTATCTTCCCCATGGGAGGTGTCCAGATCCTCTGATTTTGGGCTTTTACCCTCTGCTCCATTTAAAGTGTTGCTGTGAAGATTACCCATTACCTCTTGAGTCTTATCCTCTTTTCCATCTATAGTGTTTCTGTAGTTTACTTAGCACCTCTTGGCTTTCTAGAAATCACTCCTGCCTTCACGCACTCAACTACAAAGAGGCATTTCCTAAAGTCTTCTTGAAGCATTGTGTTGTCTTAGCATTTGCTAATACTTGCTAATATTTGCTAATACTTCTCTCCCATTTGTTTCTCTTCTGCCTGCCATAGGTAGTGTTGGGAGTACCCCAAGGCAGATGCTTACGCCCCCTTTTCTCCCATGTTTTTATTTTCTTCCCAGCAGTCATACATACATCAATTGCCACATCTGTACCTTTACTTTTGACATCTCTGTTGAGCTCTACACTTATTTAAATACCACCTCTTTCCACTTTCCTTAAGAACAACATAGCCATAGAAAAGCTTGCCTTTCCCAGAAAAAATAAAATATTCCTCTACATCTCAGTAAGTTTCCTATCTTTTACACATTCTCCATTGCTATAAACTATAGTCTTCAAATGTTCTTTTTCTCAGTCCAGTCACCATCCTGTTGGTAGGTCACACTTGTGCTATGTCTGTTCCTTTGTTCATTTGTATACATCCTAGTTGTCATGATTATTTGTGTGGATAGTTGTGGTTGCATCCTCACCAATCTCTCTGCTACTTTTTCTCTACTTTCTTCATTTGTTTTGGGCAGTGTGTGTGTGTGTGTGTGTGTGTGTGTGTGTGTGTGTGTGTGTGTGTGGTGTCTGTGGGCATGTGTGTGTTTATGAGGGGCAGATGCTCACACAGTATATGTGTAGGATCAGTTCTCTTCTTGCCTTCCAGGATGGAAGTTAGGTCAGTAGGCTTGCACCTGCTGATCCTTCTCACCAACCCTTTCACTCTCATTGCTCCTTCTCCATGTTCAGAAATGTAGCCAGAGCTCTGTTGACCAAATGAGTGCTGTGTGAGTGTGGGAAGCTCCCTATATAAATAGAAAGATGGCCTGTCCTGTTAATAGCAAGATTGTACTCCAGGTAAATCAAAGCCCTGTTTGGATCATGCTCATTGAGTACTGCATAAGTGACAGTGTCCAAGTTGTTTAGCCTCCTGAATAGCTTACATTTTATAGGAGTATTGGCATGGCCTTAGTAGACACTTAGATTTGACTATGATGTTAGTATTTCTGGAAATAATTTAATTCTAAAACTTACATTTTTCATGCAGTTGACTTGGTTTCATTTACTTCCCAAGATTTCTAAGGAAATACAAAACCTAAAATACTTTGTCTTCTAGAGCACTAAAAAAGGCCCCTTATGCCTCTAACTGTATTTTTAGCTTTTGAACAAGACAAAACTCCAAAGAGGTTTTAAGCTGTAGAACCTAGTGCGGTTGTTCTCAACCTTCCTAATGCTGTCACCATTTAGTACAGTTTGTCATGTTGTAGTGGTCTGCCTCAAACATAAAGTTACTTCATTGCTACTTCATAACTGTAATTTTGCTACTATTGTGAATTGTAATGTAAATATGTGATATGCAACCCCTGTGGAAACACCATTCAGCCATCAAAGTGGTTGCAACCCACAGGGTGTGAACCACAGACTTAGATGGTCATTTCTTGTGACGTAAGTTGCATTAACCTGACAAAATTGGTTGTGTTGTTATGGAGCTTGACACATCTGCCAAGGGTGTGCATGGCTTCAGGAACCCAGCACTTCATTTGCTCCTTACCTAACGCTCTCATTTTGTCATGATCAGGCAACTGTCTGTAAATGTGTTGCATCATTTCATGACACCTGCTGTGTTGTCTGTCTTCCTAACTTTACTCTAAATCCTTTGCTATTATTTCCTCAGTACCTTTATTATTACCATCTAAGAGCTGGTAGTTAGATTAAGCTTGCATTTTTTCATGATCTAAGAACAATGTTTGTTATTTTCATAATTTCTTCAAGATGTCTCACTGAAACATAGTATTCCTCTATTGCTTAGAATTACAATATTTTATTACTTTCTCATTGATGAGTATTCCATAAAGTGTCTTATTAATCTTTCCTATATTCTCCCATTGCTGCTATGCAACACCTGAGGTACTGTATATCAGCCCTGGATGATAAATCTCAGAACACTTACTGTTTACTCTGGGCAGAGTAGGAGCACTTAAAGGAATTCAGATTCCTTCGTATGCCTCTCCTTATCTCTTCTAGCCTATCGAGTGTACAGCCTAACCTTTGCCAAATAACTCTTAACACATGGAGGATTTAAAGGCCATTGTCCTTCACCTAAGAGCAAGTCAAAAAGCGAGCTGCAAGTCTGTTGTCTTTATTACATCATTAGGCTTTAGTGTGCTGTGACTTTAAATAATTCTCATTATTCAAAATGTATTTTACTTCTTTCTACCCGGATAAAGCCAGGATGCTATTAAGATAAATAATTTTTTAAAAATAAGTTCTGTGAAAGCAGTATTATTTCTCTTTTTTATGAATATGCCCAGTTTTATCAGTATGCAAAATTGTCACTTTGCTAGAGATGACCATGTGATCCTTATTTTCAAATAAGATGAATGTATTTTTAAATACCTTTTCGTTGTTGTTGTTTTTTGGTGGGGGAATATGGAGATCAAACCTCGAAGACTTTCATGTATTAGGCAAGCAACACTCTACTAGTTGAGATACCTTACCAAGCCCCAGAAAGCAGCTTTTAAGATATGAAGTGATTCATGATTGCAAGCACCTTAACATTTAAAACATTTCTTATTATGTTTTCAGGTCGAACAGTTAACTGGTCATCTTAAAGAGAAAACAGACAAGTGCAGTGAGCTGTTGCTGTGTAAAGAGCAGCTACAGAGAGATGTGCAGGAGAGAAACGAGGAGATTGAGCAGCTGGAGTGCAGAGTACGGGAGCTAGAACAAGCCCTGATGGCTAATCCTGACTCCTTCCCCAAGGTGCGAGGACCCAGTTAACTCTATGGCGTCTTGTTCTAGTGACAGCCACTTAGTTACACAAGCCTGTTCTTTTAAGTAAAAGCTAGATTACCTTGTAGGCATTAGGATAGTGTATCCTTGTAACTATTTTTGTTTATTTTCCTTCCAGGTGTTGTTTGTGTCCCTTGTTTCTAGTAGAGGAAGATTAGTTAAGCCAGAAAAGTTAATTACAATTTTAACTGTCATTTATGACAATGAGCTAAATTTTAGACTCTTGCCTGCTTCAAAATAAGATGTAATGAAGTCTATTCCCATAATTCTACAGGAAACCAGAATGAATAGAAGAGTAGAATGAGAAAGCTGGAGGCAGGCCTATGAGAAAAGACTTTTGATTTATCTGAGGAATGAGTTTTCATGTCAGTAATTTGTGTTTTTTTATATGAAAAATGCATTCAAGACTGAATATCTTTATGTTTTTTTTTAATATTCTCCAATTTAGAGTTTCCCCTTTTAAATTGAAGAAATAGAATTTCTGCTAACTAAATAAAAATATTGCAGGGAATGATCAGTGTAATGTCTGAAGTTTTGAGAAGATTCTTATCTATCTTTTAGGTAAATGACCAGAAGCAGTCTGGAGGTATAGAGGCTAATCTGGAAGTTCAATTGCAGGCTGAGCGGGATGCTATAGAACGAAAAGAAAAAGAGGTAACGAGTTTCTTTTTAAATGACAAATGCTTTTTGGAATTATTTTGCATCAATTACCTTAAAAATATCATTTGAACACAGTGGCATTACTGTCTGAAAGCGAAGTTCAGTGTTTCTTAGTTTACTGCCTTGAAGACTAACCTCGGAGATAATAAATTGAACAGATAAGCTGATGAGAGGCAGTGTTCATGGAGAGAGGGCCTTGAAGCAGGAAAACATTTAGATGAAAAGGGAACCTGTGTAGCTCGTGAGGACTGATTGAAAAGAAGAATAGAGAACTGGTAGTGTGGACCATGGTAAACTTGTACCTTTTTCTCTCTGCTGTCCATAATGCAGGAACTAAGTCACTGCCACTCTGTTGAGTATCTTCGTCAGCTTGTGTTGTTGTTATTCTTATTATTATCATTTAAAATAATTCTCTGAGAGATTATTGCACTATTTCATAAGTAAAGCGTGGGATTGTAATAATGGCCCGAAGGTAAAGTATCTGCAACTGAGCATGTAGCTCATTCTTAGAGAGCACTTGCCCAGATTGTACAAGTACCTAAGGTTCCCCAACATCACAAATAATAACAATAACAACAACAACAGGGATAATAACAGTCCTCCTATTTCTCTGTAACCCCTTAAAGAGAATCACATCCCACAGGGAATGGTGGTACCTCCCAGGTGCTCAAGAGGCTGAGGTGGGTGGAAGGGTAGGGGCCAGGAGTTCTCAGTCAGACCGAGCAACATAGCAAGGCCCTATCTTAAAAGAAGGGAATTCATTATTTTTTCAAAAGTAAATTCAGCTTCCTACTTCATGTGTAACATATTTTAACCTTTTTTTTCCCTGGAATACGTCTTAATGATTGGATAATGACTTTTTGTAAGTATTTAGGTGTATATGCTCTTATGCACCTTTTTGTAGAAACAGAGGTCAACCACTAGAACCATTCCTTGGGATCTGTCCACATTGTTTTATTTTGCAAAGATTTATTTTTATTGTTTTGTTTTTAATTGTGTTTCTGTGGAAATATGTGCATGTGAATCTGTGTCCACCCACCATAGTCCAGGACTGGAGTTGTGTGACGTTATAAGTCACCTAACACGAGTGCTAGGGACCAAACTAGGATCTTCATAAGAGCTGTATGAACTTTTAACCTTGCCTTTGGGTTTTTGAGACAGAGCATCTCTCTGGCCTGGAACTCACCAGTTAGGCTGGATTTGGCTGATCAGTGAGTCTCAAAGATCCTCCTATTTCTACCTTGGAGGCTAGGATTCCAGACATGTGCTGCCATGATAGGCTTCTTTACTTGGATTCAGTAGACCTCATGCTTGTGCACCAAGCTTTACGAAGTGAGTGAGCCATTCTCCAGCCCTAAAATTGTTCAAATCATAGTTTTGCCTCTGTAATTTCTCAGGACATTGAGTATATTTCAGGCACTTGTTGTATTTCAATAGTACAGCGGTGTCAACACAAGCTTTAAAGTATACAGAAATAATTTAGACATCAGCTAAAGTGATGTTCAGAGAGAAAATGGCAATAGTGCAAATGACAGTAGTGGAAAGCTTGCTTCCTTTCTAGGACAAGAAGTGTTTTTTTTTTAACTGTAACCTAATCCAGATATTTATCTGGAAAGTTCTTCCTTATTTTGGTTTTGATACTTTGTGAAAGCAAAGCACATGCCTTTTATGTGTAATCACTTCTCTTTATGCAGGAACTGATGGGGAAAGATTGATCTTGCACTAATTAGAAAGGCCAGTGAGGTTGTAGAGTGGTGGAGGATTAGTCTGGGATGCACAGGACATTGTGTCATTTCTGGCACCACACCACACCCCCCCTAGCTTTTGTGTGAGTGGTATGGTCTGAACCCCAGTCCTTGGTCTTTCTTAGCAAACACTGACTCACCAAACCCTCTCCCAAGCCTCCCTTATCTTTAATGTTTAGAGGATGCCTCACTCTTTTGCCTATGCTGAGCCCAACTCTGCAGCTTAGAGGACCTTATTCTGCCTCTACAGTTACTGGGACTACTGGTAAATACCATCTATTTTTAGTAATTCTTTTTTATAATTACTAATTTAAATTTGAAATAAGTTTGTTTTACATGTCAGTCCCAGTTCCTGCATCCTCCTGTCCTCCCCTGTTCTCCCACTCCTCATCAGTCCCCATCTCATCCCTTTTCTGCTCCCCAGGGAGGGTGAGGCCTTCCATGGAGAGTCTTCAAAGTCTGTCATATCATTTGAATTCTTAATATACTATAGCTCTACTACTATATTAATTCAGTACTTAATAGATGTCTACTCCCCCCCCCCCCCGAATCAGTACTCATCTGGGACTGCTAGAAACCTTAGACAGCACATGTTAACAAGCTCCATTCTTTACAGACAAGTGCAGAGAGCCACTGCCTTTGAATGAATAACAAAGTGACAGTGTTTACTAACAGTGACAGGTGTTTGGCACTACCACTCATTGACCTGCAAAAGGAAAACCTCAAAGCAAATGTTATGATGAGGAGGTTACTTTAAGCATTTGCTCTGAAAACTAGGCAAATGTTTTCAGGTAACTGATATAAATATAAGATGTTTCTATGGACCAGATTTTAAATGACTTTATTCTCAGAGCCTAAGTTTGGACAAAATTTTAAAATTATAGTTAAAATTATATGAGTGGGTTTTTTTTAGCTGGGTGTAGTGGTACTTGCTCTTAATCCCTCTGATGGGGAGGCAGAAGCAGGTGGATCTCGGTGAATTCAAGGCCAGCCTGAACCTATATAGTAAGTTCTAGGACAGCCAGGGCTATATACTGAGACCTTGCCTTGAGGAGAAAAAAGAAAACAAAAAGATACTGGGTTTTCTTTGAGAGATAGGTGTCTTCAGTAAATTTTATGTCTTGTATTACTAATACGCTTAATGGCAGTAATAGTAAATAATAATTGTTTCGTTTAAGCCTAGTGCTAATAAGGACATAGGAATATTTTAAATACTCTATCCTGGCATCTTCATTGTGTAAACCGAGTCTTAAGAGAAGTTAATGCTTATCACAGAGCCACATTCTCCCAGATCTCACTGCTTTTATCATCCTTGTGATACACTGACAAATCATGAGGAATGGATTTGGCATGTTGGTGGGAAGCATGAAAACTCTAGTGTGCTCCTGTGTTCTGATGTGCATTTGGTCACCAGGGAAATGCTGAAATATGGGCTTTCTGTGTAGCACAGGCAGGCATCTCCACATCCAGTGTACGCTTCCTTCTGCTAATTCTGCTGCTCCCCAGCTCATACTCAGTAGCAAAGCTTAGGTCAGAGAGGTAAGATTTGGCCTGTAAAATGACACATTGAAAGAGTGGGCATACCATGTAATGTATATAGGCAGCAATGTTGAACTTTAGTAACTATGTGTGTATGTTTTCTACAGCCTTGCTTTAAAAGTATTTGTAGAAGATAGGAATTGTTGTGGAAGATAAGAATAGGCATACATACTAGTGTATAGCTTTGATGAACGTGAACATTGCTGTTCTCAGCAATAAACTGATAATTATATATGCAGAATCACTAAATATATTTAAGTACCTACAGATTTAAATAGCAATGTTACAGAAAATATATAGATAGATAAAGTCTTCAACACTAGTTATTAGAAGCAGGATAAATGATAGTTTAGAATGGAAGCCTCCGAAAATCATCCCTTCAAGTTCCAAAGGTGGCTTTACTGTGTAGTAGCTGTGTGACCTCAGGACATATCCCTCCTCTCATTATTTGTCCTTCTTCTCTATAATGGGAACGATTACAGGGCAGATCGAATGGGGTTTTGTGTGAATGTATTTGTGATGTGTTTGACTGTATGTGCTCATGGAGGGGCTGCATATTGAAGGCTGGAGGGCCATCTCAGGTGTCACTCCTCAGGAGCCATCTACCTCATATTTTGAGACAGAGTCTTTCATTGGGACCTGTGGTTAAACAGTAGACTAGGCTGATTGTCAACAAGTCCCAGGGATATTCCTGTCTCCAACTTTCTAGTGTTATGATTGACTGCTTATAACACCACACTTGACTTTTTACATGGGGTACTGGGGGTCACCTCTAGCCACATATTTGTTCCTCTGACATTGTCTCAGCCTCAGATTTGGCTACTATTGCTAGTATTGTACTATTTTTTTATATTGGAATTATCAGGCTGACTTTAAAGCCTTGTCCTCTTAGTACTGGGATTCTAGGTCTAGGATGCCATGTATAAGCAACTATTACTTCACTTTAGATTGTAAGGCAATAAATGTCCCAGCTGCCACTCTACTCTGCTTCTGCCCCTTAAGTTGCTTTTAATTTAGCAGTTTGAGCATCACTTTAGTAGGCATTTGGGAATCCTTCTTTAAGCATATATTAAGTAGCTACAGGGTAGTTGATTAAATGGTTATTACTGTCCTCAATCATACCCATATACTCACAGTCAAAAATAATTTTTAAATCTTTTTTGTAGTCTGAGGCCAGGTATGGTTGCATACACCTTTATTCCTATCACTCAGGAAAGGAAAAGCAAGCAGGTGTCTCTGAGTTTGAGTCTAATGTGGTCTACACAGCAAGTTCCAGGACAGCTAGGGTTACACAGAAACACCTTGTCTGGAAAAAAACAAAAATAGAAAAGTACACTTTAAGCATGTATAGGTATTTAGCTGGTATACACAGCTTTAAAAAGTATTTTCCTTTATTACATTTACATTTCTTAAACATACATTCTTTATAAACTAAATACAATTCTTTTCTGTTTGACAGTAGTATTTGTATGATCTGGGTTTTGTTTGTTGTTTTTTTCCCTCTTGGGCAACTTTGCTTCTAAAGATTTCCAACTTAGAAGAGCAATTAGAGCAATTTCGTGAAGAATTGGAAAATAAGAATGAAGAGGTTCAGGAGCTCCATATGCAGCTAGAAATACAGAGAAAGGAGTCCACCACTCACCTTCAAGAGCTCCAGCAAGAAAATAAATTGTTTAAGGTAATTAACTTATAAATATAATTCACATTTGTATTTTTGTAAATATTTGCTGGCAGCAACATTAGTAGGCAAATGAATTTGCATGTGACTTATTTTCTGTGAAACTAGACATTTGGATATATCATAAATAAAAATATTTGAGATTGTTTATCAAAATATTTTTGGAATTATTGATACAGAGTATCTTATTTTTATGTGATTATATGCACACTATGGTTTTATAAGACTTAATTGAAGGAATGTACTGAAAATGTCATGTAATGATCATATATTGTGACAGTTATTTTTTTCTCCCTAGGATGAAATAAAAAAACTGGAGATTTTCCTTGTAGACTACGATCCTCAGTTTTGTCACGATCAGCCCATGTTTTTCGGGGAATTTTCAAGATTAATTCAAGAAAAAGATGACAAAATTGACCGGTTAAATGAACAGCTTATTAATCTTCAGGAGCAACTTGAAACAGACAACAAGGTGTGCCCACTTCAGATTTGTTTGTCAGAATTAATATGAGCAATAGTTTTTCACTTTTTCTACATTTATTTATTTTGGGGGTCTAAACACAACTTGTGGGAGTCATTTCTTTTTATATCCTGTGAGCCACTGATGATGGAGGTGTTTGCTCTGCCTGGTCCTGCAGCAGTTTAGTCCCAAATAAATACAAAGAGGCTTATACTAATTATAAACTGTTGGTCCAGTGGCTCAGGTAACTTATTGGCTTTCTCTCTCTTAACTGTTAACCCATTTATTTTAATTTAAGCATCTCTGTGTAGTCGTGACTTACAGGAGAATGCCCAGCGTCCATTTTTCCTGGAAGCTACATGGCCTCTCACCCTGGGAACTGCTTCCCTCCTTCTTTCCTCCTCCTAGAATTCTCCTAGTCTTTAAGCCCCACCTATACTTCCTGCATGGCTACTGATCATTCAGCATTTATTTTTTAACCAATAAGAGAAACATATGTTTATAGCATACATAAGGGCCTCCCCCATCAAGCTATAGCTATAACACTCAGCTTGTCTGGCCTAACAGTGAAAACCCTGGCCCACTATCTTATAGGCTATAAATAAAAATTAAAACAAAAAAATAATGATATTGCTTGCACCTCAGTGCACAAATATGTATACCCATGCCTGCATGCAAAGTGGCCAGAGCAGGGCATGGATTTAATTGCCTTGATGCAGGGTTTCTCACTGCACAGCTTAGTGCCTCAGTCTGTTTGACCAATGAGCTGTTGGAATCTACCTGCTTCTATTCCTTGGAGCCAGAATCACAGGCTCAAGTGGCCATTCGCAGTTTTTCATATGTATGCTGGGACTTTGAATTTGGGTTCTCCTGGTTACAGAATAAGCATGAATAGCCCCTGCCCTTCCCCCATTGAATTTTAAAAACAAATACCCGTGGCTTGTGAGATTTCTAAATCTCCTAAAATTTCAGTGGTTCAAGTAGAGCCATCTGCTGTCTGCACTGTGTTAGTACTTCACTCTTTTCAAGAGAATGTACTGATACTGTTTTCTATTGGAAAATCAACAACTCAAGTTTGAACGACTTCACACCTAATAAAACTTCCAGAGTGAAGTTCTGAATAATTGGAGGTGTCTTGTTCGTTTTTATTAAAAAGAGCATTCCTAAGTCAGAGATAGTCTGTTGGTTTGGGGCATACTCATGTCTAGAAGGTCCTGCCTTAAAATAGACTTTGCAAAATGAAATACATATTTATTGTGTATGTGTCCCTTTTTCGTTAAATAATAGGCTATGTATGAAAAAGATGAACTTATAAAGGGACTCAATTCCCAAATCAAGTGTCTGATGTGTGAGCAAGGATCTGTGAAGAAAAATAGAGAGGAAGAAATAGCGCAGCTCAAAGGAGTAATAGGAAATTGGCAGCAGGAGTCGGCAAGCGTTGAGCAGAAGACAACAGAAATCACATTCCATCCCCCAGATACAGAAAACCTCCAGTATCAACTTGAAATGGGGAAAGCTGAAAAAAGGGCTTCAGAACAAAAATTAGGAGCCACCAATGAGGAAACAGCCTGCCTAAAAAGTACTCTTAAAGAAGCCAATTTGAGAATGGATGAGGTTACAGAAGAACAATGCACTCTAAAGAAAGAACACGTAAAGCAGGAGCAACTGCACACTGTTCCTAAGGAAAGTGTTGGCATGGCTGTCGATGAGCTCCAGACAGACACACTGCAGCCGGAAGATGTCTGTGCCCATGACTTTTCTAAGCCTCTAAAAAATGTGACGTCTGTCAGATGTCTTACAGAAAATGCCAAGGGTTACAGAAGCCTAGAAATAAAGTTACTAGGACTGGAGAGTTCTCTAAGAAAGAAAGATTTAGAACTAATGCAGTGTCATAAACAAATACAAACCATGCAAGAGCAAGGCCAGTCCAAAACAGAAATGCTTAAAAAGAAGATCACAAACCTTCAGAATTTACTTGAAGAGAAAGTAGCTGAGGCCATTGTTAGTCAAGCACAACTGGACGCTTTTCAGCAGTATGTGAACTCCTTGCAAGAGAAGAGAACATCAGATCCTGAAAGGACAGACAGACCCAATGTAAACCCTCTGACAGGAGACAACATACACTCAGATGTCTACACATTAACTGTGAGAATAGCAGAGTTAGAGAACCAAGTAGCTGAAATGCATTCTAGTTTTACAACAGAGAATCAACAAGTGGAAATTACAGAGGAAAAGTTTTCTGATACAGAAAAAGGGCTAGAGCTACAGACACCTTTTGGGGAGGACACTAAGAAAAGGCAGGGAGTTGAAGAAAATGAAAGAAGCCGTCAAGATTTTCTTATCTCTGAGGTTCGTTTTCATTGTGATTTTATTTTCACTTAAATGTTCTGGGTAACTCTTTAACTTGTTGTTTGATAATTTACTAATAAATCCATTGTGATTTTATTTTCACTTAAATGTTCTGGGTAACTCTTTAACTTGTTGTTTGATAATTTACTAATAAATCTGGTGTTTGATTCATATCAAACAACTTATATGTAATGAGACAGCTGGAAATACACTGTTCCTAAAGGAGAGGCTTCGGTTCCTTTGGATTGGGAATTGTGGTTCATAAGTTTTGTGGCATTGAGGCTCAGGAAACTCCACTTTGAGACTGTGGGGTTACTTCCGGACAGAACTCCCAATAAAGTACAGTGGTGCCTTGAATGGTTTGGCATAAGCTTTGGGGTGATCTGATTCACTGTCTGAAGCAAAGCTGCTCACAGTGGGCCCCATGAGACTTGGCTGTCTCCTCCATGTTAAGATTTTCATTTGCTAACATACTATGTTAGATGCCATTCCCTACACTAGAACAAATCTATAGACACAGGTGAAATTAAATTTAACACTGTGTAGTTTTACTATTATTAGAGTAGTAAGTGCAAACTATGTTCTGTGATCTTCAAATATGGTTATATGTCCCAGTAGTAAAGTTGTTCACTGAAACTTAAGAAATATGAAAATATTACATGTAAGCTGTATCCTCTTCACCTTGTGGTGGATTTACTGCCTTAGATTCTTATTAGTACATATCATATGTCACCATTCTTTTTAAGAAGTGAAAATTTTCACAATAATATTCTTCTGAATTAATGTAGGAATGTCATTAGTTCTTGGAAATTGTATACCTGGTGATATTTCATTGTTCATAGAGAGAAAATGTGTTGGAGATCATCTTAGGTAAAGATCCGAAACCATAGTTATTTCTTCCTATACAAAAGACAATGCAAAGAATTTTAGTTTCTCAATATTTACACTCTAAAATAATAGAAATGTGTGTTTATAATAATTTGTATTGTAGATGTTAATGACAGGACTTTTCTACCAGCACTTGGAACTACTTTACTATGGGTACTAAATATTAAAATAGTAATAAAACTTTTGAATTATAACAACTAAGAAATATCTTAGTCATGTGTGGCACTCTTTGAGAAAAATGATATAAATTTGAAATTTTGATGGCAATTAAGTATTTGTATATATTAGTTACATGATTTACTGTCATTCTCAGTAAATTGATTTTATTGTCTTCATAGAAAGTGATGGTTCTGAAAAACATCCTTAATGATTTTAAGTAGCACTCGCATCCTGTCCTCTGATTGGAGGCAGACATCCTTAGGAAAAGTACATTACAGTATAGGAGTGCTTTGGACAGACACGTTTCTCATGGTTTCTGAATGGTTTTCTCTTTCCAACTCTCACTCAGACAAGGGTTGAGCAGATGCATGCTTGTGGAGACTGTGGATTTTTGGATGAACTTGAAGCTGTTGGAGCCGAATCAGTGTCTCACAAAGAACTAGCCTGTTATAAACAACAGGCAGAAAACTATGAACAGCTTTTGGTAAGATGAGCAAAACAGCTCCTGATTCATCCAGATCTCCCTGTCTTCATTCCTCTCAATGCATTCCCTAGATGTATTCCTTAACCATCAGTGGCAGGGAAAGCCTTTTTGAAGTTAAAGAAAAATCCCATTGTTAATATTTCTTTACCAGTGCCTCCTTGTTTGGTTTTCCTGGGAATATTGGTTGAGGGGATACTTTTAATTTATACTCTGTAATGGAGGAGAAAGGTGTGTGTTAAGCTGAACCAAAGGTCCCATGAAAACAAAAACTAATAATACAAGTACACTTATTCGTGTTCTGACCATAGTGTGAACAAAAGTGTGCAGAAACTGTGAGGCTGGTGGGTGATTTTCCTGTTTTGATGCAAGTGAGCCTTGAAGCATGAATTGTCACTTCCCTGTGTTCATCCCTAGTCCTGTATCTAAAGCACACAAGACTTCACTTATTTCTTTGCTGTTCTCTTCATTATGCTTTAGATAAAAGGACAGCGTACAGCATCACTCTCAAGAGAGTCAAACAGAGTTACAGATCAGCTCACAAACACTGATGAGAATTTGTTGTACTTCTTACAAAAAGAAAATTGGACTGGAGCCAAGCAAGCTGGAAAATTCGCTGCTTCAGAACCAATTCCTGTAGATGGTTTCTCTGGGTCCTTGACAGAGGGAGACAGCAAGGTTAGCAGCAGTAATCAGGTCCCTTTTAAACCTCCAGCAGCTCAGATGTACACATGGGCTGTGTGCTCCCCAGAAATAGTCATGCAGGTCTTCCATCAGTTTACTGAAAATACTGAACAAATGTAGGAGATACATACTGCAGATGCGGATTTCAGATACAGAATCCAGACAGGTTTCAGAAGCTGAGACTTTTAGGAGAGAACGTTATGTTGCAATCCAGGTACTGACAAAAGAATGTCATTCTTTAAAGATAATGACCCAGTATTTAAAATCTAAACAGATACCTGGTTTTCATAGACTATGGTTTTCAACCTCCTGTCATTTTCTGCTCAATACTGTGAGTGTTTAAGAAATTTTCACAGGTAGTTGAGAAATAATACCTCTTTTCATGGCATAACTATAGCTTGGCATCCTCTTGTTGTGAGTTAGATAATTAAGTTCCTGTGTGGTTCTGGAGCATTCTGTGATTTCTTAATTCATGTGTGTTCATTTCTATGGCAACATCCATGAGGAGGAAAATTACAGACTTTTTATTTGTGTATTGTGACGGTATGACAGAATACGTTGCTGTCTTTGTCTCCCTTAACTGTATCAGAAAAAAGATGCATGATTCATTGGGTCTGATTTTTTTCCTAAATTAATTTTAAAGTCTTCTATTTTCTGTTGTTGTCTGCTTTAATTAGGTGTCCTCTATTCCTGGATTGATGTATTCTAATGCTCACCAAACCAGAGAAATACGTTCAAGTGGTAAGTTGCATAATTCTGGAATATTTAAACAAATGGAATATTATTTGTTTTAAAAGGGCTATTTTGCTTGTGCATGCACATATGTAATTGCAGATGGTTGTTTTCTTAATTTTAGATTCTGAATCTGATTGGGGTCACGGGTTTGATACAGCATCAGAAGGTGGAGAGGAAGGTGAAAGTTCGGCTGGTACAGTTCCAAGGGTAGTCAAGGTACTGTAGACAAAATCTCCTTAGTTAGCTTAGCCCATGCCATCCCTGCACTGAACAGTGTAATCAATGTGAAGTTTCACAGAAAGGTCCTCTACAGAGAATGAATTACATAGAAGTATCCCTCGAAATGTTTTTCACTTTAAGTTTCATAGATGCTACAGTAGAATGTTGTAGAATTGTGTTTCCTTGAATGCCTCTTGTACCTTGTCTTCAGTCAGATTTTTCCTAACCATGTGACCTAGTCAGTTAGATGCTTTGAGATCATTTAAAGCTAGGTGCTATGCTCTCTACTTGCTTGAGTTACCTTTAGAAAAACAATGTAACCAATATTACTACTCCTTACACTTCCAGTGCAATCAAGTTTATAAGATAAGTTGCACATGAACGTTTACTCTTAGATTGTATTCTCTATTTCTCTCTTATAACTCCTCTATGACACTGACTCAGTATGTGTTTGCTTAACATATAGTCATGAAGTCTACAGTCCCTGCTGGGAGCAAGGATGTTGAAAACAATGAATGACCCACAAAAATAGCCTGTCAGCTTAGGACAATGCATTTATTTGTGAGTTTGCTTGTTCATGTCAGATAATCAACTTCTTCCCTTATAGATTTTAGATAAAGTCCCTTGTTCCTTTCAATACTACACTTGATGTGCTGTTCAATAAGTAGAATGGATGGTCCTTTCTAAGGTGGATTGGGCTCATTGTTAGTTACATGACATTGACTCATTCTCTCTAATGCATCAGTGTCACAATAAAGTCATATGTATGAAGAGTTTTCAAACCCAACTTTATTCTCCATGTTTTTGTTTGCCAAGATCATGAAAGTAGTATCAAAATCCAACTTATTTCCTACATTATTTCTTTTGGTCAAATCAGTGACTAATTACTAAGTCTAGAATGAGAATGTTAGCCACACAGAACAAGGAACTTAGATATGCAAGCTATAAAAAGATCCAATTTATTTCCCACATTATTTCTTTTGGTCAAATCAGTGACTAATTACTAAGTCTAGAATGAGTATGTTAGCCACACAGAATAAGGAACTTAGAAATGCAAGGTATAAAAAGACAGTTTTCATTCACCACTCCACAGCAAGCAACCATCTGGACATGTTGGGAAACTGTTTCTTGACTATAGTGGTCTTTCTAAATCAGTTGAGGTTGATGAATCTGCTTGTTTGATTTTGCATGTCTTGTTTTTCAGTCTTTGAAGTCATAATTTTGTCTTCAATACTTTATTTTCTAGGGATTATTGAGAGCAGTCCATACTGAGGGCATGCAGATGCTTTCCCTTGCAGACTCCCCTGAGGATGATGGAGAAGACCAGCATGAAGAGAAAGTTTCAGAATCTAGACGAGAAGAGCGGAAAGCTTTCATCTCTACTATCTTATCTCTTAAACATTTAATTTCCAAAATGCAAGTTCAAAGACTGACAGAGGTACTCAAAGAATATTTTGCTTCTAGATAGTTTTATATTTGTTTACTGACAATAATAAATCTTACAGAGTAAATTATCTTTTTATATGTGTTTCATGCGAATTACTTAGTCTCTTTTCACACCCCAAAACATTCTTTTGAATAATATATTTTGGTTAGCATACTAGTATATTTGGAATATATTTCAAGTATGCTTATTGGAAAGTTGACTTTTCACATTTTGTGCTCTACAGGTCTCTGACCAATCTCTGTCACTTGAGAGCCTCCCAGATTGGCGAGGTGAACTTTTGCTTGCCCTTCAGGATGTACTCTTAAAGGAACGGAGTGTATTACTAGCTGCCTTCCAAACAGAGCTGATGTCTTCAGGCACTAGAGATGCTGATGGATTATTGAACTGTTTGCAACAGAGACTACAAGAACAGGTATTAAAATATTTTCAAGAGTGGTTTTGAAATAAGAAAAAAGATAGGTTATAGATTTGTTTTGTAGTTCTGAAGGTTGACATTTAACAGGAAACACTAAGAATGTATAGAGAAAACTATTACTTTAGCTATTTTACCTTATGTTAGAAAGTAAGAAACACTGAAAATTAATGAGCTAATCACCAAATTTAGGAAGTTAAAAATTGAGGTACAGAACAAACCCAAAGAATATAGAAGGATAACATTGCCATGTTCTGGTAACTAGAGAAAATCAGAGGTTAATTTCCTGTAGCCTCTGATCACAGCTTCCTCAGTCAGTTAAGGTATGCTGTTGTTTTCTGTGTGTGTACTCATCAGGCTTGCTATCTCTGGACAGAATATAATGCAAACAGTTTACACAAGAAAGGGATTAGAGCCAGATTCAGAGAATTTTGTCCATAGTCCTTGTGTCCATACAAGGGCATAATGTCATGGTACCAGGAGCAAGTGGCAGAGGCTACAGTGACATGCCCAAGGGACCTGCTTCCTCCACTGAGGTTCTCCACCCCTAAGGTTTCCAGAACTTTCCAAGATAGGCTCTTCTCTGTTAGGTGACCACATGTTCAAAGTGCCCAACACATGAATTTGTGAGAAACATTTCACATTCAAACCATAATATTAGTCATATTTAAAGTTACCTTGTTGTCTGTTATTGCTTTGTTACTGTTGAACGTAGCCTAGAATAGTGTAACTTAAGTATGGGTGTTATCCAAGCACGTACATATACCACATGCCCCAAAATTTTAAAAAATAATAATACTGTAAGTCTCTGTCACTCAATTTTAAAGCCACAGAATTATTTTTCATTTTTAAAAAAACTTTCAAATTCATTCAAGAGGGCCAGGTAGTGGTGTCACATGCTTCTAATCCCAGAACTCCGAAGGCAGAGTTAAGTGGATCTCCAAATTCAAGGACAGCCTGGTATACAGAATGAATTTCAGGAAAGCCAGAGCTACACAGAGAAACCCTATCTGGGGTAGGTAGGGGGTAGGGGAAGAGAAATATTCCTTCAAACTCATTGGCCATTGTGACACAGCTGTGATCTTGACATAAGAAGATTGCAAGTTCTTAGTGGAACTTTCTATCTTAACCTAAGTATTTTTAAAGGCTGGGATGTAGCTAAATGATAGACTTCATGCCTAGCATGTATAAAGTACTGTTCAATTCCCCAGTGTTTGTGAAATAAAAAAAAAAAAAATTCAAGAAGAAATCAAAAGCTTGAAAAGACCTCTGCCAGTAACTGAAACCAAAATTAAAAATCTCATAACATTAGTGTGCCCAAGTCTTGGCTTTTAAATACATTCTTTCTTCAAAGATATTGTAGTTCCTTGGAGACCTGGGACTTCTGGTGCTGAACATGCGAGGCACAAAGCAAAACCTAGAATCTATTTTTCAGTAAAGAAATGTTTATAGAATAAACCTCACAAAAGAGGACCTGGAGACTTTCTCACTGGCCATATTTAGAACATTTAAATATTAAACTCTGAATAAGGTAGCACACAACTTTAATTCCAACACTCAGAAGGTAGAGGCAGGCAGATCTCTGAATTTCAAGGCTATTAGCCCAGTATTGTTTGACAAAACTTTTCCTGGTGAGACCTGCATACATTCATGTACCCCCAAAAGAAACAAAAAGATAAAGTAAAAAAACTAAATGATAGTGATATATTATGGAGTAGAGTATAAAAAATAATTCATCAGGTCATATTCATATATAGATAAAATATCACAGTATGCTACCTAGTCATTGTGCTAGAAGGATCAATTTAAATAAGGAATCTTTTTTAAACATTTTTATGAAGTAATAATCATTGTTGAATTCTAAGGTTAGTGTGGAAACATTGTTAGATGATATTACATAATTGTGAAATAACTCTCCAGAACATACTTTCTAATGCAAAATGGAGAGACCTCACAATTCCCAGCCCAGGCAGTCAATCTACCAGTGATGTCAGCCAGCTGCTGGTGGGAAACAGTCTTTTGTTGTGCTACTGTTAAATGTGAGAACAGACAGAAAAGCAAAGATAGTGAGTACTGATGGACATGCACACAAGCAACCTCAGGCAACAATGCAGGAAGAGTGCCATGGTAGAGCAGTTCTGGCAGCTTATTAAGTTACACATACTTTTAGCATACAGTCTAACAGTCACCACAAGTCAGATAGAAATGAAAACCGAAATCTTGTTAAGAACCTATGTGTAGACTGGAAAGATGACTCTGCGGTTAAGAGCTCTTGTTGCTCTTACAGAGCACCCTGATTCAATAGCCAGCACCCCTATGATAGTCATTCATAATTCCAGTTCCTGGGAATCAGGTGCCCTCTTCCAACCTCCACTCACACCAACCATGAATGTAGTACACATACATATATGCAAGCAAAACATACCCATAACAGGGTTAAGCTATACCTATACCTAAGTATTCATAACAGTTTTATTTGCAATTGTTCCCAAACTAGGAACAACCCATTTGTCCTCCAATGGGAAATGAACTAATTGTGGAATATCCATACAATGAATTATAACCTAGGAGGAGCTGCACAGATAGTTCAGGGATTAAGAATTAAGAGTACTGGTTATTTTCTCAGAGGACTTGGTTCACTTCCCAGAATGACAGCTCACAACTGTGTGTGACACCAGTTCCAAGGATCCCGTGCCCTTTTAGGCTCTGATTCTATAACTTTCTGGGCATATATAAACTCATGCAACCACACATATACACATAAAATAAAAACTAATTTCTAAAGATAAAGAGAATAGAAAAACAGCTCAGTAGCTAAAAAGAAGCGTGCTATTGGTATCCTTAATATTCTGTATGCCATATAAACTCTCTTAAAATGATACAATTATTGTGATAAAGAACAGATGAGTTGAGCTGGAGAGATGGCTCAGAGGTTAAGAGCACTGGCTGCTCTTCCAGAGCTCCTGAGTTCAATTCTCAGTAGCCACATCGTGGCTTACAAGATTTGGTACCCTCCTCTAGAATGTAGACATGCAAGCCAGAATAGTGCATACATAATATACAAATAAATCTTAAAAAACAAAACAAACAAACAAAACCAGTTGAGTTCTTTGGGAAGAAGATATGACGTCAAGAAGTGTCTTTGCTGAATTACCTCTGTGCCCTTACTATGGCATATGAAATGAATCCCTGAACAAGATATAATTCCATAGTACTGGATACCAAGAGAAAACTACATGCATATTAAAACTAATGGAGTTCAGTAACACTTTCAGTTTCCTTGTCTTAACAGTGTGCTGTTACAGAAAGTTTTCAAGTCCCTGTGCCTCAAAAACGTTCACTCAGAGTTCAGAAAGATGCACCACAATAAGCTTAGGATCTAAGTCTGAGGGCTATGGAAAAAGAATCTTCTCATGACACGTTTATTCTATACATGTGCTCTTTATTGTTCTCTTTTTACTGTTCTCTGTTCTAATCCTTTTGTCCTAATTGTCTGCTATTTTTTACCCTCAAATTCTGTCTCAGTTCTAATTCTCTGTTTCTTCTTCTTCATTTTCCTACTTATTATTCCTACATTTTCACCCTTTACATTTCTGCCTATTTCTGCCAGCTTCTGTCTCCTGGTATTACCTTTCTCCTCTAGTCTTCCCAAATTTCTCTTTCTCCAGAGGCTTGAAACAAAGAATAAGATTTACAGAGTTAGCTTTTCATTGTTCAGGACAATATTTGTAGGCTAAATGATAAAGGCAGAGCCATTGCCATGGCAGTATAAGGTCCCAAGGCCATAGGAACCAAACTGTGACCAGATAGGAAGGGCATAGTGCCCAGTAACAACTTTAAGACAGATCTATTGTTAGTAAACTGGCAAATGAAGAATAGGCATGCTTTAATGTGAGGACAGCTTGGGACACCGCCTGCAGGCAGAGAGAGTGCAGGACACTCTTGTTCTCTATCTCTCTGAGAGTTATGGCTCAATAGCTTTAGGCATGTTATGATTCTTGTCCTTGGGCATCTGTGAATACCTCAATAGAGTTGAGGTATATACCAGTGCATAGGGGAAAATGTGCACACTAAATGAATGATACACTGCTGGAGCTTTTGGAATGAATCCCACCATAGAAAAGGGAGCACTATGACTTCACAGGGAATTTAGAGTAAAGACAGTGACTGTTCATAAAGCAAGTACTCCCGCTGCCCTGCATGTGGGCCTCCTCCATCAGAATGTGTGATCCCAGTGGGTATGCTTTGTGGTTTGTCAACTGAGCTCTCACTGCATAATTCTGCTGTCTATAGAATTCTGTTTCCAGTTATGTCAAATGTTATCGTTGGAAAAAGCCAGCTGAGGGGATGCAAGTGCATTGGTTTAAACTAGTAAAAAATAAGATTGTTTTAGGGGGCTTTGTTTTGTTTTTTTTTTGTTTGTTTGTTTTTGTTTTTTGTTTTTTTGTTTGTTTGTTTTTTAATTAAAGAACACAGGACAAATTAGCCTGTACTCTGAAGATGTTTCAAAGTCCCAAAAGAGTTACTAATAACACTTTTCATTTTCCTGGAAAGCACATTTGTTGAAAATTTATGTAAGTTCCATATGTTATATAACATAGTAATGTATATCACTCTTGCCAAGAGTATTGTGGCTGTGTAGAATGTTTCTGCACCAGAGAGATATCTCAGCAGGTAAGTGCATTGGCTACCAGCTCAGTCTGACCCCTGAAATCTACATGGTGGGAGGAGAAAACCAATCCCCACAGATTGTCCTCTGACTACCACATGCCCACTGTGGAACAGAAGTATGTACACAAATACATGCAACAAGTAAGTAAATGAATAATAAAAATAAGAATGTTCCTACTTTCTAGGAAATGCACACCAATATTTAGAAATTAAGACCCATCTGTTTGCAACGGACCCTCACAGATTTTTTTTTGGACAAAAAATTGTGAGAAATATTAATGACAAAAATTTAGCCTGTGGGCTCCATTCTTTCTCATTCAGACTTCCTGCTTGTTACTTCAATTATCTCTATCCCTCTCTTAATTTTTTTATTTCCCTTTGTTATAGGACATTGAATATCAAACAGCTATGGAATGTCTTCAGAAAGCAGACAGAAGGAGTCTGTTAGCTGAAAATCAATCATTGCATGCTCAAATCAATGGCAGGGAAGTGACTCTGAACAGAAAAAAAGAAACTGACACATCAAGTCAAGGTATGTGTGTACCTGCTGCTGGGATTCCACAGCCAGCTGGGAGCATTCACTTTGTTGCCCTGTGAAACCATTTCTTCTCTGGTACCTTCTCTCAATGCACAAGGGAGATAATTGATATTATTACTATTAGGGATAATAGTTGTCAGATTGGTTTTAAACAGCTATATTTTATTTTAAATAAACAGGCATTACATTGATGTGGTTCAGCTCATTTGGGTATATTTTCTTCAATTTAAAAAAGTATCTTGACTCTCTTAAGGGAGTCCACAATAAAAGTAGCTATTTATTTTTAATTCTTTACTTACAAAAATGTAATGGATAATACCTATATAGAAAATTACAAAATTTAGATGTACACTATAACAAATTAAAAATGAATATGTGGGGACATTCCTTATCTGTCAAGTAGATCTTGTCCTTCTTCCAAAAGCTCCTTCTTAGAAACTAATACCACTTAATAAATTCTTAGACTGTATATGTTTATAAAGTTATCATGGGACTGAACTTTATCAATCTATGTATATTTTGTGTCTCATTTCTTCCAAGTTTCTTCTTCTGTCTCTAAGTTAGCTTCTGTTGCTATGGAGAATTATTTCTATATGTGCAAATTCTTTGTCTTAACCTTTGGTTGCTTCTTGTGTGAGCTGTTGGAGTCAGAGAGCTACGTATACTCCTCTGAGATGTCTAATACACAGGGGCATCTTCCCAGCCTCCTAGGGTGTGAATCACTAGGACATGTGGTGTGTATCTTTAATTTACTAGATGATGCTCAATGTTATACTTCTTTTGTGAGAGGTTGTCATGTCCCCCAGGCTGGCCTCAAGCTTTGTGAAGCCAAGGGTGACCTTGAGTTCCTGGTCCTCTTGTCTCTACCAAGTCCTGGGTTGACAGATATGCAATACTATGCCTTACCTAAAATATTTACTGAAACAGTCCTATCCGTGTGGCACTCATTACAAAGGTGTGAGTATTATGATCTTTGCCAGCAGCTGGTATTGTCAGACATGTCACCAGTTTTCTGGGTGTGCTGTGCACAAGTGTTTTGCTTCCCTTTTCACATGACTATAGACTAGTTGGATTTTACTTCTCTGTGTGCTTAAGGGTTTCATTAGGCTCTGCTTGAATTGAGCATTTTATAGAGGAGTGTTCATCATGTCAGGTGAGGGGTCTTGGTACATCTTTAGTAATTGTGTTTCATAATGTTTTAAAGACAGCATGGTTTGAAGTCATCTCATAGGATCTCATTTGTAATTGAAGTGGTGAATCTGAGCTGGGTGTGGTGACTCAAGCATGTGATCCCAGGATTTGAATGAAGTAGGAGATTTGCAGACATTCTGACCAATTTGGGCAAGGCTTCAGAGTGAGATCTTATATAAAAGAAAAAATAGCATTAATAATTGAATGATTATAGTAATTGTCCCATTGGGTAACTCATGTAAATATTGTGTATGGCTATTAGAAATCACTAGGAATTTTCACTGTGTATGGTTGGTGTTCTGAATATACAAATACACAAGTTCTTTTCTACAGATCTTACGAGCATTTGAAGCTGCTTATTTTAAGTCTTGCATCCATTAATGCATTGTTAACATCTTTCTCATTCCCCTGTGGTTTTACTTCTGATGGCTTCCTTAATTGCACTCTAAGAATAAGAAACATTCATAGAAATTACCAGTTTGATGGACTAGGAGCAACTGATGGTTTCTTTGTAGTAATCGCCTAAATTATGGCTGAGTTCTTAGGTGCAAAATAATTACCAATCACAGGTGTGTTCCTGGGCCATGTTCTAACCCCAGTCTCATTCCATGTAGAACTCCTAGACTGCAGAATGCAACAGTCTTGCATGTTGGAGGTGCATGGTCAACATGGTGGCATGAAAGACAGAACAGCTGAGCTGCAGGAACAGCTCAGTTCAGAAAAAATCATGGTTGTGGAATTAAAAAATGAACTCTCACGGACACAACTGGAGCTGGAAACCACACTGAAGGCCCAGCATGAGCTCCTAAAGGAACTGGAAATATTCAGGTGTGCCTCTCTGCTTTAGTATGAGTGTCAGAGAAGGGATTGCCCTGGCTTGTCAAAACCGTTATGCACATAGCACATACAGCAGCAGCAAGCATGGAATTTAAATAGGAGAGAATGAGTAGAGCAATGAAAATGATTTTTTTCCAAATCGAAATGCAATCATTTTGTCCTCCATCTGCTATGATTTTTGTCCTAGGCAACAATTATTAGATATGATTTTGACCTCGATCTTGCCACTGACTAACTTTAAGTGGTGTGTAATCTCATGCCTCAGTAAGCTAGTAACTTTTAAGTGATGGAATTGAGAATGCATGGGAAAGAATATACTACTGATGTAAATACTGAGATATTCTGCTTCCTAGAGGCATGCTGCAAGTACACATATTTTTAGTTTGGACATTGATGGTTGACATGATTTCTATGTGCAGTAAAAGACAAAAGGTGTTAATTAGTATTCTATTTGGCAGTGAATTGAGTTATTATTTACAATAGTAAATAAATTGAACTGTTAGAAATAGAAATTCATTTGAAGTTAAGCAGCTTTGACACATTGTAGTGACAGTTTATAATATGCCTCAATATTGGAGTGCAAGCGCCTTATGATGTTGATGTTTATTCAAATAATGTTCAGTTCATGTCTTTCCTTACTTAGACTAAAGGCAAATGAAGTTCATTTGCTTAATGATACGTTAGCAAGAGAACAGAAGAAATCCAAAGAACTCCAGTGTGCCTTGGCAGAAGAGAAAGCCAAGTCAGGCCATGACAAAGAACAGGAAAAAGAACTTAAGGTATTGTCTTTAAGTAGCTTGGAAAACTAAGTTATATGGCTTTCTCCACTCAGTTTTCAGTTTTCTCCCCTTTAGAAGGTTTAAGTTTTTCACTCTGTGTTGAATACTGTTGCAGTTTATCTAGGCCATAGTAGAAATATAAGTTAATGTTGTGACACTGTGTGTGTTTCCTTCCCTGAAGTTACACCAGGGATGGCAAGGCCCCTTCCCTGCAGTTGGGTGCTGTGCAGTGCAGATCTCCCTTCTTCCTTCATTTCTGCAGTGACAACTTGTGGGCCTGGGAGGCTTCCTTTTGTCTTTGTTTGCAGTTCATTTGGGTATATACTCTTCCTTCCCTGCTTTTTCACTAATAATGCTATGTGAGGGTACTTCTGAAAATAATTCAAGGTTCAGTATGTCTCTGTACTGTTTATTGTTGCCTTTCCTTCCCTTTATACCCTTCTCCCCTCCACACCCCCCCCCCAGACCTCTGCCTACAGCCTCGAAGATGGTGATGAAGACATGTGCTGGGTTTCTCCAGTTGGTCTTGACCTTTATCTTGTTTTGTTTTCTTTCTACAGTATTCTCAGCTGAAATCAGTATCTCTCCCATGTTAGGCAAGCACTGTAGCACCCAAGTTTACCACCAGCTCGTTTCCCTACACTTTCATCCTAAGACAGATTCTCATGAACATGTTCAGGCTCTTGATTCTCCTTTCTCACTTTGCTGAGTACCTGAGATTACAGGCATGTGCCACCAAGTCCAGCAATTCCTTGTTTTGTTTTGTTTTAAGACTTAATTTTATTCCATTGTATGAGGGATTAGCCTGCATGTGTATCTATGTCCCATGTCCATGTATTGAAGGAGGAGGTCAGGTGATGATGGCATTGGGTCCCCTGGAACTGGACTTACAGCTATTTGTGAGCTGTCATGTCAGCTCTGGGAATAGAACCCAAGTCCTCTGGAAGAACAGCCAGTACTTTTAACCACTGAATCATCTCTCCAGTCAACTCAGCTTATTATATGTATGGAGCAAAGTTCACTTATTGAACACCAGAAAGCAAAGGTACAGCTGACTTAAATGCTCTGGACATTTGGACATTTTGCACTAAGGTCCTTCTTATGAAAATTACTGAGATGGTAGAGAACGTTTTCTATCACAGGCTACTAGGTATCCACATGGAACAAGAAAGAATTGTCATGATTATGCAGCCAAATCTTTCTATGTTTGTACACTTCCTTTTTAACCCTTAATTTTTAAATTAGTTTTTTAAGTAATAGTTTTAATTTTGGTATTTCATACATGTGTCATTCTTTGTTCTCATTCATTCCCCAGCCTCATTGCCTTCTCTTGTTCCCTGGCCATTCTCCAGTTGTTCTTTTCCTCCACAGAGTCCTCTTTCCTGATTTTATTTGTTTGTTTGTTTCATTGTTTTTTTTTGTTGTTGTTTTTTTTTTTTGAGACAGGGTTCCTCTGTGTAGCAGCTCTGGCTGTGCTAGAACTCATTCTGTATACCAGGCTGGCCTTGAACTCGCAGAGATTCCTCTGCCTATGGCTCCCAAGTTCTGGGATTGAAGGCATGCACTACCAGTGCCCACCCCTTTGTGTTTCAATTTCACATTCATTCCATGACCTCTCTTCCCTCTCTAAAATGGCTTCATCCCCTCTGCCCACAATTCTCCTCTGCTTGTCATGACACTGAAGAACAGGTATTGTCTCGTGCCTTCATATATAAGTACCTAAAAATTTAAAACTGTGTTCCATTAATATATTGAAAGGGTAACATAAGAACATGCATATTTTAAAGATTGTCATTTGGAGAAATGTACTCTGATTTATATGTAGCTGGAGAAGATTGTGTTTATACCCTTGATGCAAGTGAGTCATTTGGCTCTCTAAGCAGTTCCCACTGTCTGATGGATAACAATTCTGTCATCAATTACCAAATACTTCCATATTATTGTGATCAAAGTCATTGTCATTTACTTTAATAGTATTTTTGATATTAACATGTTCATCTAAATTACATTTTTCCTTCAAGGCTCTAAGATCTACTCTAGAGGACCAGAAACAGAGGAACATACACTTAGATGAACTTTTGGGACAACAGAAGCAATTACTAAATGAATTGCAACAACAAATGGAATCACAGAGAATGTTGTATAATGTGCAGTTATCAGAAGAACATGGCCGAAACTTAGAGCTTCAGGTTCTTCTGGAGGCTGAAAAAGTTAGGATTCAGGAGATGAAGGACACCCTAGACAAGGAACGGGAGCTGCATAGCAATCGTGGGCAGCCCAGGCCTGGCTTCCCTCCTGAGGAACTACTTCAAGAGCTACAGGGACAATTAGAAGAAAAGCAGAAACGTATAATCGAACTCGTAAATGAAACTCAAAAGTATAAACTGGATTCCTTGCAAGCGAAACACCAGATGGAAAAGGACAGGCAGGTTCATCAAAAGACATTGCAGGAGGAAAAAGAAGCTAACACCTTGGGCCAGCAGAAAATGGAGGAGCTGCAGAGCAAAGTGGAAGAGCTTCAGCGCCAGCTGCAGGAGAAAAGGCAGCAAGTGTATAAACTAGACCTTGAAGGGAAGAGACTACAAGGGGTTATGCAGGGATTCCAACAGCAAGAGCTAAAGCGGAAGGGAAAACAGGGAAGTAGACAACTTATATATCAGAATATTAATGAGGTAATTTCTTTGTTTCTTTTACAGTACGTATGAGGGCAGGAGAGATGGCTCACTGGGTCATATGTGCAGACCTGTGTTCAGTCTCACACCAGGTCCACAGACCTCCATGCACCCTGTGCCATGGGGTCACCTACATACACAAAGTGATAACTGTGATTTTTTTATGTTATGGGTTATTTTAGTATTTTAAGATTCCCATACCCTTAGTATTTTATAATGTTTTCAAATTCTAAATATATTATTGAATTATTTAAATAGTTATGTTCATATCATCTCAAAAAAGTGTCTCTAGAACTTTATTTGGAACATGAATAGTAGTTTTTTTTTTTTTTTTCAAGAAAGAAAATGAAATGATGCTCATTTGTGAGTATTTTCTTTTTCTGTCCAAAATTTCCAGGGAGATACTTGGACTTTTACTGATGACCGAACTAGAAATTGGGTTCTTCAACAGAAAATGGAAGGAGAGAGCAAAGACACAAGCTATGCAAAATTGATGGAGTTGAATAGAGAAAATGATGATGCTAATAATGACCTGGAAATTATCATACAGAAACTTCAGCACGTGGCTACAAAACTTCAGCAACATATAGCCCAGAAAGCCTGTGACAGGTTAGACTTCTGCCTGCTCTATAGAAATGACAATCTTGACAGGTCAGAAAAGCAAGAGTAAGAAAATGCTGGATTTTGTTTTTGTTTTCTCTTGTTCAGACATCATCTCACTATGTAGCCCTGGCTGACCTAACATTCACAATTTACACCAGGCTGGCCTCAAATATATAGGGAAATCTCCCTCCCTCTGCTTTCTGGGAGTAAAAGCATATAACACCACACCTATCCCAAAGAAGTACTTTAAAGATAATACATGTCTACATTAAATGGTATTCTTTAGAAGAACTTACACATCTTAAAACAGCTAACATCTTGAACCAGAAAGGGGGAATATTTAAGAATAAAGTTAGAAGTGAAATAGAGTGGCCCTTAGCCTCTAGTGTGTGTTAGTGACACAAACAGAGTGGCCCTCAGGCACTAGTATGTATTGGTGACACAGAGCGGCCCTGGCCACAAATGTATGTTAATGACACATTTCTACTGTGTGTTGGGAAGTGTTACTGTGGGGTCTGTTGTGACCTTTTGTCTTTTTCTTAAAGACTAGAGTTCGAAGTGTCGGATAAGGATGCTTTAATTTGGGTTCAAGAAAGAATTGATCGAATTATTTTTCGAGTACAGAGACTAAGGGACCGACCAGAAGATGAGGTAAGACTTTTTCAAGTTCTTTGTAGAAAGAATAAAAATCAAATGAAATTATGAGTCATTTAAAAATTAGTAGACAATTTATAAGAGTTTTGATTATATTTGTTTGTATAGTGTTTTTCTTCCCCCCAACAAGAAAGGAAAGTAGGGGAGAAATCATTGATTGCTGTTGCTGTATAATTAATCTATAAAGAGACCAGGCTTCTTGAGGAAGTGGCCCAGGTTCCCTGTTGCCCCACTCATGACCTCAGAATCAGTCCTGTTGGCATCTTCATGGGGGACTGCTCTGCCCAGCCTTTTCACTCCCCCTCTCTGACATCATGCATTTGGCACTTTTGACTTCTTCAGGAAGTATTTCTTGCTTTTGTTTGTTTGGTTTTTGTTGTTGTTTTTGTTTTTATTCTAAGACAGGAGTTTTCTGTGTAGTCCTATCATGTAGACCAGCCTGGGCTCAAACTCACAGAGATCTGCATGCCTCTTCCTCTGGAATGCTAGGAGTAAAGGCGTGCTTCTCCACAGCCTGCTGTATTTCACCGTGCTAAACCCTGTTTTCCGTGTCAATTCTCTCACTTTACCTGCTCTCAGCTGGTCTGTCTGCCTCGCTTGCTTCTGCACACAGTGTGTTCTTCTCTATGACTGTGAACCCTCCCAGTTCAAAATGACATGAGCTCTAGCTGGCCTTGGTGAGCAGCTGCTGTGTTCCAAGTGCTGCTTGAGGTCCTGGGGATGCAGTGAACAAAATGACAAGAATTTTGCCCTTATGCAGTTACTGTGTCCTCGACTGGTGAAAGCCTTTAACCTTTGGCCCAGGCTTATATTTTCAGTTTGCTACTGGACATCTTTGGATGAGTGTCACTAGTAGTGACCCCTTAGGAGCCTCACAGACACAATTAATCCTAAACATCGTCTCCTGTCCTACCTCTCTTACTCATACCCCTTTTATCATTATGATATCACCCAGTTTGGAAAGCTGGATGTGACAATAGACAATGTTATGTTCCTTCACTGTTACCTGTACATGGAAGCCATGATAAGCCATGTAAATGTCCACTCATGTGCCCTTCACTCCCCGTCCCTAGTCACTGCCTCAGCGTTTCTTACGTAAACTGTTACAACTTCATATCTATACTGCCAGGCACCATGGATGTGTACCTTCCCTAAGCTGTTTGCCTTGCACACTGCTGCCAAAGGACTCTTGTAAACATGGACGATTTGTTTGTGGTAGCCCCTCTAAAGTCTTCCTTGGCTCGCCGTTGCCTTGTTAGATCTGTTATCATGAGTGCAGCAACATTTATTGTGACCAAGCATGTGCTCACTCTTTGAGAGCAACAGTCGTCCAAGACTTTTGCCCATCTGTGTGTGCTGCTCCTGCTTCCTGTTTCCTCTTTGGCTGTTCTCCTGCCTAGCAAGTTTCTATTATTACCAAGTACCAGTTCATGGAATCTGTTTATGACAGCACCTGTTTACTTTAACATGAGGTATTCATGAACATGTGTGTCATTATAACTGTGTCATTTTGTTTGTCCAGCACAGCTTTGTATCCTCCAGTTCCTCTTGTGGCTCTTTGATAGAAACAGCTTTGAAACAGAACTCTGAACTAACAGGACATATTAACCAGCTGACTGAGGAAAAGAATCACTTACGGAACATCATCATGCAACTGGAAGAACAGTTAAAGTTTTATCAGCAGACAAGAGCTGGTAGAAGTCGTGTATGTTTGTTTTTATAAGTAATTCAAATTCTTCTCTTTAGTTCCACTTTTAACCGTAGTGTAAAAATGCCATGTATTTCTCTTATTATGTGGAAAGTATTACATATGATGACAATAATAATAAAATACCTATTATTCAGAGACATTCTTTACCACACTCTGAGTTATAAACATACAGAATTGCTCATCTGCATACAGCCTTGTCCATGAGGAAACCATATCAATTTAAGATCTAAAGATGTGTTGCCTGTAATGAGACACAGGGAAAGAGATACCCAAATATAAATACTGAGTATTGTTTCTTCAGTTACTATTTATAAGTTTATGACCAAGTGAAATATGATGTTAACCTGGGCATGCCATCACATGCCTTTAATCCCACCACTCAGGAGGCAAAGACAGACAGATCTCTGTGAATTCAGAGCTAGTCTGGTCTATATTACCAAATCTCTGACTCATGTCACCCTTTCTTTAAGATATAAAAGTTAAATTATACATTTCAGGATAATAACTTACTCTCTGAATTCAAAAATGTTTTTAAAGCTACAGAGAAAAGGGCTAGTCTTTACATTTCTCTTTATATTTAAAGGTAGAAAAGACTGAAACAACCACATAGCCAAGAAAATAACTTGTTCTCGTGGCCACCCTGAGAGTCACTCACACACATCTATGCTGGCTTCTATGCAGACTGTGAGCTTGTGTTATGTTAGAAGGTCAAGGCTAGGTAATCCATTGTGATGTAGTTCAGTCATCTTGAAAATGTGTGACAGGCCATGTCTGTTCAGTCCTCTAGAGTTTCACTTGATGGTGGTGCTAACATTGAGGACATCATTGCTTCAGAAAAAAAAGTCTGGAGCAAAGAAAAGTTGGCTCTTCAGAAATCCCTGAAAAGGGCAGAAGCCAAAGTGTGTGAACTCAAAGCAGAGCTGAGAAATGACGCCTTACATCAGAATCAGAGCCCTTACTCTGAGAATGCTGTCTTCAAGGTACTCACATCCTTTTTGCTGACCCTGACTGAACAGACCAGAGAAGTATAGTTGCCTCTCAGACAATGTCCCTAGGCAGCTCTTTTCAATCTTCTAGGATTATAATGTCTACCCAGTCAAAGATCTGTAGAGAGGCATACCCAGAATTGCAAAAAACATTCAGGTCTGCTTTTCTTACTGTCAGTGGTGTGATCCTATTCCCCAGAGCCTTGTGTCCGGTTAGACACACAGAAGTATTCTCTTTCAGCTCCTAAGCACAGCACCAGGGCTGTTACGGGAAGAGCATCATGCTCTGTGAGTAGCCTCTCTAATGCTGACAAGGCAATAGTACAGCTGCCTTGGTCAGTTAAACTAAAGTCCAAAGTGGAAAGGAAGTAAAGTATCTGGAATACTTATTTCAGCTGTGGAGTGAGCATATAGGGATGGAGAACTTTAACTTATTTAAGAACCTAAAGGGATGAATGATTGTAATTATAAAAAAGGAAGTCAGTATTTTAAAACTTACACAATAATGGCCAAAATGTTTGCCATAAATTTGAGTAAAAGAGTGAGCCCCAAATAAACCCAGAGCATGACTGGTTTTAGAAGTTGTACACCAAAGGTTGCTTCTGTGTCCTGTCAGCTGACCAGTAGATGACAGCCTAGGGCCTAACACTTGTTTTCTTTTTTCATCTAACTAGTCTTCTTCTAGGGAACAACTCAGATGACTTCTCTGATGTCTTTGTCTTCCCTTCTTTCAATATAGAAAATTTATGGTAAATATTTGAGAGCTGAAAGTTTCCGAAAAGCTCTTGTATTTCAGAAGAAATACCTGCTGCTGCTCCTGGGGAGATTCCAGGAGTGTGAGGATGCCACCATGGGGCTGCTTGCCCGCATGGAAGGATACCCAGTCTTTAGAGACCCTGAGATGGTCCCTAGCCACACAAAAGGACTCACCAGGTTTCGAACTGCCATTAGAGTGTCTATGGCAATTACCAGGTAAAGTTGTGAAGACAGTTCATTTCAGTCAATTATAAGTCTTCTATGAGGACACATGTGAAGAAGGCACTATAGACTCATGCTGATTTCTTTGTAGATTTTCACCCTTTGCAGCAAATCTTTTCCTAGGAAGTATCTTCTTTAGGTATTAGTAGGTGATGACGCCATTCCAAATTGTTAAAAGAAAAATCCAAATAAACCTAGCTTACACACAAGTTCATAAAAGAAGGGTGTTTTTGAAAAATTTCTTAGGCTGGCATATGCATTTATTTCTTCCTTGTTTAAATAACTTGTTAAAATAACCAAACAGTGCTGAGCTAAGGAAGGATAACCTAGGAATTTGGCATACATGTGGCTACAATAGAGTGAAGACCCCAACTGTTTTCCACTCCTGGCCTACTGAAGTCTTGATCTTGGTTTTGCACTAGGTGCCTTCCATTTTGTCTCTCCACAGCCAAAGTCTCTAGAAGTTTTCCTTTTTAAAAAGTTCTGTAGTCAGCTGATATCACAGACCACTTCAGGGGGCATGGCTGATTTTCCTTTTCTTTTTTTTTTTTTTTTTTTTTAACTTTTATGTGTATTCATGTTGTACCCACATGTATGACTGTGTATCTCATGGGTACCTGCAGCCTGTGGAGTCCAGATGATACTGTCAGATTCCCTGGGACTAGGGTTAGAATCTGTTGTGAGCCACCATACCTGTGCTGGGAATCAGATGGGGCTGCTCTAGAAGAACAGCCAAGTGCTTTTAAGTACTGAGCCATCTCTCCAGCCCTTACTTAATTTTCTTGGGAAAATAAGGCACAGGTTTTTAACTGGAAGCTATTCAGGGATTACGGTCAAGAAACATACGTCACAGATGAAAACAGAAAGAGGTGACAAGCTCAGGGAAGCTCAGCCTCTGTCTGCTCCAGCAGCTCTACACAGGAGCTAGGCTTTATCTTACTGCTGGCTTCTGACCTGCCTGCCTCTTCCAGTCCTCACTGTAGCTTTCTCTCTTCTCATTCCCTGCATCACCTTGTATAGGATAAGGTAGGAGGTAAGCACAGTGGAAACATTAATAAAGACAGCACTTGCAATGGTAGCTCCGTGTCTATTGGGTGAGAATAGAATACATGGAACTTGTAAGACTGCCTGGTCTTCTGAGGTGACAGGAGTTAGCCTATAGTGCAGAGAAATGGCAGAAGGAAGTTCCTGTCAAGCTCTCATCTCCCTACTTTACAGGCATGATTTGAGATGGGGTATTACTATGTCACTGGAACTCACTCTGTATATCAGGCTGGCCTCAAATTCACAGAGATCCCCTGCCTCTGCCTCCCAAGGGCTGGGATTAAAGAAATGTGTGTGCCAAGAAGCCTGGCACATCCCTCCTTTTTAGCCCTGTAGTAGGTTTGTTATATTTTGACCTCTTTAAACTGGACCCTGGAATTGACATTAAGAAATTTTTTCTATTTTTTTTTAATTTCATTTTATATTCCAACCACAGTTCTCCTTCCCACCTCTCTTCTCACACTCTTCACCTTCCCCTAGCCCACATCCAGTCACTTTTCCTCACAGGTAAGGGCTCCCATAAGGAGGCTACATAGTCTGGCATGATAGGTTGGGGCAGGGCCAGGTCCCTCTCCCTTGTATTAAGACTGACCATGGCATCCCATAGGGAATGGGTTCCAACAAAGCAACTCATGTACCAGGTTTGTATCATTGTCCTGCTGCCAGGGGCCCCTCTGTTAGTTCAACCTTTACAACTATCTCCCACATACAGAGGGCCTAGTTTGGTTCCCTGGAGTCTCTACAGTTAAAGGTCAAGAATTCATGAGTTTTCATAAGCTTGGTTCACCTGTCCCTGTAGATTTCTCCATCATGATCTTGACCTCCCTTGCTCATATTTTACTTGCTCCCTCTCTTCACCTGGATTCCCGGAGTTCAGCCTGGTTCTTGGTTGTAGATCTCTGTGTCTGGTTCCATCAATTACTGGATGAGGGCTCTCTGATGCTAGTTGGGTATTTGTCAATCTGGGTAGGCTAGTGCAGGCATGCTCTCTTAGGAGTCTTAGCTTGGGTTTTCCTTATGGATTCCTGGGACTTACCCTAGAACCAGGTTTCTCCCTAAGCTCTTAGTGGCTCTCTCTATTAAGATATCTCTTTCATTGCTCTTCGACTGTATCTCTCCCTGCCTAGGCCATCTCATTCCCTCCTATGTCCATAGCAGCAGTATTCCTCATAGCCAGAAACTGGAAACAATCTAGATGTCCCTTAACCAAAGAATGGATAAGCAAAATGTGCTACATTTATACAATGGAGTACTACTCTGTGGTAAAATAATGATGACCTGAAATTTTCAGGCAAATGGATGAAACTAGAAAAACCCATCCTGGGTGAGGTAACACAGACTCAGAAAGAAATATACCATATTACTCACTCATAAGTGGATATTAGTTGTAAAGCAAAGGATAACCAAAGTCCAGAGCTGCAGAAAAGCTACGTAGCAAGGAGGACCCTAAGACAGATACATGGATCATCCTGAGAAGGGAAATTAGATGATATCTATGAGGCAAACTGGGAGACAAATGGGTGGTAAGGGGGAAGGGAGGGGAGATGGGGAATGAGATGGCATTAAAAAATTAAAACTGGTACTCCAAAAAGTTCCACAATCCAGGGCAGAAGGATCAGTAAGGAAATCAGCTGGCTGGTGGCATACCCCGTTCCTTTTGGAACTACCACCATTATTTCTGCTCACGCCATTATTCCTGCTCACGGGGTCTAACACTCCCTGATTCCCTGGCCTCTTCTTCCTGCCTGTGGGTATTTGCTCTCCTCCTTCATCTGCCTGACTCTACTCTTCCATCCTCTTTCTTTTACCTTTCACCCTTTCTTTGCCCTGTGCCCTGTTTTTTTCTGTCCACTTTTGCTCTTCATCTCCTTCTGTCTAACTTATGTGGCCATATTAGAGACTTTGGCCTCTTGGGGAGTGAGGGAAGCTTCCATCTCTGCCCTGTGCCTTGTGACTTGGCCAAAAACCAATGGGGTATATGCAGGTTAGCTGAAGAAGTCATGTGATTGGGCTGAAATGTGTTGTGTTTGTAATTACAAGGCATAATTTTGTGGGGTGTACATATTTATATTTATATTACTGTGCTTTGAGATTTTATCTTGGGGTCTCTTTTAGAATGAAATATTTGGTTCGGCGATGGCATCGAGTCAAAAGTTCTGGACCCATCAACATTAACAGGGATGACTTGGGATTGAGTCCAGGTAAGGTCAAAATGGCATAGTTTCTGTGCATGTCTCTGAAACTGCCATATGTGTAACAGCAGTCAGTGACTAATTCTAATGCTATTGCCATCTAAAGACCCTGAGCACCCTTTGTGCAAGACTAGGGACTTCATTTTTAAGAAGTAGAGACTGATTTGTGGAACACTTAGACTGGACAAAGCCCAGTTTTCTTCATGGATTCTCCAAGGCCTGTGACAGGCAGTTACTGTTGCTTATACTGAGCCATGGGAAACACTTGCCATTTGCCTCAGATTAGCCACCAGGGAGATAGTGGTGCCATGGCTGGAGAGCATTGCTGTTGGTCAAGTGCAAGAATTGTGGTTTGAACTGTTTACAACCTATTGTTATGTTTCTGGGCTTTCATGTCCTTTTTATAAGGGCAAATTTAAATTCTTCTCTCTATACTAGAACTCAGTAGGGAAATGTTAGGGCAGGAACAATTCAAGGTATAGGGAGACCAAAAAGGGGAGGGCACAGAATAGAGGACACATTGTGATGTTGATGCCCTTCATATCCAGGTATCCTGACTGTGGATCCTCAGGAAATGGAAGTATGTCTGGTATCCTGAGAGTATTTCAGGACAGCCATACACTGAGATGAACTCTTTGCCTTAGTGAGTTGTGATGGCACAAACAACATTAGCAAATCTCAATTTCATGGGTATTTTTTTTTTTGGGGGTCTGGTTCTATTGTGTTTATTTCCAACAAACATAGAATATTGAAGATAAGAGTTGGTTACATTATTGTAGTGTTTTATTCACGTCATCTCCACACACCTCCCAAAAGTGCACACACTCAGAAACTCTTCCCTCTTTGATCTTGTTACAGCTGAAGCATTTTACAAAGAAAATATTCCAGAGAGTTTATTTTCTTTGAAACCTAGCTTCATTTTCTTTGAAGCGTAGCTCTTAATTCATGTTTGAAGGTAAAGGGAAAACCACGGAAAGGCTTTTTGGTTTGAAATGCTCTCTTTTAGCAAGAAGGGAAACTAGCTGGAAACAGTTCATAGTGGCACATCCTGTTCTTTTAAACCCTAACTGGTTTTATATCCAACTTCTAAGGTTTGGTACTCTTTCATTTACAGTGATAGACTTTTTTTTTTTTTTTTTTTTTTTTTTTTTAAGGTGTTGAAAAGACTGATGCACTTTATCACTCCACCAGTGGACTGGAACTATGTGAAGATCCAAGACACATGACGTGCCGCTCAAGATCTGACCTAGATTTCCCTAGGTCGCCCTTATCATTCAATAGGTAAGATCTTATCAAACCTGGCTGGAGTAGATATAGTCATGTTTCAGAGAGGAGTGGACACTGTTAGGACTTAAGAGTTTTTTGCACTATGACAGCTAGACGTCTTTAGTTATATGTAATTTCTGTGTCTGAAAGGTTAGAATCAGAACTACTTTTTAATTTCTAAATGTTTTCTAAAGGCATAAGAAACATATGCTATAGTTATAAATTCATGCTATAGTTAGGCATTGGAAAAGCATTAACCACCATCCATCCACTATTTAAAAAACTGTACATGCATGAAAAGATGGTTTACACAATGTTCGTCATTTACCAAGCACCTCTGCAAGCTTGGTACTGGGCATTGTCTGACAATGGCATCTCTGAGTTTTCTATTGAAGAGTTACTTCCTTGTTGTCCTTTGTTTAGAAGTCCGGGAGTGTAGATCAGGCAGTGTAGAGATCAGGGAAGAGGCAGGCTGGCAACTTAGCTGTGTTATTTCTGGCAAATTGTATTTTTGAATATACTCTAATCCATAGGTATCCAGGAATGCTAGCTGATTTAAATGCTGCCTCCCTGACCTCCCCTCAACTCCAGCATTACAATCCTGGCAGAACTCTGACAGATTATGTCACCCAGATGGACGCACTGCAAAGACGACTTGGGTCTACTTCACAGTCAGGTGCTGCATTTTAACCACTTTTCTGTGGCTGCTGTGTGAGATTGTAACTCCTCAACATTTTCCTTTCTGTTAATCGAATCTTATAGCTTAAGTGCCCAGGTTGTCTCAGCTTAAACTCTGACCAGCAGAAAACAGACTCTTTATTACTCCTGTGCTCTACCAGTAACCCCTGACAGAATGATTTGGTGCTGCCTTCATTGTATTAGACAAAATGCATGATGAGCAGTGCAAGGTACTCTGAGGCTGAGACCCAGGGCAGAACCTGTTCCTCATATGGGAGAAAGCAGTAAGGTATAGAAGGCAGAGCAAGCCTTGACCTAAGCAAGGAAGGCAGCCACTGTCCTCATTGCTGATCGTCTTTCTATATGTCATTTAAACAAGCCATCTCTGGTAAGACACTGTAAACATCATCTTTCTCTCCTCAAAAGTGCAGTGTCATACATTCCAGAAAGGTAGAATTTAAAGGGCTAGAGAAATGGCTCAGCAGGTAGACTCGGCCTCCACGCCCCAGTACCTGAGTTCAGTCACTACGATCCACAAGGTAGGAGAGAAGCAACTTCCACAGGCCACCTTCTGCCCCATACTATGAGATATCATCTACACACAGAGATAAAAATGTATTTTAAAAAGATTTGTGCAGATAGACTATGTAAGAATTATCTTTTATTCTTCAGAAGTATCCACAAAGTATCATACTTCATATAGTGGCAGAGGACATTCATCTTGGGAAAACTTCCTGTCTTCCTTCACTCACTGCTGTTCCAAACACTGAGTCATTTTAGCTTAAGTTATGTGCTAGCTGTCCAACTTGATGTTTGGTTTTTAATATTTATTCTGTGTATGAGTGTTTGCCTCCATGTGGGTCTGTGTATCACATGTGTGCCAGGTACCTGCAGAGGCCAGAAGAGGATGTCAGATCACTTAGGACTGAGTTTCTGATAATTGTGAGCTGCCATGTGGATGCTGGGAATCAAATCCAGGTCCTCAGAAAAGCAACCAGTGCTTTTCTAAGCCATGTCTCCAGCCCCTGATCATTTTCAAGAGCTCTCTTTCTGTGAATACCACATACTGTGGACTATGGTTATCTAAATTCAGTTTAGCTCTTTATTCAAGAAGTCATTTGTTTAACCCAAGCAACCTTCAGCCCAGTCATAAATCACATTACCAATGTTTCAACTCCCTTGCTGTAGGAGCATTAGTGGTGACTTCTAATGTAGTCAGCCTCTTAGAATTAAGTTTGAGATATGGGGGCTGAAGAAATGCCTCTTTGTGAAAGGATACTGTTGGTCTAGAGGACCTATGGCTGGTTCCCAGCACCCAGAGTCAAATAGCTCAAAACTCTCTTCTAACTCCAGCTTCAGGGCATCCAGTGCTTTACAGCATCCTTATACTGTTCTCACTAGTACGCAAGTGCACACGCACACAACACACAAATCTTTAAGAAGGAAAATTGAAGTTCAGGTCTGAAGACATTGGATTTCTTTTCCTTGTTTTACATTTATGTCTGTGTGCACATCTGTGTAACAGCATGCATGTGACACTGAAAAAACTTGCAGAAATTGGTGTTGTCTTTCCATTCTGTGGGTTCCAGGGATCGAACTCTGATTGTCAGACTTGGCAGCACACTGGCGATTGAAGCAGTTCATGGCCCCCAACAGTTTGATTTGGTTTTAAACAGAGCCTTTGTTGTGAACTGGCTGTCCTGATACAGGAACAATTCAACTGTCTCGTTTTTTTTTTTTTTTTATTTTTTTTTTTTTTATTTTACAGGTTTACCTGCTTTGCAGTTTCATACTGGCATGAGGAGATAATCCTCAATTTTATATTGCCATGAGGAGATAACCTTCTGAAAGAAGTATTAATTGAATTTCAAATAGATACCCTTTTGTAAGTCAACTGCTCTTTTGTGCTTTTTTATTGTGAAAGTTCAATGGGACCAATACAAACAGCTTATGATTGTATACAAATCCTTGGAAGCACATAAAGACATACTGGAGATTGTGTATATAAGCACTGTGTGTTCATGCACAAAAATCATTAAATTACATGTATATTTGTGGAATGCTAATTTAAATGATTAATTTATAAACTATGAGATGGGTGAAAAGATTAAACTTTTTCAAATGATGCTGCTAGATGTGTAGCTTGCAGTGTCCTGCTCTTTTCTTACAATGCTACATGCTTGTGTCTAATATATTTGCTGCTGGTGATGAAGACAGTACACATCACTTGTAGAGACCTATTTTTGTATAATGGTAGAAATTTGAACTTTACTGGGGTATTTTGTCAAGTCCTGAAATAAAAATTTAACCAACTGTATTTGAACCTTCTTCTTTCTTATATGTGCCACAGCAGCTCATGGTACACATCAAGATCCAGTAGTGGGTTTCTCTCTCCCTCCATTACAGAATATTTTCACTGTGCCCTTGTATGAACTATCCATAAGTGTTTTCAATTCTAGAGTTGGCATTCTCATGATTAGTTCATATTTTCTCACATTTAGTATTCTTGCATCCAAAGAAGCCTTCTCACAAATCTAGACAAGGTTATCAGCCCAGAAAATATGAAATCGTATCAATAACATCCCTACTAAAACAGCTTTGACTAAAATGGCAGTGCTATTGTTATATCTGGAAGATACTGTTTCACTATCAATGACCTTTGGTTTATAGGGAACACAATGACAGTGCTGTCCATTTCTTTTAATTTCTAATTAATATTACTTCCCACATTAGCAACTAAGCTTTCTAGAAAATAGCAAAGCTGTTCTAGAACAACTGCTTTAATGGGAAAGAGTTGCATAAAAATCTTTTAAAGTTAATATGGTGCCAAGTCAAGGCAATTGTGTAGAAAAGAGCCAGCAAACAAGTGCTTCCCAGCTGAATCCACTCCATGGCTGTATGGACCATCAACCCTTCTATGGCCATTGGCCTCTGCTCTATTATTCTCAGTCTGGTCTGTGATAAAAACCTAAATCTGTTGAATTCTAGTGCTTGTGCCCTTTATTTAATTCTCAGCATTGGAAATATATCAAAGTCTAAAACTAGTCAGTAAACAGCCTGACTCAAGGGTCACAACTCTGTCACAAATCAAAGTCTAAAACCCTTCTTAGAGTAATAAAGACAAAATATCTAGGTTTGCAAAAAAAAAATAATTATATAGAAGCAGTCATCAAGCTTCAATAAAAGCTGTGATCTAACGCATGCAAATATGTCATCTATGATCTAGAAGCGGTCTCATAAATAACATAGTTACGGAGAGAAAAGCATACTTTGAGAGGTCAGCATGTGTGAAAATACCTGTTTTCTCAAGGGAACCTGATAATGGGTGACTTGCCTAAATTCACAGCAATACCAATGGGACTCTAATTCATATAAATAGGATGCAAGTTTCCAAATTCTAAAATCCTTTGAACTTCACATACTGAAGCACACACTTCACATCCATGAACAGACTAGCGAAGTTTTTCTCACAGAGAATTTTAATGTGAAACCCTTAACAGCAGAGATTTTAGCCCTCATACAAGGTCTTCAACCTCTTAAAACTGGAACATACATTGGGGTAAAAACGTGTTATGGGGTGGGTGTTTTGGTTTTGTTGTTTGTTTTGTTTGTTTGTAGACAGTCTTGCTATGTTGTCTAGTTTAGCCTCAAACTCAAAATCCTCCTGCCTCAGCCTTGAGTGAGAGAATTACAGTATCATACAGGTCAACAGAGTCATCTTTACTCCTCTAGTTCAGGTGATGGGCGTGTCACACAGTTGGGCCCATGGGTACAATCTGTGAGGTTCATGCTCCTTGAACACAGACCACACAGAACACAGCCATTGGTGCCATTTATCATTCCAAGCTAAAGCTCAGAATTCACTGGTTTCAAGATCTTACTCATTTAAAAATCTTGTAATTGAAGCTTCCTTAAATGTATTCAGGAAATGACACAACAACCTTGAACAAGTCACAATCAAATGGCATAAGGATTCACCAAAATATGGCCATGTGGGACCAAATATCCACATTTAGTACAAGGTCTCGGCTATCTTCCTGTAGCTGTGCTTCAATTTAATATTTCAAAGGACACATAACTAGTGTTTGGTTTCACCTAAAGTTTTTGGCACTGAGCTTTTCCCTTAATCTCTCATATCTTTACATATGTAAGTGGTCATTGTATATGAATAACCCATGGGCTTAGCAGAATTTTATAATTGCAAACCTAGACTCTTCAGGATTGGTCTCCCTGGAGCAATGTGTGATTTTGAAGTTTATACCTAGACACTGTATTCTCTAGCTTCTGCCAACTAAAAATATTTCCCGACAATAATTTCTATCTCAGTAGTTTGGCTTCCACACAGTTCTGTGAAAACGCATCCTACCAAGACTATTATAATCTGTTCTAATGCATTAGGATGGTTTAAAAAATCACCTCATTAATAAGGATGTTCAAATCATAAGATGGGTATGTGGAGGGAATCAGTCCCAAGAGAGCTCTAGTGTTAAATCAGTATGAACCTATCAGTCAAAACTCCAGATGTCCACTACAATGATAATAGAAGGGGATTAAATATACCCAAAATAACATCTGTACTAAAATAAAAATGTACAAACACAGAAGCTGAGAAAAATTATAAAATGCACAGGAAAACAAGTCCAGAGCAATCTTAACTATGGACTAGTTGAAATTGATTTGAAATTTGATCACATGACTAAAGGTCCAGGAATTAAGACAGCCTACTACTAGACAAGGATGAAGAAATAGATAAAAGGGATAGTCCCCAGGCCCAGAAATAATCAGATGGATCTCTGGTTCTCAGCAAAGGTCATTAGCACAAGCCAAGAAAATGCTGCAATAACAAAACACTAAAATGTGGGTGTGAGTAAACTCTGAGAATCACCAAGTTCATCCCTTTCTCACATCAAAATAATTCAAGACAATCCTAGATCATCATTAAGAAAGTCATTAATGTTTAGTAAAGATGTGACATTATTGACATAAGGTTGGGCAAAGACAATGGCCATGAATGTTGTATTAAGTTTAGTATTTTGGCTGGGCCCAGTGGTGCAAGCTTTTAATTCCAGCAGTCGGAAAGCAGAGACAGGCCCATCCCCATAAATTACAACTCAACCTGATGTACAGATTTGAGTTTCAGGCCATGGAATGTTACATAGCAAGATCCTGTGTCAATAAATAAATAAATAAATAGTAGAGAAAAGAAAAAATTGGCATATTTTTGTGGTAAATATACAATTGAACATGGTTCATCACCGTACTTGCATAGCCCATGTAACATTTATTTGTGGGAACCACTTTAACGGGACCACATAAGAGAAGTGTGGCTTAAAGGAAAAAGTAAAAGAACTGTTTACAGTCACAAAGAAGTATCCTAACTGAATCAACAAAAGAAGTGAAAATTTCTGATTACTTAGAATATGTTACATAAAATGTACTTATAAACAGATAACAAGGAAAGACAGAGGAGTGGCTGGAGTGAGATGCAGCCACATACCAAGCATTACCAGTAACTTTTACAACAAGGAAGAGTCAAGAAAGCATCAAAACCTTCAGAAAGAGTATGACCCTGCCAACACCTTGATTCTGACAACTGGCCTCCAGAACTGGAAGGGGATAATATGTTTTTCAATACTCAGGTTATATTAGCTGTAGAAACTCTTAAATATTAAAAGACATGAAAAAAATGCCAAGATGGTGGTTAGGACCATGTCTCAACAGGATATTAGAATTTAATATGGAAAGTACAATATGTTGCTGCATTAGGTCCAGGGCAGCCCATGATGTGAAGGCAGTGGACACAGGCACCAGTTTAGTGATTCCTCCTCTCACCTTACAGAAGCAGAACTGCTGAGCTAATGGCCCTTTCAACTGCTTATCTACAATCCTTTGTATCTTAAGTGTATTAGATAATGATCTGAAGTTCATGGTCTTCATATGTTTGGAACTAATAAAAGGACATGGGTCAGAGATCAAATAGAGCATTATACAAAGATTTACTTTTAGTCTTATTCCATTTTACAAACATTCCATTCCCAAAAATGTACAGTCCTGTTCCCCAGGAGAAGAAAGATCTCTCTCTTTTTCTCTCTCTCTCTCTCTCTCTCTCTCTCTCTCTCTCTCTCTCTCTCTCTCTCCTTCCCTCCCTCCCTCCCTTTATCTTCTTCTGCTCCCACCTTCCTCTTCCTACCCTCTCTCTGGTAAATTAATTTTAGGATGATTTATTGAAGAAGGACAGATGTGTTGCTGAAGCAAACACTTCAACTGAAAATTCAATCAGTCATCTTATCAGCTCCAAATAGCACACAGGCAAACATTTTTGTGATTCTGGGTTTCTGGGTTATCCTGTAAGTAGCAATCAGGGCTAAAGTCCAAATTGTCTCCCCAGATGTGTTGCAGTCTTTGAATGACAATAGGAGAAACACATACCTGATGTCGTGGAGGAATGGTGTACACTGCCACAGTGTACGAAGTGATAAAGAACACATTTCCTTAGATAATGTTTCAACATGGTACAAAACAAGGCACTAATCAGAGTCAATGTGAACTATACTTATGTTTAAAACCTGTCTATGTGATAAACCACAGAAATTATCTTAAAGTGATTTATAAGTGGGCCAATACTGAACTAGATGTATATATACAAACCTAGCTGAATGCAGAGTGGAATTTCAAAACCCTTTCCTAATATTACCTATATAAGTCATACCTACATTTTTTACAAAATATGTTTACTGCCAACAAAGAAATGAACCTCCAATGTTTAAAAAGTTCAATTGTTAAAACGAATAACATAATAAGAATTAGAGCTACATAATAAGTGGAGTTACTTCCTGAAATTATGCAACAATTTTCATATGTTTACAATCCTGACAGTTTTATACTTTTATAATTTAAAATATTCTCTCTGAAACTGGGCCCTAGGCATGGAAATCTAGCCAAAACTTACTTAAGGGGTCTTGGCCATTCTTATCATGGTCATTAAAGGAGGTCTCAGTCTTAATGTTCCTTTTATGAATTTATCAAGTATATTCAAATTCACCATACCTCCATAGAAGGAGGAAATTGTTTTAATATCCAAGTTAGTGTGAGAATAAAAGGGTAGTGATAACTTGTTCATGATGGCTGGGATGGTCATTCATGGTTTTAGCACTTAGCAGGAAAATTGGAGGCTGTCAATATTTCAGTAAGAACATCAGTTGTATTGGTTAAGGATCATAAAAATTCACTCTGAAAATCTGACAATATTTGATGTTTCAGACAAATTAGATATATACAAAGTACCACAAGTACCTTCATGAAGGCTGGGGATAATGA